AAAAAAACAACACCGTCAAATATTGCTAGCACCATTAAAACATGGTAAGTATGTCAAAACATAATTGTACTGTTCCATACATGTTTAATCTTTGTAGGACTCGTCGGTTATACTAAAGACCAAATGATGCATACATCCCCATCATCATATGAATTTCAAACAAATTAAGAACTGGTTAATTTCAAAACGCCAGTACTAAGAGGATAGCGTAATGGCCATTAAGTATATTCCTACACTCACATATTCAGCACGTCTAACACTATATATGTACGTATCATTGCCTGGGGCATTAGAGTCCATTGATTGGATGGCTAATGGTGATTAGTCATACACCATTTAATATGACAACGTAAGGGCGGACAATACTTTGAACATGAATCGTCATACTCTGTTGTACGGAAAGTTATACTCCTGAATATGTGACTGTGTTTATATCCTTTCAAGCACTCCGGGTGAGTCTCGTATATTTGTATCAGTTATTTGTTTCTACAATTAGAAAAGAAAATTGACAGAGAAATTACCTTTATATATGAACTTATCTATATTTCTTTCAGAGCAGTATGGAAAATCGTCAGTGCCGTTTCTTTGCCATGGTGATTGTGGCCAACATCATTGTATCATTGACAACAAAGGCTGATTCAACCATAACTGGCCAAAACATTTCCGTCTCGAATAGAGCATCCATACTAGCAGATTATTTCATTCAGCATGAATTTGAATCTCATTATGTGTATGAGTCGGCATTGGCTGCCAGAGAATTGATTCACCACGTGTCTCCTGGAAATACCTCAGCGACTTCAGAACTCCTTGACGCCATGGCCTCATACGTATTGGTTTCCATGCCAGATTTTCTCCGAGATCCAATAGTTCAGGATATTGCTAAAGTAATTGTTGACGAAGCAGAACAAGCCTTTCAACGCAGTAACTTAATATTAAATTCATCCAATCCGATCTCTGAGGATGAAATGCAACAAATCTTATCACAGTTCGACTTTGTTAAAGCACTGACCCGAAGCATTACTATCGCCAAACCTCTTATAGAACAGTATCGGCAAGAAGACGATTCCAGTGTTTATATTATTTTATTGAATAAGGCAATTGAGGTAACCGCATACGCTATTTCTACTCCAACATTTCAAACTGTCATGGATATTGCCATAGAAGAACTGAGTCAAGGGTTCTTAAAATCAGGACTTCCAGAACGCATTGCGAAGGAAGGAACTGAATTTCTGGATGATAGCAATAACACATTATCCATTGTTAAAACAATCATAGAAAGTTCAAATACACAGAGACTCATATCCAGGTCTTACAAAGTTAGCAAGCCTGTCCTTGATAATCTTTACAACGGCGATACTTTGTTTTTATACACCCTACTTACGGAAGCGACTGGAGACTCGACCGGTAATTCACAAGATCCATCATTTTTGTACTATTTTAAAATGCTCGAATCAGAATTTTTGAAAACTAACAATAAACAGAACCAGTCTAATGGAGTTCCCGCCTCAATTATAAGTGAACCGCTCTCATTCGCAAACGTTTTAGGGCAGATGAACTTACAGTCTGTCATTGTGTCATTGCTTGGGTCTGAAAGCGCACGTGAAATGTTGCCTTATAACAGTTCGGTTGAGGAAGACAAGATCAGTGACGTTTGTTACGAAGACATGATCGACTTTCTTGATGCAGCGAAAGATGAAAAAGAATGGGCATTACAAAGTGAGTATTTGTTTTTAATCTCTTGCTAGTTTATTGTCTTACAATTTATTAGCTTCATCGTATTTCTGCTATGTTGTTATTTTTTGAAATTTAGAACAGGAATTATATCAGTTGATTTTCAACAAATTATCTCAGTTTGGGTGGAATGCTTGATTGCATTTTCATTAACAAAATAGACAAAACATATACATGTATCAGTTACAATTCTGACAGTGGGTTTTGCGAACATAGCTATTTGCTGATTATTACACGAGGATATACAAGAAAACTGACTACATTGATTAGCTAGTAGAAATCTTATAGACAGACGCTGTCGCGATGTAGGCGATTATTAGTCAGACGGCGCTTTTCTCCCTAGGGTACACGCCCTGCGCATGGCCATCGTTACGAAAGTGTTTACCTTTTTGTACGAATTTTTGTTAATTGTTCAATAGTGTACATTGTTCACCAAAGTATGGCATAATTTATTAAATACCTAGGATTAAGACGACCGTTACCTCATTATCTTACATTAAAACGGCATTTAACAAAATAACGTTGTTGGCAGACTTTTGAGCTACTTAGAAACAAATAATTGTGTTGATGTTATTATATTCGTATATATGACATGTTGACATTAACTAAGTATTCAGTCACTCGCTATTACAAGGTGTTAAATAAGGCTAAATTACCCCAGTTTACACGACCTAACAATCCCTCACCGCTTTGATAACGATTTTTAAACAAACGTGATTACTCAATTATCTTACTTGACGGCTCGTCCGTTTCAATGTACTAATACATACATTGACATTGTAAATTATACAATTTATCAGTTTTTCACGCTTACAATGTATCAATGCTCTGCCGCGGGAAACAAAATCCAAACCAATCTGCAATGCAAACGTAAGGATAATATTGAGCATTTAGGGATAAATCAAATGGAAACATACAGCAAAAAGACAAAAATTAATAAATAAACTAAACCTTAACAAAGAACGTATCTCTAAAACACAGAAACTTATATTTGGTGGCTGTATTTTTTATGCGTATGGGAGAATAGCCAAGGTTCAGTGAATCTAACCTCAATGACAAGAAGCAGAGAGAGTTAAAAGAGTAGGGTAATTCAGTCTACTAATTATGTATTAAGAGTTTATATGGACTTAACACGGTGTGACAAGGTAAAAACCTCAGAACCATTGAAGTCTGAAATAAAATCGTCTGATACAATACAAAATTATCTATAACTGCATAAAAAACAGCTCTTTGGGATGCACTTTCAAAGGATATCAAAATGCAACAAGACAATGTTATACCGTTTATAATTTAAACTATATTATTCGTTTCGTATACACGTAGTTATGGTTTGCCCAGTGATTTCTGTCATATAATACTTGATACATAACAAAAACAATGACATCTCACTTCTAAACTTTCATGTTCAGTAAAATTTATGGGAAACAAAAAAACTGTATTGAATCAATATACGCTAAAATGAAACGAGTCAATATGACAGGTTAACTGTGTTTAGAATTGTAGACGAATACATTCTTGTTAAAGAATATCATGTTCTGTTTGAAAATACCCAATATTCACTTCAGTAAAATTTCTTTAAAAAAATCAAAATAATTGGACTATATACTATAACTAGTTATGTCATTTCCTAGCCAGAGTTAATATGTATAAGTACATGTAGCTACAGAAAAAGTGAAACAAAGGTAATCGATACAGACGATTTAGTTGAAATAAGCCTCATTTATTGAGAACAAAGGATCACCCAGTGTTTTACAGCAATACATCCGCGAACTATTAAGTCCTCTGATTGACCAAAGTATTTAGCAATACACTGGGATAATCGTTGACCCAAATAGTCCTAAAATCTTCCTTTTTTAGATATGTGTCGTTTAAAAATATACTGAATTATAGACAACTATACTAGCTCAAGTTATCATTTGTTCGGCTCATCCAGCCAACGACATTAATAAAATTATTTGCATTTAATATTTGGTATAATAAAAGCCTTGTCAGAAATACAACAGTTGTTTTACCATATTGAGTAACATTTAATGATTAACGCATATTTATTATTGCGGATTAAGTCAGATACTTGTTAAATATATTACTATCAATTGTATTTGCATTAGTATCATCACTACGTTGTGAGCAACCCCTGGGTAAGGCGTTAAGATAATGATTTATATGATCGCCGTTCTGTAAGGAGTTTATCATAACTTGTCTTGGTTTATTATAGGTTACAAAAATAATGGTTAGGGGTTTCTTGATCTGTTAGTAACCACAAATTGATTTTGTTGCAAACACTTTATCACTAGCAGAATAAATATCACTACATGTTGGTTACACAATCTGATTTGATTGATGTTGAAGTATGCAGTTATGCAAAGTTCTTTTTACACAACCAATATGATATTATATGTGACGTTTCGATGACAAGTACGATATGTACACTGTCACGTTCATCGGAAAAAATACCAGCGAAGCGTATGCACATGAACATAAGAACCTCAAATTGGGCGAAAGTACTAGCGAGATATAGTTTACAGTGTTTTGTTTTAATTTTACACTTAATTTTAGCATATGTTTACTAGTAATATTAACGATGGCAAGTAAATCAATGTTGGTTTCAAAAATACAGTATTTGGGTCATTGCCAAAGACCTCCTGGTCACCGAGTCTACTTGGTTTTGAGTATCACAGGATGAAATGTCCGTTTTCAGATAAAAAAGTGTTTAATTAAATCATTAACTAATGACAATATCTTAAATCGTTTTGTTCACTGACAATTTCTATGAGGACTTACACAAAAGACTTCTCAATTTTGACTTAGGCAAGTATTATGTAAATTGGTAAGTTTGGAATCTTGGCAGCAAATATTTAACCAATATGACACTTTTGCAGAACATATTTTCATGTATAGAATGCATATATTGTTATAAATTCTAACAAAGAAATCGATTTCATAACATAGATACTAGCGCAACTTGCCTATCTCATAGACTGTGTAATATAACCTGTCATGTAGAACATTATAAACATGCATTGTATCTGAAATAAAGCATACATCCCTTGACTATGTAGAGAAGCAGACATTGGTGAACAAAACGTCACTTAAATAATGTTTTCATACTCTTTTTATAGTTCTCGACTCCTACGGAAAAGTAAATCCAGGGCTGCTTCAGGGAAACCTCCATTTTATTGGTTCCATGGAGCAGTGTTCAAAAAGCAGATCAAATATCAAACCTGGTGAAATCCTTGGAAACATCCCCAGGACACATCAACGGTATCCACGAACTTTAGGGTACAGATATTGCCGTGCGGATTTATTGATTACTAAAGAAATGGAAGAAATACTACTTCAGGAGTAAATGTGGTCAGTTAACATCTTAAGCTTAATTTTTAATTTATTTTTCAACGAATTGGTATTGTTCTCTTTTATATAAACCCCTATCTTTAATTTCGGACAAACTTCATTACAGTCATTTGACAATAAACACTGACGTATTGCTTCATTAATTATGTTTTTCTTTCTTCAAAAGAAGCCATCACTTTCCAAGCATTTACAATATCTGAGGAGTTTTTGAAAGATTATCACACGTGCATGGTTTTCTTGAATAGCTTGTCGTCCAATGAAACTTGATTATCAATGAATAGGTTTCGTCACGTCACAGACGTGGCAGAATAAATGTAATCCATTTGAAAATCGTATCCTTTTATATTTATGCGTACATTTCTAATTGTATATATAAATGACGTAGCCTTTTCTTATAATGATTGTTTCCACCTAAATGTGGATGTATCGTTTTCTTTATAAGTCATTGAAAATACTATTTTCAGGAAGGAATAGAAATACCGGCACAATTGAGGATTACCTGGGGTATGTGTGTTCCCGATACGTGTTCCGGAAGTGACGTATATGGACTTTTGAAATTAGGTAAGTTTTTCCATTTTATACATTAGATCTTTTCCGTGATTAAGGACGACTACATAAATATCGTCAATAAGAATTATCGGTGTGGAAATTTGAATGTTTCACATGTTCCTTTATATTTCACATCGTTTCAAAATCGACTTGCTATATGTTAAAAAAATAATTTAAGGAAGATCTATTAGTATCAACTTAATATAAATTTGACTTTTATATAAACACGAAATAGGAAACAAATTTAATTTCTTTTTTTAATTTAAACTCGGATTAACGGCATTTAAAACTTCATAATTTGTATTAATTATATTTGTTTTCGTGAAACCATGCTTCCTTTTGATGGTATGACACTGGAATTAACTATGGAAAGTTAACCTGAACACTGATTTATAAATGGGTCAGGAAAATTATCTCATGATGTAAAAAGAATCAATTCATCTTAAATCCTCAGCTCACGATCCAAACAAATAAATCCCCAACAATATCAGTCTCAATTATGTCTACTTTACTCTGATATAAATAGTATCGTTCCATGAAACAGATGCTTTAGAAAGCGCCAAGATGATGGTAAGGCAAGCAGACTGTATGGTGGAGTCAGACATAACACACGACCTGGCGGCGTTCTTAACTTTGTGAGTAACACTATCATTTCTTACGATGTGAAGGTTGATGTTCTTTGTGCTTATTGATGTGCATTGGTGTTTTTTTGTATTTTTTTGTGTGTTTACGTTCCCGCATCGAACATAGTACTCAATTTATACGCCCGTCTATCCACACTGTCCTCTCCGGAAATTATCTAGAAATCTAACAACTGATTTTCATGAAATTTGACAAGGTGAAACATTGAGATTTGAAGATGATGTGCAATAAGAAATTAAAAAGTTTCTAAGATAAACGGTAAAGTCACTGTTCCTTAAAAAATAAGACCATGGGGACGGAGGAATTAAAAAGACTAATTATTTTTTAACATGGTTATACGCTGTACCATGTAGATGTGCAGTAAGGGTTTAAACAATTATAACTTTAAGGTCAAGGTCGACGATAGAAATGTAGACGGGGAAAGGGGGATCGTCAGGTAAATGGCGGGGCCTTCGCTGACCTGTCAGTGTTATTGTTTTCTGCCGTCGTTGACTCTGACATAGTCCTGTCTATGAGGACAAGCCATACCTATAATAGTTAAAAGCAGAAAAGTATTAGCAATATGTTTTCTAATTTGGTATTGAACAAACAAGTAAAGCAAAGGTTATTGTCGAAGTTAATATATTTTTTTTTTTATATACTTTTATTAAAAAAAAATATGAGAAAATCGATTTTTCTTACTCTGTGCTACAAATGTTTAGCTGCATGGAAATGATAAACATATTGTGAGAATAGGTGATAAATATCGTGACGTCATCGATGATTTCATTGACTGATCAGGCTTAATTAAATAATTAACCAGGCATAACAAAGACACAATCACTTTGAAAAGAATGCCTACTTTGAAAAAAAACCACTTACAAAGGACAAAGTTATATGCTACCCATTTTCAAATAGAACATAAATGTATCTGCAAAAACAAAAAACTTCAAAATCGGTTTCGACAATGGTACATTCATATATATTGTCCCTCTATTTCCGTAACTAAAATTCCTTTACAACAATCCGCTATCATGAGCTGGAACCTTTAATTCTGATAACGGACAGTTTTCAGTTCATATGCTTTATTTGACATCTAAAAAAATAACACATCCACAGCTTCCAAAACACACTCACCATTTTATATCTAAATACATATATCAGAATGACGAACTATTCTATTGTTATGTATTTTCACTTACTTTGAAGTTTATTAAATAATAAATAGATATTTTTGTGCAATTTAAAACTAAAATCCTGTTAATTTCAATAAGACGCCATATATATGTTTTTTTACCTTCCAGGATCCTTCTCGGCGCTTTTGTAGTTCTTGTGTTATGTTCAACTATCTTTGTATTTTTGGAAAACCGTAGTGTTTTTAGTGACAATAAGGAAACTGTCAATTTGGAGAGTGCTTCAAACAATCCTGTGATGAAAGAATTTAAGATTGGGGACGACAATTCCGTGAAAACAAATGAAGGTATCATCCCTGTTCAGTCCTTGGGGTGTGATAAATCTGTTTCTCACTTAACACCCCAAAACGGTGGGGAACACCAAACCGATGTTTCAAAAGACGCAAACAGTACCGGAGATGGATTACCAAACTTACCACACAGTGTTGAGCAACCAAGAAAGATGAAATATGGTAATGTTTTAACATACTCTCAATATTATAATAAATACACAACCCAAAATCTAGTGCTGAGCAACAAAGCAAGCCTATATATTATTTTATGAATACGTACACATATGCCAGCATACGTCATAACTTCCTTAATGGAATGAAATCATGCTGATTGTTTTGGTATGTTCCCAGGTCCTACTGTTGCCTCTCATTGCAATCTTTAAGTTCCTTTTTTGACCAAGTTGCCAAAAAGGAATGCTTTTAATCAATAACAAAGTATACCAGACAACTAATATTGTTCAAATGTATTTGAATAAGTTAAATCACATACTCAACAAAATGGATACATGGTCGAATATGGTCACCGTAATGTGACTTTTGCTTTAGTTTATCTACATGTTATACACAAACCTGACAATAGCAAACATAAGACAAATACCACATGACATGATCTATACGTACAGTTTCACGAATACATTAGATGGGGAACATAAACTTAAATGGGGGTTGCCACTTATCCTAGATGCGACACATTGCATGTTTCCCCACAAAGGCTTAAGGCTAAACGTACTTGCACATATGAAAAAGTCAATCTTTACAAAAGATTTATTTTTAGAAAAAATGCATCATTGTATAGTTAAAAGTGATAATATTATAGTACACAACCGGCTGAATCAGACATGTACACAGACCTAATATTAGATAACTGCATGATTTAAAGTTCAAATTATAGCATTAACTGTTAACACGACAATTACAAAAAGCATTCTATGAAAGAAACTATAAATATCATGATTCACTTACTTGTTCACATATATTCAAACACAGACATATTTGCAACAAGGCAAATATTTTCAAAACTACTGGCTTTATTTGGATTCAAATACATTGCAACTAACTTTAGCTGAACCATCACCACATGTAATATGAGTAAACTACAATCCTGGTACTATCTACCATATCGTAAAACCTCTGTCATTTAACTTGTCACAGCTGCTGCTATACACTGCATGACGATACAGGCAGAGGTGACCAACAAAAACATTGCTTGTCAGCCGGCGCAAAATAATTTCAAGGTTAACATGCCATGATATAGCATGTTTATAAACAGTACTTCTATGAACGAAACAGAAGTATCGTTATCCAGTTACTTGTACACATATTGTCCCACACAGACAAATTTGCCTAAACCTACACAGAAGAATCTTCAGGTTAGTAGGCAATAATAAAGCACATTTACAAGCAGTGCAAGAGAAAAATCATTACACATTTTGCATGTAAAACCTCAAATCCACTAAAGTATTACGACCATGCACATTAGTTGACAAGTACAGAGCGAGACCGGTCACACGATAAGGCTTTTATACATTTATACAGAATGTAAAAGCAAAACATGTTGAGAATTAGCGATGCTCATACAGTCTGCAGAAAAGAGATATGTTCTTAGGAGACCGGCCCAAGCAAAGTCTAATACCTGCACAATCACATAATGTCAAATTATCAAAAGGCTTCATCGAAACTGTCCATACACAATTCTTGCATGAACAGCAGAAACAGAGACCAGTTCTAGCAGGCCTCGAATCTGCATGATGTCACACTATACTGTAAAATCTCCATCAAATGTTATTATTAACATGTCTTGATATTGTGCAATGTTTAACCATAAGAGACTTACAGGTAAAACTAATATTGCAGAGATATATCAAAATATAGGATACAGGCCTCACAAATGACCAATACTAAGTTGGCAAACGGTTGTATTGTAAGCATTGCTATTCAAGCGACCTAAAGCACGGATCTCTGCATCTAAATGGCGCAACACTGTTTTTTTAATTCATATATTGAATTAAAGGGCCATGCAAATTAATGCTTTAGATGAAATTACTTTTCAATCCTGTGATATCTGACCTGCGCTATGCATTTTGGAATTGTACTAGATTTAAGGTATTTCCTGTATTTGCTATTTCACCGAAGCGAGCAAATGCATGAAAAGCATAGAGTAACATGGACCAGAAAAGAACTAGCTGAAAAGGAGTTGTGGTTATAAATTCTAGAACAGCAATCTTATTGTCTAACATTCCTCTTTAAAAGGTAAAACGTTCATTACTAGAAGGGGCAACACGGTATGCACAACATATTATTTTTCTTAATAAAGAAAGTGTCAGTTGGATCCTGGTTATGGTCGTAAGCCAGAGCAAACACGTATGTCGAAATAAATTTTGAAGAAAAATCTCTATTGTGCAGATTAGAAGTAAATAGAGCTATATGGGATGGATTCACTGCAGAACTAGCAGGCTGAAAGTCGTTATGTTTGCCTACTAGAAGGAGTCATTGGTGAACCTTTAGGTTCTATAACGTCGAGACAGCTCGTCGGTAGATATCTTAGAGGAACGGATTTTGGTGCTGCATCTATCCAAAGGGATTTCCTCTTGAAGTCTGTTACCTGTAAGCGAGAAAGATTGTCTACTAAGATTTACTCTTTCCTCAAATATGTTTGACTTTAAATAATTCGCCTAAATGTATGATGCATGGGAGATCATGCCATCTTACCAAAAGAAAGTTCAATGACTTTCATATTTACTGGTCTGTTTGTTAATGATATGTACCAGAGCCTATGTGTCATTAAAACAATGTACAATGGTCAAAGTTTTCCCAAAGGTTTAACTCTTAATATGATTTGGTAAACCTCCTTGATATATTCCGCCCATGAACCATACAACCTAATGTGTTCCACATATGCCCACAAAACACAAAGTAGTTGCAGTATCGTTATAAAATTGAAAAGCATTACTAGTGATGAAGTTTTCATCACGACAAAATGAGCATCCATTTAAACCGTCTAAAAAGAAATGCCATCCGTAACGGCCTTAGTCAACCTTTAATGGTGATAAGTCTCCCAGTTAGTCAAAGGTCATCTTCTGCAAGAAAGGTCAGCCTGGACCAATGACCTGGCATACAACAGGAAGGAGACTTACAGCGCTCTGCAACTCTTAAAGTGTAAAGAAGGGCAGGCAATACACGTTATGTCACGGCTTGGTAATTAAAAAGGAAAAGGACAGTAGGACAGGTACCACACTGTAACCATTAAATACAACTACAATGTAAAATATGACTGACACAAGTCTGTCAGCTCCTGGATATTACGCCGGATTAGCAATTAGTATGACGACATATACAACTCTGCCTACTCCTGGATACCTCACCGGACTAGGAATTACTCCGAGGATATATCAAACATTGCCAGCTCCTGCATATCGCACCGGACTAGATATTACACCGAGGATAGATCAAACTCAGCCAGCTCCTGGATACCTCACTGGACTAAAAAATTACTCCGAGGATAGATCAAATTGTGTTAGCTCCTGGATACCTCACCGGACTAGAAATTACTCCGAGGATAGATCAAACTGTGTCAGCTCCTGAATACTACACCGGATTAGATATTGTAATTTCAGTGGTATAGCCTATTTGTGAAAACATCAAGTTGCTAGTATTAAATTAATGCATATATGTATGTATATACAAATACATGTGACAGGTGAGGGCTATTGAATCTAAAATAAATATACCTTGTTACATAGATCAACCTACCAACAGGTGTCAGAATTGTTGGCATGTATGCATATTGGCGAGTCTAAGGCTCCGATATAACTTCAGCGGTCCTGTAGGGTTCGAATGACAGCCATCTTGCGGAAAAGGGTATGGTGTACTGATAAACAAACGTTGGTTGAACCAAACATGCAACTGCTCTGGAGTCGTAAACGAAATATTCCAAACCATGTTGGCAGATACATGTTTTCTACGTGGTTAGTAGACACTACTTTAATAGCCATATTTAAGTATATTGAGTAGTTGCACGGTTCATGATACACATTTATCCTAAATGTATTGGGCATTAACCAGTACCTTTCATATTTGTTTTAAATTTGTTTAAGTTTGAAGACTTTTACGCACCTTTCTTTTTGTTTCAAGAGTACTTTAGACTGATCTGAATTCCAGATTCAGGCATTTAGTATCATCGACTAACCCTATGACGACAAACATGTGGTGCAGTATAATTTATTTTCGGAATACTATATATATTACCAAACAATTGTATATTTTTGTAATAACGTGCGTATTTTCTGTTTGATGTCTAGGCGTACTAAGCAAGATCGCTAAGGCATTCGCTTTACAACTAAACATCCCGAAGATAGTTAGTGGAAAGACTGGACCTAACTCAATCGGGTGTATCCATGGTATCAGGTTCTTCACCATTACATGGGTTATGCTTTGTCACACTTACGTTTATCTGGTGATGACATTCCCCAACGTCTGGTCATTAGGTAAGCATGCTGTTCGGTTACTAAGTGCAAATGGAAGGTTAGGGTGGTCCATTGCTAGATGTTACTGGAGTATACTACACTATCTTTATCTTTTCCAAAACAGGTCAATTGTCTCCGGCAACACCCCTATCATTCACACGAGATATTTATTAAAAAAAATCGTTAAAAAAGATTGAATACTAACGATGTACGTGACATTAACAACATATTCCACTTTCTGCTATTTGTTGCTATAGAACAAAACTTTTTTTTATTTTAATAGCCTATTCCATTGAAATTAATTCTATGAATGTCTTATATATGAAGAAAACGTCTTATTTGGAAAAAAATTTTGATATAAAGCAAACTGCAGTTCACCTTATGTTATCAGATAACTTAAGCAGACAAGAAATTATGGTTCAAGGTTACTTTCCGTAGTACCTGCCAAGCAATTAAAGCTATATGTGTGGATTACCTGATTATTGATTAATAATGTAATAATCTTTGTTCATTTTTATTTGTTTTATAGAAAACCCTCTAAACTACATCGAAATGACACACAACTTTTCGTTCCAAATTATACTCGGTGGTACCTCTGCAGTGGACACATTTTTCATGCTGAGGTTAGATTGATTATGCAGCTACAAACTATACCATAACTCAAATCATTCACGATGCATTGATAAGTACAGATCATGGGACCCTCCTTCCTAATATTTTGAAAGTGTTTTTTGTACAAATTGAGTCAGTACATCTCGACCCCTGTTTAAAGCTAAAGTGTGTCATGAAATACGAAAAAAAGTAAAAAAGGAGGGTACTCACTATTGTAAGTTGAGATAAATTAATAATTTTCTGGCAACAGCATTTGGCTTTGTATCAGTTTCTTTTTTAATATTTTGCTGCAAAACAATTTTGCTGACTCTACGGATTTACACTGGCGTTTTATTGTGTTTAGAAATAATGACCCTTCCATATGACCTTGTAAAATAGAGCCTCGAAATTTCGATTCCCGTTCCAATTCCCGGCACTTTCACAAGTCTTGTTCTGTTATCACCATGGTCGGGTGGTGCAGTGGATAGCGCACTTGCCTTTCACCAAGGCGGCCGGGGTTCGATTTCACGATCGGACGTCAACAGGTAGGGGTCACCTGCCCGATCACGTGGGTTTTCTGCTGGTTCTCCGGTTTCCTCCCACACTAAGACCCCCCAGGCGCTAACATCTGGGCCAACAAGAGTGATTCATATAAGTTAAAATAACATGTTTCATAACTGTTGTAAAATAAATAAATTTTATATTTATATAGTTATCACCAACCCCCGGCTGCAATAGCGACTGCAAAAACGGTCATTTTGAACAACGAAACAGTTCGCAGAGCGTTCATATTGACATATCCAAACGCTATGCCTCCCCTCACCATAAGCAGAATCTGGATTCATCTTTGCAAATTAATGTTTTATTACCGTACCACCCAACGACGGTCAGTGGCGGCCCTTGAAAACGGCTGTTATGGTGAGGTTGTGTCAACATGGGCCATATATTAGAGGGATGCGATTTTAGTCGGTATACTCTCACGCGATTTCAGATAGTTTAGGCAGACACATGGCGACCGAGGCATGTTATTGTAGTAACAATGTGTTAATAACAGCCGTATCCGTAGGTCTTCCTGGGAGGTGTGCTTAACGCTCTGGGGAAGGTCGGACGTCGACCCCGTTCGGTTCAGCAAAAGCTTTATTGCCTCCGCACTGTAGTAAAGTTGTCGGGCAACTTGACATTGCCATACTCCCGATTAGAGTACTCCAACAGACCTTTCTCTCTGAACTTGACATTGCCATACTCCCGATTAGAGTACTCCAACAGCCCTTTCTCTCTGAACTTGACATTGCCGTACTCCCGGTTAGAGTACTCCAACAGCCCTTTCTCTCTGAACTTGACATTGCCAAACTCCCGATCAGAGTACTCCAACAGCCTTTTCTCTCTGAACTTGACATTGCCATAGTCCCTATTAGAGTACTCCAACAGCCCTTTCTCTCTGAACTTGTTACAACAGCAGCATAAAGAAAAACGCGTACCGGTTATAATATGTTACTAGCTACCGGTCTATAGGTTGTCACGTGGTTGGTATTCTATTCTAAGTTGTTATATAATACAGGATCATTGTTCTATTTTAAGTGATTTAGTTGTTGTCCGTAGAGGAAGGTTTTAGCTTTTCTTTTTTGCTGAGTCTATGTATATCATAAAAGTATAAGGCCCTTTATATTTTACAAACTTTGAAAGCGATTTTACATGTACGATGTAAACGTATGTGAAGGTATGTAATATGAGAAATACAGAATAGTGGATTATTTACACGTTCTTAAATTATGGCGATTTTTACCCAAAAATTAGAATTTTACGATCTCGACATGTGAAGGAACTAAATTCTCGTGGTGTCCTAGCACGAGATACAAAGTGTTCAATTGCCAAATGAATAAGCTTCATGACAGCAAATTGAGCAACGAAAATAATGTATTTTGCTAGGTTTATCATCAACAAAAGTATGAAATGTGTGATATAACCTTGTATTTAAACACCAGTACTCTTTATGTATATGAATCGTCACAACAACATACACGCGTTTTCATGGTGACATGACCAATATTAAGTTTTAAATCGCGGCTCATTTTTACACTTGCCATGTTATACTGCGGATAATATTATCGTCATCACTCAATTGACTCGTGGAATAGCAAAACGATCACCCCCACGGAAATATCCTGTAATACGGTAAACTCCGGGAGGTTTGTGAGTCCAAAACAGGACCTTGCACCCGAGAGTAGTATATTCATTTACCAAAAACCTACATAATAATTTACTCTTTTTTCGCTTATCGCTTACTCGAAGATTTAGTCAAACACCACATCGACAATATGAAACCACAGAAACCTGTACCGTATTTAATAACTACAGTTAAAAACATGACATTCCTCTATAGCAAGTTTATGGAATACCTACACTGCCTATGGTGTGTTGTCAGTTTCTAACAGTATGATTATTTGTGTTAGTAAAATGACGTTTTGACAGGCTTTCGAATGTGGCCCTATAATACAATGTCTTCAGGACATGGTGACGTCATTACAGTAAAGGTCACTGAGTGCAACTACGCATAGTATAAACGTAGACAAGGAAACAAATCTGCAATATTTTTAAACTCTTTTGATAGTTTAAACCGAGCTGAAATTAAGTGGACCTCCAAATATGAAAAATGCATTATGAAATGGAATCAACTTATTGAATAATATTGAAAGCTTCCACTATGAACATCAACATGAAATACTTAGCGCAAGCTCATCGATAAATGGCTTAAATCATAGAATATATACATTCCCTTGCAAGTCCCTATATTAACACTAACAGAGAAGATGGCATTTTGACCCATTTTTTGCCAACACGCATAAGATGATATTATCAAAAAAAGAAAAACATTCTGTAAAGTGAAGTTGTCCCAGGGTTGTTCGTTTCACTTGCGATCGATATATTGCAAATATTAAAGAATGGTTATATTGTCAATACTTATTACTATGATATGGGAATACGAATGTGTTATTGAACGGAGTATTTTGAACATTAACGCTTGTTTGAATGTTAAAGAACGCTATATATACGATCCCTAAAAACCAGTGTATTATGTAAAACTGTAGTAGGAAACATAAAAACCCGTTTTTAGTCTGCAAAAACCTTTCAATCCTGAATAGAAAAAAGGATGTATATAAGTACATGATTTGATCTGGCAACTGTATTATTTTTGAAAGAAAAACACCAACAACAACAAAAAACCAAAAAAAACATGAAACTTAATATTAACACATTATAGCTTCAATAATTCGAGTAGGTCGAAATGTTTAGTTACTATCGTGAAATTTTCAATTACTTTCTTGAAATTTCGAGTTTTTTCTACATGGCCCTAAAGCTCTTCCGTAGTAGTACGACTACAAGCAGAAATATGTAAAAATAAGTGTTCAGCAGAGATTTTAGACTTTTGCAATATGCAATGACAAATTTTATACATTAATACAATTGACTCATAATACAGGTATAACTACAAACGATACAGTAATACCTAACTAGCAAACCTGAAAACGCCCCTTGTGCAATCAGAAAATACATAACTAGTTTAACATCAAAAAGTGTACTCAACACACTGCATTAGCATCACTGCGGCATAAAAGAATACACTTTCCCACGTCTTTGTGATATACACGTCGCACATATGGAACACTCTTATGGGCTATGTGTTTCTCTTATCCTGGACAAGTGTATCCATATGTTTCCAATTATAAGATACCCATGGTTCATCGTAGGGTTGAGGCAAAGGGATTCCCCTATATAACATAATATCATTGTATTTGATACACATTAGGTGAATAGGGTAAAAGAAAAAATATCATTCGACCCTCATCCCGAAAGGGGTAAAATATTCTATTATCAAGTATCATTGTACTCAAAGACCTGTATATTTATGACGTCACAATCAGATGACGGCGTTTTTATTATGACGTCACAATTAAAAACACGTCAAAAGATCGTTTTAATGATTGTGGCAATCTTGCTGTCGGCATGTGACACTACCTTCATAACACAATAATTGTTCCACAAGCTTGCTCTGAAGCTCCTTCATTGATGTTTATATTTTAAATATTTATATATACCTTTTTAGTATCTGCACAATATTCTTATATTCTTCATTTTATATTTAGAAATTTGATAAATCAATGTTTGTTGGATGCGATTCTATAAAAAATAATCAACTATTACTGTATGTCACATCTAGCGGGATGATGCTGTCCTATACTCAGCTGAAGAACTTGCAGACGCTAAAAACCAAACTAACTGGACGGAATGTCGGCGGCTATGTCTTCCATTACTTCTTCCACAGGCTTTGGAGGTACGTCTGCTGTTTCGAAAAAATAATCAATTATCTCTTCTTATGTAGCATGTAGTTAAAACATATTTTATTGATCGAATGATTCGAAAAGATCGGACAACAAGTTTAAACGACTCATAACTGTCATCTCCATTATACCACATTATATGTACATTCGTGCTTTTTTATAACAATATGCTTTGATAAGGCTAACTGATAGAGGATGGTAATTGAATAATAAAGAGACGGAAATTAGAGTATACACGTACAGTAAAGGTGGACCTATTTACCTTGATAATAGATATAATAGAATAAATGCAGAGCTGAAACATATACATGTACCAATATATCACTAGTCTAGGTATAGTATACTCGACGATCATGTCCTATATCCAATGGTTATAACAATGAGATATGCTCTTTTCCTGTATTCAAGACATCCTTTTTTTAAATGATTTACTTGTTTGCGAGTTTATACGCACACGCTTTTATAGTGTCTTCATGGATGGATGATTGGATCATTCCCGGATTGAACCGAACCTTTAGTTATCAACATAACAAACACACCATTCAAGGTCTTCACACATGGAACTTCCGGTTTATTGCGCATGTCACATAACATGAATGATTCACGTTACATATACAAATGATAACGACTGTAGATATTATTAAGGTTATCAATAACATATATTATACGAATACTACAGCTTTCTTTTTGTAAGTATGACCTGTGTATGTTTTAGGTTGACACCGATCTACATGATAACAATCCTTATGTTCGCAACAGTATCTGAGTACATGAAAAGCGGCCCCCTAATGCCAACTTCCTTTCCATATATAGAAAACTGCAAGGAGTCTTGGTGGACAAATCTACTATATGTCAACAACCTCGTCATGACGGATAAACCGGTATAAAACTTCAAACTTATATTTTGATTTAAATATGCGCCGTTGTTTTCTTTTCTTTTGTCTTTAAATTAGTCTTCATTTAGACAAATCACATATTGAGTATCAATTATGAAAAGAGAAATTAACTGATTATTGACAGGGAAAATGTGCTTAACTGAAAATGTTTGATGCATTTAATTTTTTAAATTAGTAAAGGGAAAGTACTATTTTAACGTGTCTTTATTCAACTTCTTCCGAGGCAAAGATACCAGATCCGCTTTTTCTCTCTTTTTATTTAGCGAGATTAAACGTCATTGATAACGGAATAGGCAGATACGTGAGAACTGTTTTTTCTCGCGCTATAAATAATCGCTGAATTTCAATTCATAACTATTGAACTGGGTGTAAAACGGTATTTAATTGTTTTTCTTATTTTGTTTAAATGACTAATTGCTTCTGACAACGATAGAAAGGCATTATCAATTTCATACCGGCATCAAAACTGACGATAAGTCGTTCAATGCTTATATAAACATTACATCTTTTTATTTTTTGTGTTACCCAAGTACAAATATCTGATATTTTCGATATAAGGGTTTGTGTCGTCCGTGCCAATGAGATTCCTTGAACACTCTAATGTCAACAAAATGTTCGCTTTTAACGGTTTTCTCGTGTCCATCGAGGCGGGAAGAGAAGGTTCAAAATGACGCTGATCAAATTGCATTATAGCTCTATGAACGCGATTCCTTTAGTGATGCTTATAGACGAAAATGCATTGTAAGTGTAAATATATTCTTGTGAACGTCACCATTTGTTTGCTTCCTTATATATATTTTTGGTAGTGTTATTTACAACTTTCGTCCATTGGCAACGAAATATCTTCTTAAAAAACTTACTCTTAAATTCATCACTGTTTGACATGTTAGAGCTGATTGTAGTGTTTTGTTATTGTATATCTAATGAGTGCTCGTCACTTATTGTTTGGATATAATTTCTAAATTTTATTTCTTGGTTTGTTACAAGTTCTGCTATTCGACCATTAAAACTGCAATTCATATTATTATTTACGTCTGGGCTACTGTTAAAATCTTCCAAACACCCATCCCTCAATAATTCGTCGTAGTTCGAGATGACCTTTATTACATAAACAAAACTGACGGTGAGAAGAATTGAAAGACATGTCCTTTTATTATCATATATTGTTGATAATAACTTGAGCATTGTAATAAAATAGGATTCGTCCACCGAACTCTAGACGGACGCTCCACTAGTTGACCTTCCTAGCTGCTGACGATCACTACAATCCGTGACAGAAAACTAGAACATGCATCGGTTTAAACGAGTAGACCTGTATTTCCACAACAGTGACAGGTTCTGTCTGAAAAAACTCAAACTGACAAGGTATTTTAATGTCTTATATTTGTCTTCGCTCGGCGCTCAAAATATATTAAAGCCACGAGTTTAGATTTGATATTTCTAATATAAGAAATTATGAAATAGGTAAATTTTCTCACATACACATTAACATATTTCTGCGAACATGACGAACTCAAATTGGAATACAAGTGAAAGTTCTTTCATATTTTATAACTGTGAAAGATACTGAAACAAAACGCGTGACGAGAGTAACTGACTACCGGTCATTACACCGGCCTATAATTCCATTCTGTCTAGTCATCGTCACTCGAGTTCCCATTTACACAACTTTACATTGTTAAAAACTCTCTACGTTCTCAGTTCATACTTTCTTCATCTTTTGAAAAATCCAGAATCACTCCCTATAATGAACATCACAAATCAAAGCGATGCAGCATCAGATTAAAAAGATTTAAGCTTAAGCATAAAGCCAAACATTTTGTTTTATCGTATGACCAATTGTTCTCGAAACAGGCGCATCTTAAGTTTTTTTTTTAAATTTATATCAGCTTAACATTGAGAATAAATTCAAAAGTTTTATAAAGGCAGTAGGAATGTGCACAAAGTGAACTAACGTATATTATTTACAACAAAGTTCATACATTCAGAATCCCTATACCATAACAAGCAGAACGGATTTCTCGTATATAACATAACCTTTTTTGTTACATTTGGATACAATTGTAGCACGGTGGGGCAAAACTATTTCCACTGATCGCTACTGTAACTATCTGAGATGCATGGTTACCAATCCTAATCTGGACAGTTTACACCTAAAACTCTGTTGGTTTGATCGCTAGTATAACTATCTGAAATGCATGGTTACCAATCCTGATCTGGACAATTTACACCTAGAACTCTCTTGGTTTGATCGCTAGTATAACTATCTGAGATGCATGGTAACCAATCCTAATCTGGACATACTAACAGTTTACACTTAAGAGCTCTGATGGTTATGGTTACCAATCCGGATCTGGTTACCATTCCTAATCTGGACATACTAACAGTTTACACTTAGAGCTCTGTTGGTTTGATCGCTAGTATAACTTACTGAGATGCATGTTTACCAATCCGAATCTGGTTACTAATCCTAATCTGGTTACCAATCCGAATCTGGACACACTAACAATTTACAGTTAGAGCTCTGTTGTTTTGATCGCTAGTATAACTATCTGGGATGCATGGTTACCAATCCTAATCTGGACAGTTTACACCTAAAACTCTGTTGGTTCGATCGCTAGTATAACTATCTGAGATGCATGGTTACCAATCCTAATCTGGTAACCAATCCTAATCTGGACATACTAACAATTAACACTTAGAGCTCTGTTAGTTTGATCGCTAGTATAACTAACTGAGTAGCATGGTTACCAATCCAAATCTGGTTACCAATCCTTATCTGGACATACTCACAGTTTACACTTAGAGCTCTGTTGGTTTGATCGCTAGTATAACTATCTGAGATGCATGATTACCAATCCTAATCTGCACATACAAACAATTTACACTTAGAGCTCTGTTGGTTTGATCGCTAGTATAACTATCTGAGGTGCATGGGTACCAATCCTAATATGGGCAGTTTACACTTATAGCTTTGTTGGTTTGATCGCTGCTATAACTATCTGAGGTGCATGGTTACCAATCCTCATCTGCACATACTAACAGTTTACACTTAGAGCTCTGTTGGTTTGATCGCTAGTATAACTATCTAAGATGCATGGTTACCAATCCTAATCTGCACATACGAACAATTTACACTTAGAGCTCTGTTGGTTTGATCGCTAGTATCTGAGATGCATATTTACCAATCCTAATCCGGACAGTTTACACTTAGAGCTTTGTTGGTTTGATCGCTACTGTAACTATCTGAGATGCATGGTTACCAATCCTAATCTGGACAGTTTACACTTAGTGCACTGTGGGTTTGATCGACAGTATAACTATCTGAGATACATGGTTACCAATCCTAATCTCGACAGTTTACACTTAGTGCACTGTGGGTTTAATCGCCAGTATAACTATCTGAGATGCATGGTTACCAATCCTAATCTGGACAGTTTACACTTAGTGCACTGTGGGTTTGATCGCCAGTATAACTAAATGAGATGCATGGTTACCAATCCTCATCTGGACATACTAACAGTTTACACTTAGAGCTCTGTTGGTTTGATCGCTAGTACAACTATCTGAGATGCATGATTACCAATCCGAATCTGGACAGTTTACACTTAGACCTTTGTTTGTTTGATCGCTAGTATAACTATCTGAGGTGCATGCTTACCAATCCTCATCTGGACATACTACCAATTTACACTTAGAGCACTGTTGGTTTGATCGCTAGTATAACTATCTGAGATGCATGGTTACCAATCCTAATCTGCACATACGAACAATTTACACTTATAGCTCTGTTGGTTTGATCGCTAGTATAACTATCCGAGATGCATGGTTACCAATCCTAAGCTGGACAGTTTACACTTAGTGCGGGTTTGATCGCCAGTATAACTATCTGAGATGCATGGTTACCAATCCTAATCTGGACATACTAACAGTTTACACTTAGAGCTCTGTTGGTTTGATCGCTAGTATAACTATATGAGATGCATGGTTACCAACCCTAATCTGGACATACTAACAGTTTACATTTAGAGCTCTATTGGTTTGATCGCTAGTATAACTATCTGAGATGCATGGTTACCAACCCTAATCTGAACATACTATTAGTTTACACTTAGAGCTCTGTTGGTTTGATCGCTAGTATAACTATCTGAGATGCATGGTTACCAATCATAATCTAGACATGCTAACGGTTTACACTTAGAGCTCTGTTTGTTTGATCGCTAGTATAACTATCTGAGATGCATGGCTACCAATCATAAACTAGACATGTTGACAGTTTATACTTAGAGCTCTGTTGGTTTGATCGCTAGTATAACTATTTGAGATGCATGGTTACCAATCCTAATCTCGACATGCTTACAGTTAACACTTAGAGCTCTGTTGGTTTGATCGCTAGTATAACTATTTGAGATGCATGGTTACCAATCCTAATCTGGACATACTAACAGTTTACACTTAGAATACTGTTGGTTTCATCGCTAATATAACTATCTGAGATGCATGGTTACCAATCCTAATCTCGACATACTATTAGTTTACACTTAGAGCTCTGTTGGTTTGATCGCTAGTATAATTATCTGAGATGCATGGTTACCAATCCTAATCTGGACATACTAACAATTTACACTTAGAGCTCTGTTGGTTTGATCGCTAGTATAACTATTTGAGATGCATGGTTACCAATCCTAATCTGGACATACTAACAGTTTACAGTTAGAGCTCTGTTGGTTTGATCGCTAGTATACCTATCTGAGATGCACGGTTACCAATCCGAATCTCGACATGCTTACAGTTAGCACTTAGAGCACTGTTGGTTTGATCGCTAGTATAATTATCTGAGATGCATGGTTACCAATCCTAATCTGGACATACTTACAGTTTACACTTAGAGCTCTGTTGGTTTGATCGCTAGTATAACTTTATGAGATGCATGGTTACCAATCCTAATCTGCACATACGAACAATTTACACTTAGAGCTCTGTTGGTTTGATCGCTAATATAACTATCTGAGATGCATGGTTACCAATCCTAATCTGCACATACTAACAGTTTACAGTTAGAGCTCTGTTGGTTTGATCGCTAGTATATCTATCTTAGATGCATGGTTACCAATCCGGATCTGGTTACCAATCCTAATCTGGACAAACTAACAGTTTACACTTAGAGCACTGTTGGTTTCATCGCTAGTATAACTATATGAGATGCATGGTTACCAATCCTAATCAGGACATGCTGACAGTTTACACTTAGAGCTCTGTTGTTGATAATATTATGTTTATCTTATTCTTTATTATTTTTCTATGATATACAGCAAGGTATGGTTTTCTCTTCAGATATGTTTAATCAAAGCTATATTCGTGCGGAAAATAAACAGTTTCAAATGTTAGATACATGTATATCTTTTGGCAGTGGAATCCTTCAATATTAAACATATATCTACCACATGTAATGTAAGTGCGATATCACAAAGTGAGGTGAAGTGATTCTATTTTATTTGTTACATACGTCATTTGCAATATGGATATATATAATTGAATCGTTCATTTATATGTTGTCTTGTATCCACAGTGTGGGGGATGGAGTTGGTACTTGGCAAATGACATGCAGTTTTATACCGTATCCCTACTTATCCTTTTTATGATGATTTTGTAAGTATTCAGCGATCAATCAAAGGATACGGGAAACATGTTTTGACGAAAACAGTTATGCGGAATGTATTTGATATATGTAAGCTCTATGGTAATTTGATATATGTAAGCTCTTTGGTAATTTGATATATGTAAGCTCTTTGGTAATTTGATATATGTAAGCTCTTTGGTAATTTGATATATGTAAGCTCTTTGATAATTTGATATATGTAAGCTCTATGGTAATTTGATATATGTAAACTCTATGGTAATTTGATATATGTAAGCTCTATGGTAATTTGATATATTTAAGCTCTATGGTAATTAAATATTTGTAAGCTCTAAGGTAATTTGATTGCTGGTTACACATCTATTTCAGAACAAGTTCTACATGTTTTCAGTGCATACAAAACTTTCCTATACTCATAATCATAATCAAAGTTTAAATAATCTAAAACGCATTCTGTAAATACCTGTAAACCCTTACCATATATTATTCTATAGCGTCATGAGTATACTTGAAAAGTCACTATACAGATAGTTGGTGGTACATTTCTTTTTTTTATAATTAAACATTAGTAGGAACGTTTTCGTTTGTCAAAACAACTTCTTCATTTTGCATTGTAACGTTTACATTTGTCTTGATATAGTTTTTTAATGCGTTGACCTGCTATTTATTTTGCCCTAGTTTCATCGAGTGAGAGTTCAAGTTACGGTTAACCTGTCATCTTTCATTTTATGCACGAACTGTCATTCTGATTCACCGATGCGGTAATTTTTGGCTTTTGGTCAGTATTCGAAATGTATACCACAGTATACTGTGCACCGAATCCTTTTGAGTTTCTCTGTTGAATTGAAGAGATACCAACTGTATAGACTTGTCTGTTGAAGTCGCATAAATATTTAGGTCAATAGTTGTCCGCCATTTCACAGGAGTCATCTTCCACAACAACATCAGGAAATATCATCAAGTCTTGGCGTTTTTTGTCTGCGTTGCAAATCTATTTCATTAAACCTTTCAGCATCTCCATTTAGAGAAATGGTTTGTTTGTTTGTTTATTTGAATTAAACATCAACGCGACAGCTAGGTTAATAGGACGAAAACGGGCGCCTAAGGAGACATCGTCGACAAGAGAGGGTAGATAATAGAAAAAAGGAAATGATATAGAACCCAAGTTTGTCTTAACCTACTGGTATGTTCAATATTTAACCCATTTATGATTATATTTTATGAGCTTTATCAACAAATCAGAGCCCGGCCGTGTTTTTGTTGACGGGTCAATCCAACAAGGTATCCAAGCGACAGCCTTTATATTGGTCCCTTATGTTCTTATATATGTTATTGTTTACAATTACTTTATAACACATTTTATATTCATTTCAAAACACCATGTCTAAAAACACAAATAACTTTGAAAGTAATGCGTAAATTAGTACTGACATGTTTCTGATAACATTGGAAGCTGCTTTCTAAAAAAAGGTGGCCCCTACCCTGAAAAAGGGGACTTTTCTCTGCCCTTGCATTTGAATGAAAACATTGATTGGTGTAATATAATAATATGACGTAAGTAACTTACACAGTCTTGCTTTACCACGATATAGATATAATTTGGATTCAGCTATACAAACCCATATGTCCTTACAAAATCATTTACACATTGACAAGAATATTTGGAAAGGAAAATGGCTGATCCCCTCAACATATTACCTCCATCGCAAATCACGAGTAAACTTATCCAGATATTTGGTCAGGGGTATGGGTTGGAGAAAACACCTGTATAACTTCCTGACTATTATCGGCCCCAACCTCGCGGTCCGTCCCTCTCCTACGCTTTATGCATCATACCACTTCTTTCTTTCAATGGCGTCATTGGTATGCATTATACAAAAGGAATATCGGCACAAACAGAATACCGCAGAGTCATAAAACCGTAATTCAAATTAAAATCGATTCAACCGGCGCGAAATATGAAAAGGGTAGTATTTACACAGCAAAAGTAAAGTGGAACTAGTTGTTTAAGAATTTTAAACGTTTACCGCTCAACATATATCAAACAATACAATATATCTTCAAATGTTTTATTTCATAGCAAAATGCCTGTAGCAATCCTTACATCCTTGACGCTCATGGCTGGAGGGATGGCTTATACTGTATACAAACAATATCACACCAAAGGATCCTTAATTTCGTAAGTATAACATTATAACTTCGTATATTAATGAATCATTACTTTTAATTCGCAGTTTGCTTTCATTTTCTGATGAAACATTCATTGATCAGAGCAAGGTAACCTTTATAACACTGCAAATCTTAGTCCTAACAATCCTTTACTTCATCCTACTACATGTGCAATAACAGGCATTTGTTTCTTAGTTCTTCATTGTGTTGAATAAAATTGTCTCCTCCTTTATATATTATTATCGATACTATTTGCGAAACAAGGATATAGTTATAAAATCGATCATTTACATAATCCACGCAAATTTTACTTAAACAAAATACCCACGTAGACATTCAATCAATTTGGTGAATTCCATAATTTGGACGACTGGGAGTTGAATGCAGGGGATGTGGTAGGGTTGATGTGTGTGGGTCTTTAGAACAGGGATTATTCTCTGAAATATCGGGCATTTTCTATCAAACGTTAGATAATTTACAACATTTTTGAAAGGAATTGTGGTACGCAAGAGTTATGCTCATTATCAATACATCACATTACGATTATGTTAAGACGTATACAACTCCTATGCTGACATCACTATCAAGATAACAATATGACGTCAAGATAAAATGAAGTCACAAGGAAGAAACAGGGAGATGGAAATCAACTTCTTTGTGAATATCCGGGTACATTATTTAAAATATGAGAAATAACTTCTCAATATCTAAAATGAAATATATTTCTTTACCCCGTAAACGAAACCGCACTCCACATCTGCATGATTTGGTAAATAGGTGTATCTGCAGACAGCTCATCTAACTATTTATGTTTTGCCTGCAAATACTATTTCGCTTCCTGCTTGCAAAACGAACTTAAGTTGCTGGGTAATAATAAAATGCTACTTTTACATTGTTTCTAAGGACAACATGATAGTTATTCAAACTTCTGAATTATAATCTTTCCTTATACCAATTAATGATTAGGACACGGACACTGCTTCATTTGTGTTGGATGTTCAGATTCACAAGAATTATGGCTGGCTATTAAAGTACAATCTTATTGTAGCCCATTTTACTTGAAAATTGGAATAAACTTGACTTTATTCGAATTATGTATGGATATATAAGGTTAACTAAATAAGGTTTAAATATCACTATTGCAGGGGCGCTTCTTCGTTCCAAGAATACTGGTCAAATATCTACATTGCGCCCTGGTGCCGTATTGCGGCTTTTTTAGTTGGGTTACTATTCGGCATCGTCATGAACAAACGACCAAGGAAGTCATTCAGCAAGGTAACTATTAATTCCTGTTCGGTGTGCAGAGTAGTCGACGTTTTTAGTCCACCGACGGTTCCCGGGGGGACTATAGGTTTGCACTACATCCGCCTATCCGCCCGTCCTTCCGTCTAAGAAGTTTGTCCAGGACATATCTTCTATATTATTTCACCTAGGGTAACCAGGTTTGTACAAGGACATCTTTGGATGGCAGAGTGTAGAGTGCAAGAAGACATTCACTATGACCTAACTGTGACCTATGACTTGACCTTAGACCTTAACCTTTCAAACAGTCTTTTTCCGGGCACATCTTCTAAACTATTTCACCTGGAGTAACCAGATTTGGTGTACAAGGACATCTTGGGATGGTGGAGTGCAGAGTGCAAGAAATCGGTCATTGTGACTTACGACTTGACCTTAGACCTTAACCTGTTAAACAGTTTGTCCGGGCACATCTTCTAAACTATTTCACCAGGAGTAACCAGATTTGGTGTACAATGTGCTCTTGGGATGGCAGAATGCAGAGTGCAATGATTAGGTCACTCTGAAGTACGACTTGACCTTTGATCTTTGACTTTTACTTTTGAAAAAGTTTGTCTGGGGAAAATATTCTATATTATTTCACCTGGAGTAACCAGATTTGGTGTACATGGACATCTTGAAATGGTGGAGTTCAGGAAGTAGGTTACTATATCCTTACTCTTACATATGCTTCCTGACATAAGTGTACTGTTTGTTAAATATAGAAATCATTACTAGTGGGGGTATATGGATTACTTTGCAATACTCTGCATTATTCTTTATGATTTCTAGGTATATCATCGTTCAGGTTGCTTACATAGTTGGTCCATTACACGTAGTGGCAGTGGTTTATCATGTTTATTCTTTTCTTGTAAGTTTGTTTTCAAAGGGACTATTTCCAGCTATGTTAAATTTACACAGGAGCCTGCCCCCTCATAACTTTTGTTTCAGAAATGCTACGAGATTTATGCTGCTGTTATAACTTTTTTCAATCCATTATATACATCCGGAATTATTACTTTGAATCACTCTTCAAATTTTTTAGATGATTAATTAAAGGGACATCACGCAAAAAGCCATATTTTTTTAATGAATGTATGTATTGTATGCACTTCCACTTATGTTACCTCGCTATCCCCATATTCATAGTCCGTTCCAAATGTCCAGTTTGACCACTTGAATTGTTCGGGAAAGCCCTGCTAAAAATAGCGCCGATCACGTCACCTGACTAGGCAGTAAACACGAGCGGTCTGGGCGAAATGAAACGGTTTCCAAAGGGGCCCCCAGAGAGGGGCGTCAGGCAACTGAAACTTCTTACCGCACTATGAAACCAAGTAATATGATTTCTATGTCCGTATTAAAACTTATTGAACAGTAGTTATCCATCATTAGAAGTTAATCCCATTCCCATCGACATATTAAACTAAGTTCATCTGTGTTCAAACTCAGACAAAGCTACTAGCGAGGTTAATAGTTTTAGATATTTATTCAAAACATAAACAGCGCTAGCATTTCTGTCGATTCCATTTCAGACTGACTGCTAGGGCAGTTGTTTTCTTCTTTGAATACTCCCACCTGTAATAATGATTCCGTAACGTACTCCGTGCGCTATCTTTTGACCATTTGGCAACTTTTCGCTTCGTAGCTGACACGGTACAACACTTTTCTTTGGCTTACTTCACACGCTCAGTCATTTTGTTTACAAAAAAATGGTGTGCAATGCGCATGCGCTAGTAGAGGGAAATCCCTGAACAAAACGTTGGTCAGACAGGTAGAAATACTGATGATTATCTTAGATTTAATCATTTTTATGAATCTATTTCAGCCAAATTCGATCGTTATTTTCCATAAGGAGTCTCACTTGATATGTTTATGTAGTATTTGAAAAAAAGACACAAAAAAAAGTTACTTCACCGTAATGCCCCTTTAACCTAATTGTAGCATGGGGGTCGAAAAACGAAATATCAACCTGAAAGTATTGTTCTGAAAAAGAATCGTATTTTTTGCATCATAATACTAGGGAAAGAAAATTTTCTTTCATGTAGTGCTTAAATAACATTATTTAATATCCAGAATTTGAGTTAAATCGAACAATTTGTGAAAATTTTAATGTAAAACATAGGATTTTTTTATTACTATTCTTGTATACCTAAAATGTTCATAGTATGAAGAAGTCGTGTTATTTCAAATATGTATGCAAATTTTCAGTCCAAAAAAGAGGAGGAAAGTATTCAAATTCCAATATATTTCATCGCTTGGTATGATTGATAAAAGTTTAGTTAACAATCATTTTTTATATCAAATGTAATTTTTTTGTCACTTTATAGAATTTATTGTTTTACATTTTGTTATCATATTTTATACATTTTATCATCAAACTTTCTATTTATATTGCTTTTAGGGGATATTTCAAACTCATTTATTAATACTCATCTCGTAATCAACAGTAAATTTATTGGTAAAGGTTGCCATCGTATCGTAAATGTAAAGGTACATGATATGTAAAAGAAAATCCATAATATATATAACTTTTGGATATACTGACTAAAAGTGGCATACATTGCTCAAATGAAGAAGTTAGCATTGGTCCGAAGTGATACAAAAGGTATCTCAGAAGAAAGAGAATCTGACACAGAACGTTTTAAAGATGAAACTACTAAAAGTTTTCCTCTCTTAACAATCAAGAACCATTTTTACGGGTTCTGTTTACATACAAAATGTTATCTCTGTTTTAACCATTTTAATTCGAAGGAAAGCAAATCCATCTTCTGCAAAAACGTGCCAGGCATCAGTTTCTTTTCACACATAAATTCTGGTGTCTTATTTGCAATGACCTAAACTCCTGTACAGGGGTTATTCTATAAGGAAGAGAGTGTTTGAACGCTCAATTATGAAATAAGTCATCTGAAATGATTGATGATATTTTAGAAGTGCCGCACATCTTATCAAAGAATCAATCAGCCTTGACTCTTAATTTTTGTCTCTTGGATCGCCCTGGTTGCAAAGCTTAGAGAGGTTGGTCAACGAACAGTTTCTCAAAATCCGTACGTGCTTTGTCCCATTTCTTTCTTCTTCAGTCTTTACCAAAACTACACAAAATGCTCTTTTATTGTTGTGTTATTGCATTTCCCTGCGTAGTGTTTCAAAAACCGTTCATTTTGTAGTACAAGCATTAAATAAATCTATAGTTCCAATGTTCCATGGTACTGACCATTTGAGTAGGAAACAGATACTTTCATACAATATTTTATTCTTAGAACATTCTTTGGAGACAAAGTGAATGCCTTCATAGATGGTACATATATTTATATCAAAACAAGTGCTGACCACAAGCTTCAGAGAATGTCTTACGGTGGCCAGAAGGAGCGTTATTATCTTAAATTCATGATGTCTACATTTTGGACACAGTAGGACCATTCCCTGGAAGCCAAAATGATGAAAGCATTACAGAAAACATCATAGACAAGCTCACGTGGTTGGAGCAAGACGACAATGAAGTCGTTGATCGTGGTTTCAGAGATATCCTGCCAATGTTAGAAGCATCTGATATTAACACCAGTATGTACTCGTATTTTAAGACTGGTCAGAGCGAACACTCAAATCTACAGGCTAACAATGACAGAACAGTTAATAAATCCCGATTGATTGTAGAGAATTATCATTGCCATCTATGGCATTGGTTATTTTTAAAGCTTTATTAATATCAAATTGCTTCATTGATATACTTGAGGAGGTGCCAACTATTGTGACTGTATAATTGGATACGGGGACCAATGAATCAAAGATGACAATGAACTGACAGACCAGACAGAGAACTCGTACATCAAATCAAGTTTCTACTTACAAAAACAAACTGTGTGGTTCAGAGGGTGAAAACAACCAGCTCTCCCCCAGAGAGCCAAGTCAGAATTCGTAAAGATTAAGAAATATGGGTGAATCAGCAATCTTAAGACCTCATCCGTTGTCAGGTTTGTTTCACACACAAAGGCCAGACTAAATATAATGTTTGGATACACGACACCAAGAAAAGATTACTACCGCCAATGCTTAGTTGGTCAAAGAACTATGGGAATGTGTGCTTTTACATCAATTACACTTTGTTAACATGGCTATCATAACAATCTTCAAAATCCATAACAGTTGCGCCCAAGGGCTTAGAAGTTTCAACAAAGCTTGAAAAAAGAATGTTTTCTTCTGAATCTAGAATCACCAGTTTAAAAACAAGCTCAAAGCCTCGCATCATTGTTTTCTTCCTTCCTTTTTTCCAAGTCTGCCTTTCGAACACATTTCATACTCTTGCATCTTGCAAAACATTATTTGTATATGTCATCAGCTGTTAATACAGCGATTAACTTATATATATATATATATATATAAGAACGAAGTTACAAACAAACAACTAAATTGGAACAGCTATTTACTTCTTTTCTGTCAGTTTTAGGTCATAATGCTTATACTATACACAAAGCCATGAATTATAATGTATAGACCATATTGTCATTTGATCCCTTCTTTCAATATGTTTCACCACATATTTTGGATTAATATTTTTGTCACTGGTAGTTCTTGACCTAATCCTTTTATGATCAAAATATATTTGGTATACAAAAGATATAAGATACTTTTATTCTGAGATGAACACATTTTTTATCTGGAAAATATCATTGCTTGAGATGGCTTCCGGCTGTTGATTTGTCTGTAAAGGAATTTTTACATGTACATGTATAACATATGATCCCTAGTGTTGGGTGCATCATAAATGATCCTCCAATGCATTGTTAGTTTTACAACATTCGTCCTTTGGGGGGAAACTCCGGCGTTATGCTTCTACGAATAAACGAACTATGAACTCTTTTCAATTTTAATGATTTTCTTTTTGTTGTGACAGGGTTAAGGTCTACACATCACAAAAAGAAAATTGAAATCGAAGGAGGGGCCATTTTGGAAACCCACCTTTTAAAAAGTCTTGATTTTTTCTATTTGAGTTTTTCAAGACGTTTTCAGCTTCAAATGAAAACTTTCTATATATATAAATATAATGCTTTATAAGGCTGGTCACAGATTTTTATAAATCACTTTTTAATAAATTACTATAATGGTTATTTACACCAGCAAAGCTTTCAGTCACATTTTAGATGTGTTTCCGGACTTCTTCTCCAGTTAAAATCGGTTACAGTGATATGTCTTTGCTAAGTATGATATTCGACGATTTAAAATTAGTAGTACTGTCATAACCGTTTACGATTTGTGGAGAATTTCCGTACCTCCCTTTGAAGACATCGTTCTTTAACTACATTTTAGAAAGGTTTTACCTTACTCCGTATTTCCATTTTTTTTCATCAAAAGACGAGTTATATTGCGCATGAATCTGACTGAAGGATTATGTGTGCTTATTGATATGAAAATCACACAGTTAAAACTGTATACCAAAATTCGCATTTTGTGGTTCAAATGATTTGAAATTTTAAGATTTTAATCAATTTTGAATATACGTAAAACTGAACACTTTTAACATGTTAGACCCATTGTGACATAGCAAATGAGTGTCCGTAATTGATGAGAGTATGGTCAAATGGTGTTAATGTTCAACCTGCTAAGTTCAATATAGTTCAGGATTTTCACCAACTAAGGCGAGGCTATGAGTGATCAGTTATCAGCTCTTTTATTTAAGGTTCATGTTTCTGTCGCTTAGAAGATGACCTGTGGGTTGATAGGCATTTGTTGTTGTAATATGGATGTTGCGATTTGTAAGGCCATTTTTAGCATATATTCGTTATTTTCGTGGTACCCAACTATCAGGGGTTCCTCCGAAAACACGATGTCGTTGGTACATGACTTCGATAATGATAAGTACCAACTGATACGAACAAGAAATAATACCAAATCCGTAATAACGTCGTGAACCTTCGAATTCGTGAATGAAGAGAAATAATAAGATTCAAGAAAATTAGAGATTTCAAGGTAATAAATTCGAAGTGCAAACATAATTTATAACTTATAGTTTGTACTTAATGCAAGATCAGATTGAAGATAGATTTAGCTTGAACATCATTTCCTATCTTAATGGAGACTTTTGCATAATTTATAGATTCTAAATTTTGCGGGGTGGACCACCGCAACAGCCGTCGCCTTGACGTTGAAGTACTCTCTGTATGACTTCAATAGAAAAGGAGGCGAGCCTTGGACCAGATGGCAGAATGCATTTTACGAGGCGTTTGACCGACCTGTGTGGGCGCTCTGTGTCGCTTGGGTTATCTTTTCCTGCCACAACCACATGGGAGGTAAATAGACATTTGAGTATATCACATTCAGTTACGTTTTCTACTGTTATAGATATAGTGTATGAAAAACAATCTTCACTGTTCATTTCTGACATACAACTTTAAAGCATATTTTAACTCAAGCCATGACGTTATCGTCACTAAACGTATGATCTTATAACATATCTTAACTGCCAACCAATCCGTTTGTAAACGCTGTGGCAAGATATCTACCTTACAAAATCAGAAGTGGGTTTACACTCAAGGCAGTCTTGCTTTCGAAATCATTTTGACAAAATCATTTTCCAGTTTTTTTGTATTGGAATATATAATATTCTGCAGGTGTTTTTACGATTAATTTCTTTTACTATATTGTTACAGTAATAAACATTGTGATGAATACCTGCAAAACATGTTAAAACATGTTTAATCTTTATTAAATAAAACACTAGCAGTCGATTTGTGAAATCTTTAATGTCGATCGTCCTGAATGTGCGTGCTCCCTCCCATAACCACCGTGATATGACGTATTCTATTAGCTTGTAATAGGCATGGCATAACTGAAAAAAACATAACTGTTTGCAATAATATTGGCGATGGTTTGTCTCGATGTAAGTGATAAATTGCTGCTGGTTTCAATGAAAAAGAGCGCATATGTTAATGTAGGCACAGATGTTGAGATATTTGAGCCGCACCGGACGTGTATAAGTTTCTTGTAACACCTGGTAGACTTGAAGTATTGGTTAGGGTTATAAACAGGGTGCAATTTTATTTCCCCGATTTTTATACAGCTATGTATATCTTATAAGCAATACATACAATTTTAGAAGTTGCGTTAGTTTTTCGATTCAGTATACTATGAAAATAGGAAACGATGTTAGCTAGCGATTACAATGTACTTTTAAGGACATATGCAGAACTTTAAGTATTCGACATAATCCATAAAAAAAGTCAGTGGTTTAGATATTTTTGAAACCCTGAACTACATCTACCAACATATACGAAAAACAAATAATCACTGTTACCAATAGTAAATGTCAATGTAAGGGTTGATATTGCTACGTTATGCCTTTTTGAATAAAATCGTATCAAATAAAAACAAAATAAATGAGTGATCAAGTTATATACTTGTCTATCACGACGACTTTATGGCTGAAGGTATAACTACGGTAGTTTTACTATATGTGACCTTTGCAATAATGTATTCATTATTGCGTTCATTGCTGGCCTTACAGTAACGAGGTGTCGGAAGGTTTGATTTGCTAGTAGTCCAGATACTAACTAAATCTGTTGTTTGTTATATAGAATTTAATGACAAAAGAAGATGTATTTGTAATTTATAACTGTTTTTGTATCTTAGTTCATTGTATGTGAATGTGATGGAATGGGGTTATACTGCATGGGAATACATGTGTGATGTGTGTATTTTTGTGTTTTCGTGTATGCATTTGAGATTAGTCTGTTTGTTTCAACATTCAAACTGTACTTATGGAGTAAGAAACAAGTAGTCTGCTTTTTAACTACTATTGAAATTATACATGTTCTTTCTTTTGCCATCACATTCCATTTTTTATTGATTTGGATTTATAAACAATTTTAATTTCATTTCCAAAGGTCCCGTCAACTCGATCCTGTCATGGAAAGGATTGGTACCTCTTTCCCGTATTTCCTATGCCACCTACTTGGTCCATTACCTAATCATGGCTACAAAGAATAACACCAATTATGATGTCTTTCATTATACAGTGTACAACATGGTATGTATTTAAATTTTGTTAAAAAATGCTTATATATTTTGAAAACATGTGTTTATATGTGTTTGGCCTTGGTGTGTGAATCACCCGTTTAAAGTCAACATCCACAAACAGAACAGAGCAATGACAGAAAGGAATAAACAATTTCCATCAAATATTAAACTTAATTACAAAAAAAATAAAAAAAATATCCATATAAAAATTATTGAAATATAGAAGAACATACACACACCTATTTAATATCCAAGGTACACGTTGAAAAAACGTAAATATTGGTAATTTTACAGTAGAAATGCCATTGCCGTGTGATATATGATGTTAACCGCATTTAGTAAAACATGGGCATCTTGATGATAATCATGGCAAATAAAATTCATGCTATACGTTGCACGCAAGTATAATTATCAGGTTTCGTGATTTTGACAACCGAAAGTATGTATCCAAGGTTTCAAATTCGTTACAGGTTTTTACTCATATGATTAAATACAAAACGGGATGTAAAGAGTTACCAGCATTAAAATGTACGATTTTTCAGTCGTGCAACTATAAAAGTTTCGGCTAGATCACCATCAACTACACATATCAGTTTCTCATTCTAAACACAAAAGGATCTCCGTACCACTGCATCAAGTGTAATTATGCATAAGAAACTGTTTGTCCCTACATAACGATACTTTGAAAATCATTTCTGAAAGGAAAACGATACCCTGTGTTACCTTTACGAATGCAATGGTATGTCCTAACTGTGTTACAGTTATTTCGATAACGAAATTAAGGGGATTTTACTGAGTATAAGAAACACTAAAGAGCTACAGGACAGAATATGCAACAGAATGTATTTTATACACGTTCGCTTAGTTTCATTAAGCGTGAATGAGTAATTCCGAGATTATATTGTGACAGTCACAAAGAGTACATGTTTACATGTATAAGAATAATATAAAACATTACAGTTATTCATTTTATTTATTGGTGGGTTTTTTCTTATTACAAGCTAGGTTTTGTTTCCTTTGCAGATCTATCTTTTCCTTGGAAACACCGTTTTCAGCTTCATGGCAGCGTTTGTGACGTCATTGATATTTGAAGCTCCTTTCATCGCTCTTGGCAAATTAATACTGTGAAGTGTGCTTCTACATAATGTATGTGGTAGCCAATGTGTTAAACTTCTTAGTTATGACTTACCTATTCACTCAGTTCTATTTAGTAACCTTATTCCAATTTTCCGTTTTCTATACATGTTATAGTTTAAATGTGTGATTTCTAAAACGATATTACAAAGCATAAAATTATTTTATCTCAAAATGTTATTTTGCAAAATACGAAGTAATAATATAGCTGAATACATAGGGAAAACACTTAAACGTGTGTGGATGTGTCCATCTGATATCCTAGAGTGCATTGCGCGTTTGGATATTTTCACGATAGCTGTAGCCCGCGTGCAAGATATCTATTCGCATAATAAACGATTCAGATGAACAAATATGTGTTGAGTAGCTTTTATTACATAGCTGAATATTTTCTGAATAAGCAAGAATTATAACGTTCAATTTCATTTGTTTCTCATACACTTGGACCAAACAACAATTGTGAACGAACAAGACGTAGAGAACGGAATAAAGAGGACAAGTAGTGGTAGCATTGATGGTGTTAAATCCTCACAATCCATTTCTGGTTCAGTTAGCTGGTTAGATTAGTGGATAAAAACGGACGAAGTTCAATAATAAGGAGTTTTGGCGACTTTTGCAATACAACATCTTGTATTGTATGAGTGAAAAATGTATATCTTTACGTCCATGGACTTAAACACTAGTTTGATTTTTGTTACATCCACTGACTACTGTATCTAATGGAATGTTTGATGTTATATACTTCTTTTTACTTTTACTCTGTTTGAGGAATTTATTGTCATTGTTCCAAAACAGTGCGACCCTAACGAATACGATTGTTTACACTACATGTAGGTATGCTTATATGTTTGCGGTGTTAATCTTATCATGTTTATATTTTTATGTCAACGCCAGCATTGTATTTCCTAAATTTGAACAGTTACTTACTATCTCCATTAAGTTTTTTTAGGAAACTTCACTTTCGAAATATGTACTTAAATTCTGATTGGTTTAAATCTTGACTCTATTTTCATGTCGCCAATCATAAATGAAGTGGTTAATAGAAATGCATTGTGCTGAAATTTTATTTTATTTAAAAACAAATAACATTTGAAATACCAGATTTATGAAGCAGTTAGCCAACCAGAGGGGACGCCTGAAAAATAAATCAACATCGTTAAAAAGTATATAATTCTAGCAAATCCAAATAAAATTTCACTTAAAATGTCATGGCGGTGACTTGCATATATATATATCTATATAAGAACATTTATTTAAATTTATCTGTTTTTACAGATAACGTTCATTACCCTGATTTCTTAATACTTATTTTACAATATGTGTGAAATATAAACAAATCATGTTGTTAATTTATTTCCGAACAACTTACCGTCTTTTAAAATTATCAATGTAAATGCTTTAAGATGCAATTTGGTGTCCATTGAGTGACATTGTGACATCAGTGATGATAAAATGTCACAAACCTTCACTAATTCCAATTCAGTGGAACTTCGTTAGTTTAAATTAATCTATAACGAAAATTGTAGGATCCACGTTACCGTTGCCATATCTCCACCAGTACACGTGTAGTGATCCACAGAGAGTTCGTGTCCATTATGTATCGACACAGTGACGTCACATCTGGTTATCTATGTATAAACATACTTTTTGTCAACATAAGATAAAAAAAAAAAAGTTCAATAAGAAATAAAAAAAAGAAATTAGACCGACCTATTTTTCGAACAAGGCAAATATGATTTGTTGAAAAAAAAACAGACTTGCTTTATCACGAAATCAAATAAATGATTATTAAACCAAAGGGTATCCCAGAAATCGGTGGATACGAAGAGATTTATAGCGAGTTTATTTTGAAATGCAAATTTTCGCAAAAATAAGTTCACTAAGATAACGTGCTTTTCTCTTAACAGATATCTTGGAAACCGCTGCAAACATAATCGGGATTTTGTTTTTTATTGATTCAAATAACAACAAACAACAATATCAACAACATCAACAACAACAACACAAATCCTCTTGATATATAAATAGAATTTACCCACGAGAGGCCACGTTATGCCTAATCGATCTGCTTTCACCAGACACCAAAAAGACAACAGGTTAAGACAGGCGCTTCACTCGACTGTAATAAATACTACTCCTGCAGGCTACACGCATCATGCAGATCAATAATGATATTATTTCAGTAGTCTTGATTTCCTCAACACTTTTTAATCTTTAATGTATATACAACCTTTTTAAGCGACAGCTTTTCCTCACTAATGCTGACTATTTATTGCGTTTTGAATCCAGAATAATTTATCAACAAAGTATCAATATATATAAAAAAAAACGTTTGAACAATTTTTCATAAAAAAGAGAAACTAAGATACATTATTTCAATCGGTTTGATAAAAATAATCAATATTCTGTTATTTTCAGACATGTTTGTTCGTGGTATAGCTTACCGGTACTCCAGGTTGTAACGGGCAGCTTTCAGCAGTTCGATCTTTGTTAAGTTTATTATTCGTGCAAAATGATTCCCCCAAATGCAGTGTCATATGCTGGGATTCCACGGTTCCAGTGATCTAACGATAAACACACAAATGCAAAGAATGAGACTGTTTCCTTCTAAGTAACACTGTTTTCTGTGAGTATTTCAACATTTCCTTAGGGATCCCTGTCTCAATGAGGAAATTAATCGTTTTATGTCTCATGATCATTCTTTTTAGTATATTTTCTACATCAAAATCATTTATTTATCGGAGTGTAAGATATACTAGATCCATCTAAGCATGTTTTACTAGTTATATAGCAATCACATATTTCTTTTATAATAGGACATCAATATCACAGTAACAATCGTAATTATAAATAACTGTCTACTGGCTAAATATCTATATACAACACAGTGTTATAGAGGAGATAGACCCTCACGCATACGTGCATCCTGACCATCACCGTTGTAAAAGATGCGTTATGCTAAAAAAATAATAAGATAAAATTGTATCTGCATTTGTATGATTTGTGAACCGCTTTGAGATGACCTCTAAAACTAGGTTGTGATAAAGCGGTTTCTCATCTATATACTACTTCATACCACCTACCGGTAGCATGATAAATTAATTATCATTGGTTGTCATTATGAGAAGAAGTTGAGAACGGCTTAAGAACGACTCGAGAACAACTTGAGAAAAACTTGAGAACGGATGTTCCCATTCCCCAGCACTTGGGAACGAATTTTCTCAAGAAAAGAACGTTTGCTCGCGCCAGATGACGTTCGAAAATAGTATCCACAAAAAAGTGATCCCCGTAAGAAAATAGTCCGTCATAAACATATCATTAGCAACACCATATCAGGTGTAAATGTGCATATGGAAAAGCCAATGACGATAGGATTGTTTTAAAAATATTTTTCTCGTTCGAACAATGTTCTAATCGCTCGCACGAAGATTTAATATCGAGATCACCTGCGGTAGCCTCTCGATTTTATCCACCTGCTGGCGATGAGAAAATTATTCTCACGACAAACCCTGAAAATACAGTGTGATAATCTATAAACAGAATAACCTTGAATTATTATTAGTATTATCTAATACTGATTGTATTGTACCTATTGTACATAATCACGCAGGTATTCGGTAATGAAAAATAGTATAATAAATCAAATTAATGTTTTGAATAGATTAGGAAGGAGCTCAGGAACTGAGGGCTACTTACCGTTGAAGTAGGACTGACTACGTCTTTAACTACGTATTTGTATGTGCAGCAAGAATAACCGTTATGTTTGTTGATCTCATTTGCTGCGAAATCTCCAGATAATTTGAATGCCGACTGCACGTGAAGGTCAGAGAGTTTTCGTACCTGTAGCAGTAAAAAAAAATAGCCATGCGGTTATTTATTAACAACGAAGTTAAAGGAAATTGTGGAACATCTTAAAAGTGAACATTTACTGAAAGAATGTGTTCATGTTTAGGATTTTTAATTAAGCCGTCTGACAAGTTGATAGTGATAAACCGTTGGGTAAATTGAGCGGCTTTAATAAAAAAGAAACATGCTATCAATTTCAATTCACATATGAAGACAAAATAACATCACACCAAAGTCAAAACAGAAAACAAACAAAACATTAAGCAGAAAAAGAAAACAGGAATCATACAGACACAAAAAGAAGGTCAAAAATAGAATAGAATAAACCCCCTTAAGGCAATAATTAAAACACAACGTTATCCGGAAACGTGCTGTTTTCGCCATAACGCTTCCACTTTCATACAAGAAAGTAAAGCTTCCATTTAATACCTGAGAAAGATATTCCTTTGTTGAATGTCCAGTTAGTATAAGTTTTAATGGGGATCTAAATAATCTTGTTTCTTTCTTTCTTTTCCGTTCTTTACACAAAACGATATTTAAAATACAATGCAAGAGCGTAGGGAGGATTGTGAATGTATTTTACACAAACAAGTGATAAAGTATACTAGATTAAAAAGTAATAGGATAATTCTGCTATATGTAAAAATCGAATCTTGATAAAATAAAACACGTCATCCAAATTTTAACACAACTAATTCCTCCATGTCATTGTTTGTGTCTGTACAAAAAGAGTTCAATACAGTTTATTAATTATGATACCATAATACCAGTCCTACTGTTAAAAGCATGCATGTACGATGGTGGTAAACTCACTTCAGTTTAGGGTGAGTGTTCGGGTTTATTTTTTTTTGGAAGCTAATTGAACAAATATATCGTTTTGACAAAATGTCTATGCTCAATGTACTATGTATACATTATACAGTACACAATATTCTGATACAATCAATATTTAATGAATTTGTCTACAAGCTGGTAAATGCAGGAGAGTGTCTTAAATACCGAATGAAAACTGAATAAATCGTTGTCGTGACGATCATGAAATTCCAAAAGTTGACACCAACTCCGGACGTCCGGATTTAATTATTGGTAGTTGATTGTCTTATACATGCTCAAACATATACGGTGATGCTTTCCCAACATGACGTTTCAGCAAGACAGTCATTGATAGTGGATATTTGATGTCCAAATCATGTGTAAACACCATTTACATATGACTTTGGCTATTGGAAGGCCTTTAAACATCAAATAATAAATATAATAAAAACATCGTGCACAAATGATTATTATGGATTAAAATTCTTACTAAAATCAAAATACGTTTCTTGTTAAGGTTGTTTTGGTATCTTTTTTTAAGGATGGAATAAACAGAAATATAGATACACTCAAGACAGGCTTGGCAATTAGTATTAGCCGTTCCTTGATTTTGACTAGAAAATGATCAACACGATATTTATATACAATGTACTAAAAAGAATCTCAAAATGTTTACCTTTTGCTCCAGCATTTGTGGATAAGCCAATGTTGTCGAAAATAATGTGGATACAAGTATAATAATATTCATAATATTCATGTCTGGCTTCTATATAATATTTGAGATGGCAAAACTATTGTGCTCAAACGTGTATACACTGTCACAGATATGATGTCTTTATATAGACCATATTGTTGACGTCACCGGTCTTGTGAAACATCTTATCAATGCTAGCAATAGACATATCCTAAACTACGACAGACAAGTGGTGCAAAAACGCTGATAAAGGGTAACAAAGTAAGCAAATATAATGTCAGATATATTCTAAAATCTAAGGTGTATTTTATTAATACTAAAAACTGTATTCGTCGCTGATATATCTTTTCCTAACTACCTGCCCGCAATAATTAACAAAACGTATCACCTGCTGATACAGATGATATTCAGTGTGCAAAAGAAAACTCATTCTATAGACTATATTCAGTACCCATTTATTTTGCAAAATCAGATCTAGGCACTGTTTTGAGGACGCTATATTGAAGGAAAAAAGGAAATGCACAGAAAGGGAGACAGGCGAACACACAGACAGCCAAATAGCCATTAAATATATCAACTGTGAGAATTGCTGATCAATTAAGCTTAAAATAGGTATAATTAAATATGTAACTTGTGCATGACCGATGCTCAGTTAAACATTATTCATATGGAAATAAGTGATTTTAAAACCTGAAAATACAAGCAGGTTTCTTTTGGGGAATTTTCGGAAACTTGTTTTAGATTGTGGAGGGATTTTTGAGGGTTGATTATAGATTAATTTACATTATCTTACATTGATGACAGCCTATTATATTGTATTGCATACGTATAATTACGATGACCGAATGACCGCCACAGGATATAACTTGTACCATTGAATAAGTCTACAGTTGTGCACGAAACCATGACACAACAAACAGAAGTGCCAATCAATTTGATTGTCAAATGGATATCTAGAATAACCAGAATCACAAATTAAACAATAAAAATATTTGAAGTACAGTAATCAATTAGTTTTATCACGTTACATGTCGACACGCTGATGTTACTTGTACTTGTTTACAATATTATCTGGGTCGCTTTCCCAAATTCTAAAGATTCAGATTCTTTATTTCCTTATGTTTACAACACATCGGAGAGTAGACATACATATGTACAAGATATCACAATGTATAACACAAATTACAGTTGATGCAATAGTGTACAATGCATAACATAGATTATTAAAACACAATATACCTGAAGGTATGCACGTGTGTCGTTCCGCTCTAGCTTACTATCGTTATACCGGGTTTTAAAATAACATATCGCGGAGATCATTCAATATGTATTTAAATATGTAATAACTGTATTATAATGCATCAAAATAAAGATATGATGACAAAACTTCTTTTTTCATTTTGGTTGTTTTGATGCACAAACTGCTTTGTTTAGTAAGGAACATTCTATGCGACGTTATATTGTAGTCATGGTGACATATAACAAGTCATATTCTAACCCAATTAAAATGGCTGCCTTCAATTTGTAATCTTCAAAGACAATGTAACCAACATTGTTGGCCCCTTTGAAGGTAAGAAATATGTAATATATAATGAATCTTTACGATTGTGTGTGTGTGTGTGCGGGTGTTGGTGATGGTGGGTGTGGATGCGTGTATAATCACATTAAACCTTGTAACATGTCAGTACATGAATACGGTCTGTTATATTTATCGGAACATGTCCATACCTGTTCGTTTATAACAGAACACTTACTTGATGAATATATTATAGTTGTTACTCATTGCGAGGAGTAATTCATCATTATATGATCACCTCCCGAGTTCAAATATATCGTGGTGTATCATCCTATATACACGAAATAAACTAGATTGTCTCCACCAAACCTATCCGATAAGGTCAATGGTCACACAATGGTAAAGCACACACCTGGTGATTTTTAAATCGATTTACCTTTACATTTACACAGGGTTTAGCTATGACATGGACTTACTCCAATCCTATTTCTACAGAAATAACACACGGAGACTTTGTTTTGGACTATTTCTCACCTCAATATATGATGACAACTTCCGTGCATGTGTACCATATTATTACTCAAGAATAACTATGGAACTACAAGCAATGCCACATAACCCTTTGCATATGCCAATTTGCTTATAGATCATCCACTGCATAACATACAACAAACGCAACGTTGATCATATTTAAAATAAAATAAATACATTTTGTTTACAAATATGCATCAATCATGTTCGGATGCGACCTGTCTCTCCACCATCTATTGTACACACTGGTCAATCCATATATGTCGGCCTTTTATAGGGGACAAAAACACCTAAAACAAACAGCCTTTATACCCCCTCCCCATTAGTGACCCTCCCCCCGTTTTATTTCCTTTTGATGTGTTTGAAGTTGTTTTTGTACGTTCCCCCAACAGCCGTGATCTTGAGAAGACGGGACTAGTTGTCCAGTACGATCACGAAGTGGTATACAGAAGCACACGACTATATAGATGGACAGAAATGATTCGTTTGGGAAAATTAACATCTTTACTGTATTCTAAGAAAATTGCTATCTCTGTACTTTATCCAAATTCTCTGCAGTATCATCTTTTACAATTCTTTTGTATAAATTTGGAAATCTTAACTAACAAGTTTTCTTCTCCTCACATTTAAGTTACTCTGATGAGTACTTTTTATATATTTTCTTCACAATAGAAGTGTAACAAATATTGCAGTCCAATAAGTTTATATATAAATCTACTGGTACCGTGTGGCTTCTGTTTGTTCCTATATGTTACTATTTGGAAATTTTAGCCAAACCAAAGGTCAATGTCAAACATTATATCTATATGACTCATACACCAGTCACAGTGAAAACAGGTCATGACCTCGTACATTTCAACATGCCTATCTATCCGACAGCTGTTAAGCCCTAGCCCATTTAAAAATAAAAATAAATGTTAATGTACAACAGAACGAAATTCAGCGGACAAATATATATATCGGTTACGACTTAGTATTATTCCGATCTTGAATAAAATAAACATATTTACATTCATGGATTTGTCGCAAGTCCAATTCAGAGCTTTTGTATTGGATTTCCATGGTTTGTAATTAACCAGAGCGGCACATTCGGTAGGCTGATACAATAAGAAATAGAAATACGATATCAATATATGTGACGTCATCAGTTGAATCTTACTATGTCATTAAAACTATCAAATGAACTTTAGACAAAAATGTAATAATCTAATGTGAAAACATATCATTTTATTTTAATCTAAAAAATAAATACATCAATACATACATCTAACCAATATTTTTTATGTCACATATTGTTTTTTGTATCTTTCACTATCTGTTTACACAATTCCGTTGAACATTTGTGTATTCCAAAATGTTAAACCTCTTTCTATATACTACAGTTATAAGACAAAGGCTTTCCCTCTCTATGCTTATAATTTGTTCACTGATGTGTAATGTAATTGCAACATAATAAATACATTTATACGATCTTGAAACGTAATATATTAGACTTTACTGCATTCTTTTTTTTCGGTTTACTGCCTTGTGATTCTCATGTTGTTTCAGTTAAATATATATGGATGAGGACACCGTATTGCTGTTACTGATACAATTAGTCTGGTTATTTGAATTGAGAACATGCGCAGTGTAATCTTAATGATTTTAGCAGACAGAGGAATTCGTGAATTGAACACGACCAACACAACGTCTGGCTGAAGACGAATTTCACAATTTCCTAGTTTACAACGTCAAAATCTTTATACAAGATCACAAAATTGACACTGCAAAAACTTTTAATTATAGTGATCATTGAGATTTAAAAACAAAACATAAACGACCAAAACAATATCAACAACGACTTCATTAGAGCTAGATATATGTTTTTGAATATCTACAGTACATGTAGTAGTTCACCCCCACTTGAAACAGTTTCCTACAAATATCCTCTTGAATTCGAAGAAAACACTGTTCATATTTTTTTTTCTATTATTTTTAACTTGTCTAAAAAACTAAAGCAAGTCACGACATCTAATTATTGACAGAAAACTTTGCATGTATGTCCAAATACTACCCAGGGAGAGAACTTATATAGGGTTAAAGCTGTTTGTCCATTTTTGTTCATATGCTACCATTCTTTTGTCAATAAAAAAATCATAAAATTGAAATTGAAAAAAAGTCATAGTATTGGAAAGTAAAAAACACACCCGTAATCGAGAGTCAGGTTTCAAAGGACAGTCTTTTGTAGTTTTGTTAGCGTTTTCCTTGCTGTTGTTGCAAAGTGATATTCCAACGATGAATTTCAAATGAAAAAGTTCACCATCAACTATCTAGGATAATAAAAGGTAAAATATCAGTAAAATGTGATGAAATTATATAACAATTTGAAAGGTTATGTATATTAATTCTAGATGGATATCCAATGTTGTTTTTGAAATTAAATGTCTCAATAATAGCTCATAAGCTTATCAGGAAATGTGCTTAGTATCGATCAAATCACGAAAATAAGATGTTGACATAAAAATGTACTGTTAACAAAATCAAAATGAAACTATCAATTACATGTACTTTTGTTTCAGTCAGGGTCACAAAAAGATACTCATAAAATTAAAATGGAGAGGTCGTTCATTTTTTCTTGATTAAAACTAAATACATTTCAACGAAATGAATGGGTATTTATGTTATTCAAAATATCTGCTAATTAACTTGAGTGTAATTCCCCACAATGGATCAATATAAACGCTTTTCGTTCGTTCGTTGTATGCGATCTACACTTGATCTTACATCTGAAGTTTCCATTTCATCTGATATTCCTATTTTTGTCTATTTTAGCGAGGCTTTACCGAATCAAAAAGGAAATGTAATTAAATAACTGTAATACATCTCAAATATAAAATAGAAATTAATACAACATCCTTTGTGAATTTGACTGTCCTAATGTTCTTTATCTGGGATAATACCTGGTATGTCCCGTTTAATATGCCAACCAGTGATTTCCGTGGAACCTGATCGGAATACCCTCGGTCTTCATTGATAACGTCAACAACAGCATTTGTGGCTGTAATCACGTGAGGATCGTTCTTATTGTACGGTATATCACCTCCCCGTGGTCCTGGAGGAGGAAGCTACACAAATCAAAGACAGTTAAGAATTTGTTTTACCTGCATAAAAAAGACTTTTACAAATCTAGTAGTTTTACTACACAATGGTAATTAAATAAACCAATCAAAAAAATAAAAAAAAAGTATCGAAACTCGGACAGTAACAGTTCAGACCCGGATTCCAACCCTTTACATCCAACTGCAAACCTAATGAATAACCTGGTCGGTGGTAAAGCTTATTCGCTCATTCCAAATTGATGTATATCAAAAACGAACCTAAAGAGATATTGCTTTATGTAAGACAATCTACAACGGGATCATCTATCTTCGTGCTTGCCATGGGACAGGGATACTTAAAAAAGGACCAGGTTTGCCGATACTTCTTGCGCCTATACAATTACTATAGCACATTGCATGCAGCTTTTACAAATTCAACCATAATACAAATCCATTTGTGTTATAAATCCTGTATAAATTTCAATTGTCTATTACTTTACTATATTTGTTCCTGGTGCTGTAAACATGAACAGCAATCTGTTTGGTGAATTTTACATTATTGAATAAAGGTTTTTACAACGATGCCATGTAATACAACCTGTTAGTTTGACGAAAAGGGTATTAAACATCAAAGAATGGAAAATGAATCATGCTTTATGAGTGTAATGACGACGATCTTATTTCGAATTAACGTCCTCTTGTTGGTGGTTAAACAGATTCGGTAACGGCTAACATTGAAAACCAATGAACATCGGCCTATATAAGGTAAACTAATAAACAATATTCCATTTTGACTACAACTGTAAACTTTAAAAATTTTAGCGGTAGTCATACTAAAGCGCTTAAGTTATTTCGTTCATATATAAATGTAATAACTGAAGTGTTTGTATACTGTTCTCAATTGCATATTTACGGGTAACCCCAATTCGTCAATGCGTTTTAATGTTGCATTTTTTAATTCGGTAGTGCGCTAAAATGAAGTGCGTTAGTATAGGTATATTTACAATACTTATCCCATCCTTTATCATCACTAGACAAACCAATGACTGATGCTATGCAAAGTTTAAGGCATTGTGTTTGTTTCCAATACGCCGTCTTTCTTTGACGTCTGTCTTTATGATTCTTTATATGAAGATGTGAGCGAGATATCCAGTAACCTTTGTTGTAGGCCTAACATTGTATTACATAATTTTATAAAGATATCTTTTATTCTTTGCAAAACTAAAACTTTATGATAAAAAACACAGTAAATGGAGTATCACCGCTTCACATATCTACAACACTAAAGAATTGTTAACAATAAGAGGTCAATAAAGATAAAACGAACATCCAGACAAAGGTTTGTACCAAAAAGGGACCTGTGTATAGTTGTACAAGAGACCAGGTTTCATATCGCGACACTCCATCATCAAAAGAGGTAATCGCATACAAAATTATAAAATCAAAAGTGACAGAGTAAATGTTATATACCTTGCAGAAAGTGATAATTAGACGGACTGGCTAAGTGGAAGAGTTCAAACCTACAGTTAATTACCGTAGCACCGATCTTGAACTAATTGATTTGCCTCGCAAAACCAATCCATTTTATCAACACAGTATTGCCTCTTAAGAATAAAAAAAAAATCAATCATTTTAATTTTTATTCATTTTTTTATCCTTCTATCTACTTTGTCAAGAACACTGGACACTTACCGGTAAAGTTTCACATTCGTGTTCCATTACATCTGTCACATTTCCTAACCAACGGCGGTATAGTACTTTAGATTCACATCTCTGGATCTGTAACAAAGTGTATCTAAGCTGGACAGAATATGTTTGTTTCCTTAAAAAATCAATACACATTAGAAATGAAAAACATGAACTAAGTATATTTCACAATTTGATAGGCATGCATATGAATACTTAGCATCGATGTTGGTATGTTCACAATCCGATCGACTATGAGAAAAGAACATGACCTACAAATTATGCGCAGGCAATAAGTGAACACAAATCATAAAATAATAACATAGAACCAACCAAAAGTAACGTAATATTTTAAAACCAAAATAAATCTATTTATAATTTCATATGGTATTTAGTTCAAGATAGAACTATTATTTAGATGTAGGGGTTGTCGATTATGGAGTTTATATATTTATGAATATCTTCAATAAATATAACACGCCTACAGTCAGTGTACCGTAACAGGAACAGTTTTTAGCTGGATATCAATTACGTTACACGATAGTTTCAATTCCAAAACTGTTTGTTAATTTTTAATTAAAAAGATACCATTCATTCTTCTTTACTATTACACCATTCGTCCTGAATTGATTAGAGGGTTTTAAAAGTAAATGGTCTAGAAATACTCGGGACGATATGTCTTCCTTTGTACAAGTAGTTATTTCGGAAACGTGGTGCTATAAATAGAACGAGAAACACTATCATTAACATGTTGTTTAAAAGTCACTTTTCACTTGGCAAGTTTTCACTTAGTACATCTTGACTGCGAACTCAAAATCAATAAAACTAGGTCAAAATGTAAACAAAGGAAATTTGTGTATGGCGATCCTTGAGAAAATATAAGAAATGTAAGACCAGGTAATAAATACGAGTTCGTATAGAATCTACGCGAGGTGATCCGAGTTTATATGACGGGACATACAGCTGTATATAAAATAATTATATTATGATAGTAATTTTGCATACTTTATAAAACTTATGAACTAAAATATTTTTAATATAAAAAATAAATGATTATAGTAATTAAAGGATGTGTTTCGATAATTTATTAAAACAAGTTGCACATAGAACTATATTTTTACGCGTACAATTGTCTAGACACTCTAGCGGTGAAAAGACCCAGATAAGTTATTGTCAACTTGATGTGCCGCTTGGCGTTCTGGAGTGGGATTTTTTGTACGAAAAATCTAATGAACAGAATACTAAGTGTCGTCAGTAATACCAAATATGTTTCACTTGTGCGGCAGCACGAGTGGCAGATATAGAAATTTTATGAGTGAAATATATTTGGTTTTACTGAATACGCTGTAAGATATTCCCTATGATATCACTATTGTGACCACAAGACCTGTCTTAATCAACCTGCATATTTGAAAAACCTTGAACCAAGCTCTTGAATACCGCATAAACTGCGACATGTACACATGTAGGTAAGTCCATGATCAGAAAGTCGAAATTGTCTCGTTTATCGAGTTGATGTTAATGAAGCCTAGAACCATAAAACATACTGTGTATTATGGCCGAAAAACACTTCACTCAAACGAAATAATCTAATTATAAATTTTCACATAAACTTTGACATACAATTATAATTACGATGTTAACGTTTCATTTCTAAAAAATGCACAAAAAATCGCAAAAACAAACGAGACACTTAGAAATACTTAATATGTATTTCTTTGTGTGGTGATCAAAATTTAGCTCTTTCCGTGGAATATTGTTCTAGTTAATGATAGTGCAAACTGCATTTTTTGTATAGACTTTTCCATTACATAAAATGTGAGTGTTTGCGTTTACTATTCCAGACTATTCGTGTATACTGGCATACATGTAGGAGCATCAAAGATTGTGCTAGACAATTTCTACAGGAGTACTGTAATAAAGCGATATGATGATTTAACAACAGGCAAAGTTATCAGGTTAAAGCTGACATGAAGCCAGCAATACACATTGATGGATATTTACAGGGAGTCCTGCTTTTCCACTCTTCACTGGGCATTCGGAGGATGTGGCGTTGCTGTGTTCCACTGTATTGGAACAGACTGAGTTGGAAAGAGTAAATGCCAACCGATAAACACTACCATCTACAATCTGAAAACAGAAACATAAAGATCGTACCTTATGCATTGTTCTCCTTAAATTTGCCATACCTCACACAAATATCATTAATATATACCAAATATAATCCATCGTTTCCACACATAAACATGATATAATATCACATACGCCTAGTTGGTCACAAAGACGCATCGTAAATATATAAACAAAAGGCCATGATTCAACACATTAACAATGTTTCCATTTGGTTAATGGTCTGGTTACTATAAAAGATATCAGTGCTAGTGCAATAAAAGAAGATAGATTCGGGTGGTCACCACATTATTAATCAATGCACTTTCATTTTTTTGTGGGATCCTGATACATATGAACTGTCTTGGTGTTAGCAGTTAAGACCAGTAAAATGCCGATATTTTGTTGTAAATTAACAAATCACTTGGTTTTATTAACAAAACATCAGAGCAAAGTTAAAACAAATGCACTGATAAGCCACCACTACTATCTACAGATCCGATTATGGATATTCCTTTGTCATTTTTAAATAAACGATACAAATAAAGCATACCGCCAATCTATTCAACCTGGGAAACCAGTTGACAGTCGTTTGTTGCATTTCAATAATTAATAAAATGATTACATGAGTCAGTTAAATATTCGGACCTTTACTTCTGATATCTACTCTGGGTGCATTGGTACATGTGCGTTGCATAGATTACCAAATTTGGAACAGTGACTGCATATCATCGAAAACATCGATCAATGTGAACCACCTGCAGAATCGGAAATATTCTCTTTATCTTCTACTAAAGAGAGCATAGAAGAAACACTAAATAATCTGTCCCGATGGAGCTCTACCCTTCATCTCCTTACTTTTAGATTTTGCAAAGACTTTGAACGCCGAACAAAAGCATTTGCTCCTTCATCCTATCTGTATTTTCTATAACGTGGAGCTTTTATGATTTTATTTTTTAGCTCTTAAAGCCGTAAAACGTCTACAATGCAAAAAGAAAACTCTCTATTCAGTGTTACTTATAATGAAATGACCATTAAGCACTCATGTGTATGTACACAGATTGTATGTTCTGTCTCATCATAAAGTATACCTGCTCAGTTCCGCCTTCCAGTTTGTATAATGACCATCTAGAAGTGTTGTTCGAGTATCCCCGGTCTTTATTGATAGTCGATATGGCATCATCAATTGCAAAGCTGACACCAGGATCTGTTCTGTTGATGATGACCTGATCACCAGGGGACGGTCCCTTTATTATTCAGATAGAAATCCAGTTTTAATATAGACATACTGCATGCATCGTCATCAAATAAAAATAAATATATCAACGTAATAGTTGAACTGCAAATTGAATTGAAAAAAGAATATATGTTATAATCATTTATTTATATACTTATCAAATTAGCATATACATACTTCGTTAAATGTCTTTATTTGTGTACTTTGCGACCAATGTATACACACACGTATTGATGACTAGTAAACACACATATCGTGATATAAAACCTATATACTTGTCACCATTTCATACACCTATTAAGATTTAAACTTTTATACCAGTCACCATTTCACAAACAGATTTACAGTTAAACCGTTTTACTAGTCACCATTTCAAAAACAGATTAACAGTTAAAAAGTTTTACTAGTCACCATTTCAAAAACAGATTTACAGTTAAACCGTTTTACTAGTCACCATTTCACAAACATATTTATATGTAAACCTTTATACCAGTCACCATTTCACAATCATATTTGTATGTTAACCTTTATACCAGTCACCATTTCACAATCATATTTGTATGTTAACCTTTATACCAGTCACCATTTCACAATCATATTTGTATGTTAACCTTTATACCAGTCACCATTTCACAATCATATTTATATGTAAACCTTTATCCCAGTCACCATTTCATAAACATATTTATATGTAAACCTTTATACCAGTCACCATTTCACAAACACATTTTGGGAAAGTATATTTATTAAATCCGGTATAAAATGTAGTTATCGCACTTTATTAATGTACTTTTACACAAGTTCAAACATTTTGTTGTTGTACTTTTTAATAATTAACATACATCATACAAGTACTTTGTGTGTTATATTTAAGTTTGCACGCATTGATCTATGGAAATATAATTCAAAATTAATATTTTTCAAATAAGAAATCCCCATGAGTTCATTTTACCTCGCACATGTGTGACAGGACAGTACTCCGTGGCATTTTCCAATGCTTATAAACCACTGTTGCGTTACAAAGACGTTGCTGGCCGAACAAAATATGCATGTTGATACAAAAAAAAAAAATTAGAAAATGTTCATACAAACAATGGCCTATTCAATTCCTTGGATACTTTTAAGGTTTTGTGTTCATGTAAGTTGCAGTTAATAGTGGAGAGAATATAACGATCTGCATATATACATTGTAATTTGTGCTGTACCGCTTTACTTTAAAAATGGAGGTGAGATACAAAAAATATGTTACAGAACAGATATTGTAATTGCATAAAAATGTCAGTTGTATGAATCAAAACCATACAATTATGAGTTTTATTAAGCCTAAAATACCGTTATGATTAATGATATTTCGGAAAAAATAACAAACCTAATACTGTTGCATCCAAAAGTTACATTCGGAAAACGCTATTTGTCGAAATTATTTATAGGTGTATAAAGTCGATAAAAATAATGTTTAGGATAATATATATCTCGTTTGTACCGAATTCGCTGTACAAAAAGTTAATGAAAACGACAAATACCTTCATACCCGGAATGACCGGACAATCCGCATTTGAAGTGTTGATGTTGACGATGCTGTTATTGCACTCAGAATTTCCTACCGTAAAGTCAAGTCGATATATTTCACCGTCGACAACCTGGTAACACAATGTATTGTTGTTAGTATACTGTTAGCGTACAGAGTATAACGGTTTTTGATTTTTTTTGTGTGTGTCACATATTACGCAATTTTTGCAGTTTCTATATTTTCATTTGTTGTTTCATGTATCATTTACAATTCAATAATGCACTAAAATTTGATTGTGCTAAAATTCGTTTGTTAACATTTCGATTTTTATTTTTGTTTTTGTAATACAATTGTACTAAGTTCAATACGGACAGTACGTCTGCCGAGTTGATTTGTCCATTCGTCTGGTTTTTTCCCGAATATGTTTGGAGTTCTAGTCTAGAGACACAATTCCTTTAATATAATTAGGAAATGGACGAATTTACCGATGAAACAAACAAATGTTACTTTTTTTGAACCATGTATAAAGTTGAAGAAAATGGCAAATAACATCGCCTCGTCAAAGCGGACAGCGCAAGTAAAAAAGCTTTCAATGGCGAAAATATTTTAACTGTTATCTAGTTTTGAGTTGTTCCCCAGTGAATATCTCTTCCGGCTGTCGTATCTCAGGAAGCGCCGATATTTTATAATGGACTTGCGGTTAGAGGTCTCCCTGGGTTTAGAAAGCGCGTTACCCGTTGTGTTCAACGTGTAAGGTGACACTACCATAAATAGAACACTTTCACGATTTTGAACCAACATTGCTTCTCAGATTAGAAGAATAAAATGGAAATGGAAGGCATGAAAGGTAATATTTATCTCCAAAGTGGAATATTTAGTAGAATACGACTAATTATAATATCCAATGCACATTATTTGCCATAAAACGTCCTCCCNTGATGCCTCTCTTTCAGTGACCCTGTTTACAACACCTTTTTCCAATTACATGTAATCCCAAATCAGTCATCAAATTTCACATTGTTGACTACGCGTGTTGCTAGTTCATGCATATCCCGAGTTTCCTCTGGCCCGACACAAGATTTGGACATTTTGAAAGTTAGATCTCTGGTGTGGGGCCAGATCGCACTGCTGTATGAAAACGTGACTAATCAACAAAAAGAGGCTGTACAGAAATCTTCTAAACAAGAATGATATATTCCGTTTTCGGTCCTGATCTGTACTGCTTGTTTAATAGTCACTTCCTTGACCTACATAAATGGGGTTTGCTCAGGTGGGATAATTTGAACGATTAAAAACCGAGAACTCTACTAGCGGAATTTAGCAGCTATTGTTGATAATAAGAGCGCATTTATCGATATATATGTTGTGTCAAAGTCGAGAATTCCAAAAGTTTAATTCAAAGATACAGGAAACTTAAGCATAAATCGCTAGATCAAGAAATATATGTATGTGAGGTTTTCACGAATTCTGTCGTCAGAAAAAGAAGAGATAATCTTTGTTTCGGGTAAGGACAGGAGTAAGTCAGTGAGCAAAAAATGTATATTGTCATAAATAATATCCAAATGTCCATTTCATTATCGTCTATTACATTAAGATTTTCAAATTATTTGTCAGCTGTAATTTAACAGCTTTAAGCATCCATAGAGAGTGCATATGAGTAATTAATAAAAGATCAAACATTTCCTAGAAAAACAGTTGTAAGAATGATCCTCAAAAAGAAATCGTGAATTGAAGATTGATATGTGACGTTGCTAAACGTCAACTACTCATAATTGTTTTCAGTTTCAATTAAGTAATGTAATCGGCATAAAACAACATATATATTATAGATATTTACCGTAATACACCTTAACTCTATGTTTATACATGTACAATACAACTTGTAGTATCACATGGTATTGACACGGCTTATACTAATGAAGTAGTGTGATATAGTTGTGTAACAGGAAACAGAATAGTGTGCTTCCAATGGGGATCAAACCATCGATCCCCAGGTTCCTAGTCGGACGCTCTACCACTGAGCTAAAGGGAAATTCCCTCTAGCTCGAAGCTAGAAGGCGACCTTAATCCTATGTACAATTTAACCCTGCCACACTACTGCCCCTTTTTAAATGTGTTCGCCCTCGAACACCACAACCCAGGTTATAACTCCTTATCACTACAGGAAAGGCCACGGACACCATTTGTAACAGGAAAGAGAATAGTGTGCTTCTACCGGGGATCAAACCCTTGATCTCCAAGTTCCTAGTCGGACGCTCTACCACTGAGCTAAAGGGAAATTCCCTCTAGCTCGACGCTAGAAGGCGACCGTAATCCTACGTACAATCTAACCCTGCCACAGTTGTATAAGACGTTTTCTTATTGTTTTAATACCTGCACAGTTCCGCCCAAGAGTTCCCGAAGAGACTGTCGTATTATAATATCAGCATAGCCTCGTTCCTGGTTGATAACTTCAACTGCCGCATCAACAGATTCTGCTACACCTGGATCACTTCTGTTAATTTCTTTTTCTCCTCCAGGTGGCGCTGTTGGGGGCTTGATGACGACAGAAAAAAGCATGTGTGTGATATAACTATAGACACAAATCATCGGCATTAGACTACAACAATGTTTCAGATAGATAGATATTTGTTTGCAATGAATCCTCGATTTAGTTTTCAATGATGATACGTACAAAATCTCTCACGGATATTAGTACATTTCTTTCTTTTCCTGTAACAGTTATTGAGAATAGCCTTGACAATTTAATATCAGTATTGTAGGTACCAGTGTGATATAAAGCAGTAATATTCGAGGCCAATTCAATAAATTCGGACCACACAGCTCCCGTGCGAACGGACAATATCATAGTTTAGGGTCTTGGAGACTGCAACAATGCACGTGCTACATTTCGACATCATCCAAAAGGAATTGGACAAAATATTCATTATTGAATTGTATGCACTCATGACTACCTACCTTTCAATGCTAAAATGAGATTAAATCAAAAATTTCTATAGCAAAGCACGATGTAAAATTAGTTAGAACAGATACATGCAGAGTTATGCAGCATAAAAGGCACCCCTGCGGTCACATCGAGACCTGTTTTAGGTTGGTGAACATACAAGGAAATCAATCAAACGATTGCAAGACGTATAAAAAGCGCCAAGACGTATGCCATGTTTTCAATTATGGTTGGCCTGTGCTTCAGGTACCATGACAGGAAGAGAAAAACTATCAATGTCATGATTTATAGAGACAAAGTACTAAAGCCTGTCAAAAGATTCTACATTAAAAAGTTTCCAAGTAAATGATAGAATGGCATCCAGAATATTCACGACAATGCTTCATCCTCCCAAAGCAAGATTCTACAGGCGTTTTTTGAAGAGAGCGAAGGTAGTGTATATTGATTATTGATCTATTCACCTGATTTATTCCCCATGACTTCTGTCTGTTTCCTAAACTAAAGAAAATGTTCTGTAGGAAACTGTATACATCTAAGAGTGTTCTTGGTAGTGCAATATTTCAGTTTACCAAAAGGAGATTACCACTAGTGATATAAAGGCATACATGATACTCCGGACACTAGTGATACATGTAGAAAATCATACAAGATACTCCGGACACTAGTGAACGGAAGTCATACATGATACTCCGGATACTTGTTATAGAAAGCCATACATGCCACTCTGGACACTAGTGAAAGAAAGTCATACATGATACTCCAGACACTAGTGATAGAAAGTCATACACGATACTCCGGATACTAGTGATAGAAAGTCATACATGATACTCTGGACACTAGTGGTAGAAAGTCATACATGATACTCCGGACACTAGTGATAGAAAGCCATACACGATACTCTGGACACTAGTGGTAGAAAGTCATACATGATACTCCGGACACTAGTGATAGAAAGTCATACATGACACTCTGGACACTAGTGGTAGAAAGCCATACACGATACTCCGGACACTAGTGATAGAAAGTCATACATGATACTCCGGATACTAGTGATAGAAAGTCATACATGATACTCCGGACACTAGTGATAGAAAGTCATATACGATATATACTCCGTACACTAGTGATAGAAAGTCATACATGATACTCCGGACACTAGTCATAGAAAGTCATACATGATACTCCGGACACTAGTGATAGGAAGTCATACATGATACTCCGGACACTAGTGATAGAAAGTCATACATGATACTCCGGACACTAGTGAAAGAATGAATTGAATGGTCCTCGCAAAAGAGGAGTATTCTTCGGGAGTTTCGCACTTATATATATTAAAAATATTTAAAATCACCGAATATGTTTCCCTTTATATGTTTCCCTTTTATTAATCTAAATTGTGTCAGTGATCTTACAGGTAACATTACACAGCTGTGCTCCATAACGTCCGACTTCTGTGATAGCCAGTGCTTGTATAGAATCTGCGATTCGCAACGCTGTACCTGAAAATAAATTATTAGAGTCCATTATACTGACATCATTATACCATACATACTCAGTTCGGTGTTATAAAAATGGTTTCGTAGGAAGGTAGAATTAAAAGACGGTGGCAATTTGAAAGGACTGGAAATGAAACAAATAACATCCTATCACGGCTTTGCTGAATATCATAACATTGGTCAAACTAAACATATTCAGCAATTTTAGACAAGTTTAAAACAAATGACGTGTTGCCATTATACCTACATAGTTTGTATTCCTGTTTTAAAATCATCATTTTTAAATTTGTATATTGAATAGTACATACAACTATTTCTGAGCAAATATGAATAACAAAAGAGTGTCAACGCCCTGTAAGATGATACACATTAATCTTGGGTGAGTGGTGACCAATCGCCTGTTGTTTCAGTAAGATATACTATAATTATCATGTTTTAAAGTGTAAAAAAGTAATAGCTGCGAGCGCGACCCCGCCAATGTAAAAGTAGGATACAAACTTATGGGATCTTATTTTTCTACCAGTCTCTTTCAAACCATCATACGATTAAATTAATTTATTTTATTATTAATTATTGTTTTTTTTATTTTCATAGTAGAAATGTTTACGCCAAAAGAGCCTGTTTCTTGATATGTTGATACAAATCCTAAATATAATCAACTAAGGGATATACAATTAAACGATATCCTGAATTAAGTATACGGTCTCTAAAATGAACTTATGCGACCCAGAAGAAATGTTTAAGTTCTAAGTATGAATTAATTATTGCCAAGGTACTCAACTGAGTAAAGAACATTGTAATACTGTAAACAAATTTGATTTTGACACGACATGAACATACTACATTTGGTGAGTATATAAGCATATGTTTAATAACTATTTACCGGACGCCCTTGTATCCCTGCTTCTATGGGACATTCTGTCGATGTTGCGTTGGCTTTATCTTCAGTATTTTTACAGAGAGAGTTGGACAGTGTGAATATCAACTTATACATCTCGCCGCTCACAACCTGTTGGGATAAAACTGAAATAATTTCCGTCATAATTTGCAGAATCTTGTCTGCAACACTCTTGAAAAGTGCAACGTAAGACAGATTTATTGATTGATATATTTATTTTCTGTACAGTGGTGTGAAGTGATTATAGCCACGGAATTACTATTAGCCAGTCATGTTCCTTCTTATTTATTGATGACACAAGTTCACTAGCATGATTTACATTATACACTGTACATGTATAATCCATTGGAATCAAATAGTTTAAATTACCATTACACTTGCTATGACTCTCCCCCGCGCCATACCTATCCAGTCCATCACTATTTAGCACATACCTGCATCGTGCCAGCCTCGACCTGATAGAGCACGAGACGTCTGATATTGTCAGAGTAACCGCGGTCCCAGTTGATGACGTTGACCGCTTCATCAGCTGCTTCAGCGACAACAGGGTCGGACGTGTTAATGGGCCGTTCATCGCCAGGTGGCACCTTGCAAATATAATTGAGCGGCCCAGTATTAACAATATAAGCTCTTTTTGTGATTTTTTTTATTATGCCAATATTATGAGGTGATTAGTTACGATGTTAATGTGGTTGTCTGCATAGCCTTGTCTGTGTGACTCTATGGCTATTCTGGTGGGTTGGCTGTCTTTATGGCGATTGGTTGGCTGTCTTTATGGCACGGACAAAATCAAAACATTAGATGCAAACTATACACTGACCACATTGTTGTATAACATATAATAACTTTAATATCAAATGCAATATTTCGATAGCTAGTGCATGCATTTGATCAAATAAATTTATATTTAAAGCCAAATTAACTTGTTTGCATCACAATTGCTTTTAGATCTAAAAGGATCACTCTTGCTAGTAATTAACAACTGTACAAATAGTAATATTAATGACAAAACGTGAAAATGCACATGGCCACGTGTGCAGCACAGTTGTTGTATAACAGTGTAGTTCGAGTAGGCTTACTTCAAGTAGACAGCGCTTTGTGCTTTCGTGATAGTAAGGCGACGCTGAGAAACGCATGCACTTCTCTGTGTGTTACAATCATCTTTGAATGGATTGTTGCACGATTCATCAATCAATAGATTGGTATTATCAAAAAAAGCCCACTCACATGACGGTTACTAAAACTGGAAGCTTAATTGTTTCCCAAGACTCTTACCTCACAATAGTAGGATATGATAGCAACCGTGGTTGTAGTCTCTTTGTGTATATAGATGACTGAGGTGTTGCACGTATGTAGCTGCAAAACAACATAAACAACATTTAACAGTATAACGTATATATAACCTTGAGGCCATTTTTCAGATACATTGCATGCAAAACCTGTAATGTTTATAATATTCTAACATAATCTACTGAGGAAGAAAAGGTATTCAAATACACAGCAAAGAACATAGTATTCAGTTAGTAGGAAAAAACATTAAAAGATATCATGAAATTGACGTAAACTATTGTACTTGACTTTACTCTCGCGGGGCCAGATATTCGTGTTTTCGTGTAATTACGCACATCATCGTTACACTCAAATCCAAGTAGATTCACTATCGCAAAATCAATATATTCGCGTGGATTATCTTCTCATATTATATTTTAGACCGCAAATAACTGTGATGATAAGATCGCCAAACCAGCCTCGGTAGACCATGAGGTTGTAGACGAGCGTAGGACGAATGACCAGTGTCTTTTCGTTATATGATAAAATATTCCGTAGGTCTTGTTTGGTTTGGTTTAATTTTGTTTAACGTCCTATTTACAGCTAAGGTCATTAAAGGACGTGCCTCCCCTGTGTGTTGTGTATGCGTGTTTGCGTTTGTGTATGCAGGAAAAAGGTTATGTTGGTGTTCTTGCTTCCTTGTAATAGCGCAGATCTGATGCCGACTTTATAGTGCTATCTCACTAAAATACCATGCCGAAGGCACCCAGCACAGCATTCCGCCCAGTCACATTATACTGACAACGGGTGAACGAGTTGTTGCCATTTCCCTAAATGCTAAACATTAAGCAGGGAATAACAATTACCATGTATAAGGACTTTGGTATGTCCCGGCCTAGGGACAGGGCCCATTAAGGTTCCTCACCTGGCCGAACGCTCAGTAATTAAGGTCAAAAATTAGGTGTTGCAAAGCAATACGCTAAGAAATAAAAGATAGTTAGAAATAGAAAGAAAGATAAAGATCCCAAATATTGCAATGGGTGCAGCAGATTTATTTTGGTCGCTTTTTGTGTCTCCAAATAGAGGGCACCAAAGCAAATCTCCATATCTGCAGGGGGTCCCAACATCAGTCGCCTCCTACGATACATGCAGTGGGTAACAGCAGGTGTTTTTATTTCTCGATTCCTCACCTGCAGGGGTGATGTCATATTTGTAGCGAAAGAGAAGTATTATTATAGCACCTACAGAAATAGTGTCGATCTCAACAGAGGATAATAGTTGTTTCACTAAATAGCCTTCTATGTGAAAAATCAATTTCGAAAGATATTAAGCCTAATTGATGATATGGACGTGTATGTAGGATAAAGAAAAGTATCGTTGATCACTGACACCTTTACCGCCTGAAGATGACAGTCTTTATCGGTAAATCAAGCTGTACATATTGATATGAAAAGTTCCTGGAAAAGGTAACCCATTAGATGGAAATTTATTTTATTTTCATTTGTTTTAATTGGCAGATAATCTCTCAGGACTTCCAACAAAATGCCTATTTGTGATATTGTAGGTAAGTACATGTTCTCGTGCCAGTATTTCATGTTATGTACTATATTTGGCCAATATTATCCACGGATAATAATTTGTTAACCGCTTGGAGACGACCTACGAACTAGGTTGTGATAAAGCAGTTTATAAAAACCTCGAATTGTTATTATTATTATTTATTATTTGGGTACGTAATTATTCTGAAACATTATTGTATCAACATCCAGGTGATTCGTGGTAGATATAAGGTTATATCTCATTCAGCAAAACAGGTCTCAGCCAATCAAATTGCAAACGATTTAATCAAGCATTTTACCCCGTGGTCAGTACGTATGAGTGGACAGTCCTTTGAGGTGGCATTAGCATTGTATATGCTATTGTTACAATATGAGCTGCCAATAGTGAAGAGGAGTCGATAAATATGGCCCTCGTCTACCATGTCCTATAAAATAAAACGAAAAGCAACATTTATGTTAGTAATCCCATCCACTATTATGAAATATATTTCAGTTTTGGTATATATTTTTGTGTGCGTATTGACACTACTACAATATCTTATTATGTTTTGACGATACGGTTTATCTTATCATTTTGTATTGATTCTACGGTTGTTTAATCAGTGTATAGACATTACCGTATTTTGTTACGCTATGGTAAATCTTATGTTCGTGTTTTCACGTTACGGTGGATCCTATTTTCGCGTTTGACGCTACGGTATATTTTTTTCAATTCAATTCATTTATTAACTTTCGGCCTTACGGCCCATCAGTACAAACATATCAATACAATGCATAATATACACAATAACACGGCTCACAATATACAGTGAGAGAGTGGAGTAAATAAATTAGATTCTTAACTTATTAGCTTCAAAAATACATTTACCAAGTTGACATAATTCCTTAGTATTGTTAATACACAATAATTGTATAAATTTAAACATGGATGGCTTTTTCCAGTAGTACTTTTTAATAAGGCGACTTCTTAAGTTTTGGTAGGTTTTACATATCAGAATAAAATGGTATTCATCTTCGACTTCTGTAGCCGAATTACAGTTCGTACAATATCTCTGTTCTCGAATAACGTTGCGATATCTACCGGTCTCGATTGCTAATGAATGTGCAGACATTCGTAACTTTGTTAGACTAATTCTATAATTCTTAGGAATATATTTGGTTAAATAATACTGAATGGAAAAGTGGTCTACGATACACTTGTATAAAAAACACTTAGAGGAAGTCTCTAGTAAACCTCTTAAATGTTGTTGGCCTTGGTCAAAAATTCTTTGACGAATAAGCGGTAAAATTAATTTAACATTAGTCGACGATTGGCTTAACCATACATCACCAAAGCCCAAAGCAAATAATTCATTTTTTACATGGTGTACCCAGTTAAAGCAAGTACATGTAATCTGTTTTGATAAAAAAGAATATGCACAGTTCAGAATACAATTTTTCGAGTCGAGTAACTTAAACCAATACTTAATGATTCTGTATTTTCTGATACATTCTAAAGGCAAGCGACCAAGTTCGAAATATACCATTGCATTACATGTGGATTTTTTAACTTTGAGGAGTCTCTTACAGAAATTCAAGTGCACATTCTCAATGTCTATTCCTTTTATGGATCCCCATACTTCACATGCGTAACTTAATATGCTAATAACATATGTATCGAACAAATGTAACATGGTCTTAAAATTAAGACTAAGATTGGAGCATTTTGATAATAAAGCAAACATAGCTTTACGACCTTGGTCAGCTAATTGTTTCTGAATACTATTGAACTTATTGTTAAACTTAAATTGCACACCTAGGTATGTAAATTGATCAACACAACTAACCGTTTTGCCATTATAAAACCAAATTTCATTATTTCGAACTTTCCCGCCTTTTCGAAAAACCACAATTTTTGTCTTATCAATATTGACAGTTAATTTCCATTTCTCAGAATAACTAGCGAGATTATCCAACAGTTCCTGTAAACCCTCAACCGTCTCCGATAACAACACTAAATCGTCTGCGTATAGCATAAGAAATAAGCTTAATTCTCCAAAGGTATAATAGCTACTACAATTCGAGATAAAAAACGATTCAAAATCATTCACATACATGGAAAAAAGTATCGGAGACAGAATTTCCCCTTGCAATAATCCGATATCATTATCAAAAAAGTCTGATAAGCAGCCTTTGAATTTCACACAAGACCTAACATGATTATATATAGACTTGATGACTTGCAGCAGCTTCCCTCTTACTCCCAACTTCGATAACTTATACCACAAGTTGATCCTATCAACGTAGTCGAACGCCTTTCTAAAATCCACGAAACAACAATATAGACGTTTATTTTCACTAAAAGATTTTGTAATAACTGAATGCAGAGCGAAAACGGCATCAACAGTGCTAAGACCAGGACGAAAACCAAACTGTGCGTCAGTAATAATATCATAAGACTCCGACCATTTTACCAACCTCGTATTCAAAATTGATGTAAACAGTTTGCCTAGACAACTTACCAAACTAATACCTCTAAAATTGTTAGGGTCACTTTTATCTCCTTTCTTATGAACTGGCGTAATAACAGCTATAGACCATTCGGAGGGAAAACATCCAGAATTAAAAATGCCATTAAATAGTACACTCAAAACAGGCAATAGTACATTTTTACCAACTACGAAACATTCATTTAAAATTCCATCAAGTCCATGTGATTTACCCCGTTTCAGGTTACCTATCGCTTTAGCTATCTCATACACCGTAATAGGACAGTCTAATTCATCATAAATTGGAATAGAGTTATCATTGGAATTAAATTCACCTCTATTTTCTGTTACATCTGAATTATTAACATTCTCAGATGACAAAGTCTTAAAATGGTCGTACAAATTATCCATACTCATTTGAGGTCCAGCTGCTTTAGGCGACGAGAATCTCTTATAAAATTGTCTCGGATTATACTTTCTTAGTTGATCAAGCATATCACCTTCATATTTCATGTACATTCTTTTTTTCTTTGCTTCTGCTGCTTTGTACAATCTTTTCTTATTAATTAAATTGTTATGATTCTCTACAGACTTAGAACTATTAAACAAACTCAATGCATTTTTATAATTATTCCATACATGTTTCAAATCGGGGTCAAACCATGGTTTGTCCTCGGATATACCTGTATCATACCTAACTTGTTTATTTACCTGGTCTCGCCCCATTGCTCCCGCACGCTTGTCGTTCCTGTGTGTACTCGGTCGCGAGAGAAAGGGGTCCATTGCTCGAAGCAATACGTTTGAAAATCGCGTAACGCAATCATCCATATCATTTTGGGTAACATCTTCCGATAGTATAACCGACTCGTTAATATCGTTTTGATTCGTTGAGAGTACATCTAAAAAGCTTACCTTGCCTTCGTCATTCCATCGATAAGTAGGTCGCTCGTTACCTGTCGGTTCACACACGTGTGTATCATCATTATCGACCAATGAAAAACGCGTTCGTATTTTCACGAGCAGTGGGGCGTGGTCAGATAACACATTGAAATTGCCAACAATAAACTGTTTAACACAATACAATAAACATGGACTCGAAATCAAATAATCAATAACACTCATTCCATTATGGCCACAATATGTATAGTCATTTGAATACTTATTTAAATCTCTTCCGTTAAAGATACGCAAACAACTCGCCTTACATAATTCTATAAGTCGGTTTCCAAAATGATTTACCACTGTGTCGGGGTTAACCCTATCAGTATAATAATCATCAGAGACATATGAAAACATTGTGTTTTGACGCTACGTTATATCTTATCATTGTGTTTTGACGCTACGGTATATCTTTTCTGTGTGTTTTGACGCTACGGTATATCTTATCATTGTGTTTTGACGCTACGGTATATCTTTTCATTGTGTTTTGACGCTACGGTATATCTTTTCATTGTGTTTTGACGCTAAGGAATATCTTATCATTGTGTTTTGCTGCTACGGTAGATCTTTTCATTGTGTTTTGACGCTACGGTATATCTTTTCATTGTGTTTTGACGCTACGGTATATCTTTTCATTGTGTTTTGACGCTAAGCTATATCTTATCATTGTGTTTTGACGCTAAGCTATATCTTATCATTGTGTTTTGATGCTACGGTATATCTTATCATTGTGTTTTGACACTACGTTATATCCTATCATTGTGTTTTGACGCTACGTTATATCTTATCATTGCGTTTTGACGCTACGGTAGATCTTATCATTTTGCAATGACGCTGCGGTACATTTCACACTTGTGTGTTGACGCTATTGTTCCGAAGATGTGGTTTATATTATACATGTGTGTTAACGCCGTGATATATATTGCTTGTTGACGTTGTGGTAAATTTTCTAATGTTGTATTGAAGCTGTGGTATATCTTATCATAGTGAAGTGCTGTGGTACATTTTGTCTTTCTGTGTTGACAGTATATATAGCGCATATCTTAATTGACACTGTAATATCTTTCAGTTGTATTAAACAATTTACCCCTAATAATCCTACCTCAACAGTACCACTGACGACCTCTCCCAACGATTGTCTGGTGATAATGTCCGCATAACCTCTGACCTCATTGATCTTGTTGACCGCTGCATTGACCGAGGCGTTGACCCCTGGGTCACTTCTATTGATCGGTCTTACATATTTCGGCTTTGGCGGCAATGGCGGTGGCTTTGTTGTGAAAAAAAAAACATCTGACTAAAACATTCAGTAAATCAAATGTTATAGTAAAACCTCGATATAAAATTCAATGTCCTATTTGTTTTCGTTTTCTTCATTTTTTTTAATACAAACCCCCTTTATAACGCCAATTTTTCCCTTGACAGTATACCGGGGTTTTATCGTTATAGCATTTCAACTTTTTTTAGGGCTACAACGCGTAATGACAATGATGCATGTCTTTGCGTGATAGCATGAGGTATATACATAATCGGGCTCGGATTTACCCTGTATCTCCTTCTTAACGGGAATGACGAAACTATATTTGCTGACCCATTACAATAGTTTAGATGTTTTACTATTCTAGTTTACAAATCACATAAAAGTCTATCTTGAGCTGATCGACAGTAAATATAAAGTGTCACAATACGGTAATTGTTTTGGCAGTACTTGTTATTTTAACGTATCCATGTAATTATTATTTATATTAACAAGATCAACTAGGTAACATCATCGTACGTTTACGTGAAAGCTTTTATATAGTGCTGAAAGTGTTGTCGTTTCAATTACATTTCATTAACAGGCGACAGAATATTGTGTCGAATGTAACCTATAGCTATTTCCTTAGCATTCCTGTAGATGCATGATAAGTGTTACGCAAAGTTTAATTGTATTCAATTAATTACTTATTCACTGATAAACATCCAAAGGTCAATCGTATTTTTCATCATAATTGTACATCATTTTCTGCCTTATAAGAATCATTTATATAGTACTTGCATTCACATATCTTTCAATTGATAAAGAAAATTTCGCAATTTTCTTGATATCCAAAAATTATATAACCTACAGTTTAAACTCGATCAAAATCTTTCCTGAATTCAGCATTTATAATGTAAATACGATACAAACGTATTCGGCATTCAAAAATGAAAGCGCTGTATGGAGTAAAAGTAAAAGCACAACACGTATCTCCTCAATACGAAATATATAAAAAAAATATATAAGGATTAAAAACTGAAAAAAAATGAAAGCTCAATAAACTTACGGAGCAAGGAAGCATTTAATTAAAACGTATTAGATCGATGCAGAAATCCATCTAAATGTAATATGAACTGTTCACGTTGTCTGAAATCACAGGAAAATACCGAAGTACCAAAAAAACTGCACTCCTTTATAAAATTCGATAAAACAAGGACAAAACCTGAAAGAATGACATGGCGACCCTTGAACGTAGAGATGGAATAAGACCAGGTGCTCCGGAAGCTAAGCGTATTCACCTTCATCAAAGTAACCCGCCATGTAATTGGTATAGCGAGCAATGCTAGAGCACGAATAGAGTGCATGGGCATATACGTAATTCTTACTAATATTTTACTATTGATTCACTATTGAAAAAAAAAAATTAATCAGAGAGTAAAAATCAATCAGTCCTCTATACCAAAGCTCCTAATTTTATTCCTTTATCAGATTTTGAACAGACCTCAGCATTATCATGTCAATATTTGAAACAGCTGATCACTTCAATCACTTACGTAGTAACTTTTTATAACGTCCCCTGTACGAACATAATTGGTTGACATCTAAGCATACGTTGTCTTCTTGTCCGATGATGTCTGACGTACGTAGTTATTCAGAAAAATACGGAAATTCTTACCGGTATGTCATCGCATCTTTGGTTTTGTATGAACCATCTGTTTGGCAGCCAGTTTCTGTCCAAGACTTCAGACTCACATCTTTGTACCTGAAATAATAACACCGACAAAGTGATAAAGCTAAAATCTTAATCTAGCATAAATCCTCTAAATTTCAAAGAACGGATTAAAATACATACATGTAAACATCACTTATAACGACATGTTAAAATAACTATAATTTTTATAAACTTCTAAATCAATCACTACTTACGGGCAATCGGGCTGGCGGTATAGGGCATTCAGCGGAAGTAGCGTTATAATTCTCTTCTGTGTTTTTGCAGTCGGAGTCCGCAATGGTAAAAATCAGTCTGAACGTTTCGCCACCAGGGATCTGCAAAAAGGAAAGTTTTGTGACAGAAGTACTCGGGTTTTATGTTAAGCTTGACCTACTTTTTCTACCCAATTTATCTTCAGTAAGAATCTGAGGATATCACACTTCTTGATCTACGCTAAAAATGCAATCTCATTATATGAGCAGTTCTTTTCAATGGACATGTTGGTGTATATGCATCTGATCATGTCGTCATTGTAAATTAGTGTTGTTGCACCTGTTTTTACATTACTAAATCACATGGTTTACGATTTCACCGTAACGCCCCATCCGTTCTCTACTTCAGACAAAACTATGCGTTTTGACGTAAAGTGTTCCCAAACTTCGTACGATATTACAAGACACTTCTCGTACAGTTTACAACTTAAAAGATGCTGTTTAATTTGGTCAATTACAGCATGGCTGTTTACTTTAATTATACATAGCGCAATTCTACGCGGAGACTTTTCTTAAACTATGCAACATACTAATTTACGTTTCCAGTTATTTGTGCATGATATGATGTAAAACAAAATCGTATACGAAGTGCGTTATAAACATATTATTTTTTAAATATTTTGTATCGCTTTCAAATAAATTTTATCATGTTTCATACTTGTGCAGTATTGCAGGACTTGTACTGTTCATATTTTGTATAGAAAACAACACGACTCTCGGAACTTCTCGCGCTGCTACATGTACCTGACGTTGGCTTACCTGTACTGTACCGCCTTCCATCCCATACAAGATCCGCCGGAAAGTGTGGTTCGAGTAGCCTCGGTCGTAGTTGATAATAGATATAGCAGCTTCTGCTGACAGTTTAGCGTCTGTGTCGTTCTTCCCGATAGGGCGTTGGTCTCCTGGCGGAGGGGGCTATGTTGGATTTTAAAAAGTCGTACTTTTTATATGAATTTAAATTGAGATAGGTTTTTCATAAGTATTTTTACTTACTTTTAATCCACATTCAACACGAGTTTCGAGAATTCAAACGTTTACCAAATTTGTTTTCGTAAAAGCGTGTATAGTTTACCTCGCAGGTATATCCTATCACTTTACACATCGGGAATTCCCAGTGTTTGTACGTCACAGTTGCGTTGCACTTCCGTTGCTAAAAATAAAAAAGTGGTTTCCAGCTGCTAAAACTAGACAGTGCTTTCCTGAACGACCAACCAAATTAAATGTTATGGGGAAGAAATAGAACTATCAAAATCGAACTTATTTTCGAAGAAACATGTTTTCATATTGCAAAGGCATGACCACGTTATACAGAACGGTCAGTATGTATGGTTAGGCTCCTTGTTGAAATGAAAATAAGAAATAGCTAAAACCAGGTGATTCTGTAATTATCAAAAAAACAAGTAAATTGACGTAATTAAATTTGTATGAAATTACAAATACGTATTTCACTATAAATGTCGTATTCCTTGCGATGAATTACAAAAGCTGGGCGTACATTTCTGTACATTGCAATAAAATACTTAAAGGCATTATGTGTACATATTTCGGGTTGAACATGGAATATATCTTTATCAATATCATTTCAGAAATACATCTCAAATACACATATTTTCAAGAAATAAACGATGAGGGAAGTTCTAAGATAGAATGAGATATTTTTTTCTTAAAATTCATAATACAACTAAAATAATAAGGTTATCTTTCATTTAATTAAATAGAGTTAGCTTTTCTCTACCTAGTTAGAAACATCTTAAGCCTGACTATCTGGCTTAAAACTATAAGAGCCGTTTCTATAAAACAAACATTCTAGAGAAATGACAATTCTAGAAACGTATGAATACCTTCATATCAGGATCCAACAGTGGACAATCTGTGGACGAGGCATTCCAGTTATCTATGCTATTGTTACAAACAGAATCGCCAATGGTAAATTGGAGCCGGTAGATATTCCCGTCAGTTATCTACAATTAGAAATATTGTGCGGACAGAAAAAAAAGGTTCGACATCATATGTAATTGGAGCAGTAGTTATCTCCCTTAGCTCTCAGTTATCTTTCCTTGGCATTAACGTATTATTTGGAATTTACAAATTTAGTCTTGTTGTTTAGCTTATAAATATTTCGTTTTTAAAATGCATGAATCCGAGTCCAAAATACCGTTCAAAAGAAATATCAGTTGCGGCACTTGTATGACTCTATCCATCCAGGTGGTCTACCTTTTTATGTTCAAATTGGATCTTTTGGGAGGGAGGCCAGGGTAAACCTGGTTTGTACAACGCAAATCAATATCTGTTTACGTACCTGGTTGCATGATGTTGTTTTCGAGAAAAGAAAAAGATCGCGAAAAACTATCTAACACTACCTCTAAATTCCTCGCAAATGTCACGGCCATTGTATGGCACTGGTACTCATTAAAAGTTTGAATGTATATAACGTTGTTGTAAGGTTTGTTTTCTGATGGGTGTGCAGTTAAGAACATTAGAACATCAACATCCGTAAATCTTCCACTCAAGCTAATAACGTATCCCAATTGTCCAGAGATATCGTGACTATGAACGTTTGAGTATCATCAGTATTTCAAATATTGAAAGAAAATTTGTGTCAGCAACAGGTATTTTCGGTTTGCTTCGAATAGAGACAGTATTCGGAATATACAATTCAATAGTTCTTTTACTAGAAACGATACTACTGTCATTCACGTAACATGGATTAAGGGAAGTATGAGAGCAGATGTTTTACACACAATAAACATTTACTTCAGTGCGCTTGGTAAATATTTTGTGATTAATTACACCAAACGTAGCAGATGAACTCAGAAAAAAATCTACCTGGACGGTGCCCCCAACTATCCCGCCAGAGGAGACTCGCGTGATGATGTCAGCATAGCCCCGTCTGTCGTTGACGAGGATAACTACAGCATGGACAGACTTCGCCACCCCCGGGTCGCTCATATTAATGGGCATCTCCGCACCCGGCGGGGTGGGCTAGTGGAAACAATATTTGTATAATCATGTTAGCATATACACTCCGGCAATGTACTTGGGTCATTACTGTCAATTCATAAATATTAAAAAATAGAAGATTTATATTTATAAAAAAGATTCATGTACAATGCAAACATTCTTTCCATGTTATTACAGTATATACCGTGTACAAAACTCAAGCTACGAAAGCCAGCACGGATTTGCAGTTTCTTCAGAAAAAAACACCTAGGCTTTCTATATTTGTATCAGAATATTCCATACAATAACATCTTCGGTGAAGATTACGTTTTTTTCAATGAATTGCAAAGTAGATACATGTGTAATGTAATTTTAATTGTTTTGCAATCACAGTATCTTTTAAAATGAGCATGTTTCTATTTATAAGGTAAAGTACAATAATAACGCTTTCGGTATCAAAGAATTGCTTCGAAATTTCGAGTTACAGTCTATCAATTATTACTACTTAACTTCGGTGCATAAGGGAAAAGTGTACGAGTTTTCGAGTTCGGCAAACTAAAGTTTGACCTTAGTTGTTATAGTCCTTTTACCTGTATGTCCACACAGTCGTACGAAAGGACGTCAATGCCGGGGGCTTCCCAGGAATTATAAATGACGATGGTCTGGCATCGCTTTCTCTGTTCAAAAACGCACATGACGATTAGAAATAACATTTGCCTCATCAAAACAATTACTGATTAATATTAATGGTATGATTGACGAATAGGTTCACTCCATCAGGTTTTAAAAGTGTATATAACAACATCACTTAGGTTTCCCTTTTTTACATCTACATGTAAATTGGTACATTGTCACAAGCCGCCAGTCTACAAAAACACTATAATTCAGTGTAATAATAATTTATGAAAGTAATAAATAATTTGTTATTCATCGTATCAAAATGCATTGGTATTTTTTTCACTTTATTACAGTGATTTCACAAACACATATTTGTCAAACAACATGATTCACACGTATCTTAATTGAAAAGCAACATACAGGTAAATTCTTTAGTTCAGAAAACGTTTTGTTCCGTTCGTTTACTCATCCGTATTTTGTAGAAACAAATTACACACCTTCCCCGGCGACAATACCGCACATTCAGCCGACGTCTTATTTTCATTGGCCTCCGTGTTGGTACACACCGAGTCGGCAATCACTAAACGAAGTCGGAACATCTCTCCGTCCACGACCTCAAATACATGGAACCGATATGAAATAAATACATGTAATATGTGTATGCGTCTGCGCTTCCAATAGCATTGGTAATAAGGCTCCAACAGCAGTTTTGATTTACCGCTAGAGACTTGATTGGTCATACCCAATCGGAACAAAAGTCACAGAGTTTGTCATAAAATAACCACACGTGCGTTGACATCACTGCCCACAATTATATTGAAAAGGGTTTTTGAATTAGTAAGAATACAAACCGCAAAATAATTATTTAGATTTTTTTCAGCTGATCCTGATAAAACCTTGCCCCGAAAGTTAACAGCTTCTGAACAATAAGAACGATCCCAGTTCTCGAAATCAGATTAAATAAAGGTTAAACTCTTCGTTAATTTATATTAGGAAATTTCTTACCGACTTTAAACAGTTGATGAATATAAGAAAGAATGAAAAATATCGAATTTTGAAGTTTAAAATGTTCTTAGAATTGTTAAATTACTGCATACTAAGGCCAGTTGAGCAAGATGTCTTGTGATGTTACGCTTACTGGTATGTGGGAATTGATTATCCCACAGAGATCATTTTGGAGATTTGAAATTCTAAGGACTCTTTTCATGCAGCAATATTGAAAAAAGCAGCAGGAAAAAATAAACCTACCTGCACCGTCCCATTTTCTATCGTCTGACAAATCTGTCTCGGGATGTCCTCGGAATAGCCTCGATCTCGGTTGATGACGTCAACAACTACATCCACCGACGCGTGTAAGTGCGGGTCACTCATATTAACTGGGATCTGATGTCCGGGTGGACCGACCTGTCATATTTCAGATTATGAGTATACAATATTTACTGATAATGATAATGATGATGATGATAACGACGATCCTCTGCAGCAGCTGCTGCTGATGACGATGACGAAAATGACGACGATGACGATTCCACTGCAGCAGTAGCTTTTGCTGTTACTGCTGCTTACGATAATGATGATGATAATGATGATACTTATCGCACCTCGGACAAAAATGTCCAAAAACCATTGGTTTAGAGCTGTCACGTGGTTTTCTATAGAGGGTCAGAAGGATTCCATTATAGGGCAATATGGCCGCCCATTGCTCACCGCTTCAAAACTAAAACAACAGATACGGGTACCTGAATATTCTAAAAATGATACAATGCTCACCGCAATTCCTATTCGCTACATTGTATCGTAAGATGATAGGAGTTGCCTCCCCTACGCCAGGCAAAAATAGTAAGACGTTGTCGCCAGCGACCGTCTTTTGTTTTAGCGTGGGTGCCGTCCCCTTATCGATGCGTTTCGGCGACATCGACAAACAACATCAATGGAGAGATTTGGGCAGACGACCACTGAGGATATGAACAAGAAGCGACTTAACAGTACATCTGCAAACACACAAAAAGTCAACAAGACGTGTGTCAAGTGTTTAAAATATTATCTTGGGGAGAAAAAAAAGGTTGTGAATTTTGAAGCCTTCACCGCAGCGAGGTTAGATGAATGTTTATCACATTTTTACCTTGATGCAAGGAAAACTGATGGGGACCAGTACAAAGTACCACACTGGAGGCAATTCGACACGGTATTAACAGGTATCTCAAATCACCGCCGTATAACAAAACATTTGATATGATTAAAGACTGTGAATTCAGGATGTCTAACTCCAGTTTCAATGCCGCAATGGCGGAAGTCAAGCACCTGGGCAAAGGCAGTGTGCATCATTATATGGCGATTGGCAAGAATGATCGCCAAAAGTTGTATTCTTCTATTCATATTAATCCTGAAACTCCAGGAGGGCCTTTTTAGTATTTAATAAAGTGCAATTTGATATTCGCCTCTACTTTTGCCGGCGAGGGGCAGAAAACATGCATACCATGAACAAGGGAACATTCGCTGTTAAAACAGGTTCCAAAACTGGGCTCAAGTATGTTGAGAAAGCCGTGGATGAACTGACAAAAAACCACAGGGAAAGTGACAAGGAGTAAACTTCTGGAGTGATGCTCGAGTCACCAGGTAATTGCTATTATTAAATCAATTAATTGTCTGGAATCATGTTCGATTTGTTTACAAATCTGACAAAAAATTATGTTATATAATAAGCAATAATAATTCAAGAAATTCTCATTTAAATGGAAAAGCTACGTATACTGTACAGTAGTCCGAATTATTCTGACGTTTTATCGACTTTTTTCATATCGGTGTGTCGTCGATTAACGTCAGAACTCCGGCCCTCTATATAATATGCGGGAAATATGCGACCCGCGCCCGGAGCGCACTTCAAACTGATATTTTAGAAACAAATCGTCACTTTCACACACATGTCGCACATGGATCGAAAGATCTGTTCTTTATGCACAAGATGAACATCCATAGCATGCCTCAAACAACCAATACAATCACTAAAAACATATTTTTTCAAACTTGCTCTGTTTTACTCTAGTTTTTTGGTAGCCCCGCCTTCTAATGTCACGTGACTAAAATATCGCCGGCCTACGTCACAATGTTGGGAATTACCTTCGTTAACGCGAGATCTCGTCAAGTCATGTGACATTGCTCATGGCCTAATTACCATTAAAAACATGGGTTGGTATAGAAAACGTTGGAAAATAATTTTCGTAATGTTTTTTGAAACATGTTATTGATACCACCTAGTGCATAGAGAATAGATCTTTTGATCCATGTGCGACATGTGTGTGAAAGTGACGATTTGTTTCTAAAATATCAGTTTGAAGTGCGCTCCGGGCGCGGGTTGCATATTTCCCGCATATTATAGAGGGCCGGAGTTCTGACGTTAATCGACGACAGACCGATATGAAAAAAGTCGATAAAACGTCAGAATAATTCGGACTAACTGTACAGTAGTCATTTTTTTAAGATTTTTTTTTATTGAAATATATAAAACCTGGAAAATGTCTTTTTAACTATCACGACCCAGGAATATCGCTAAAATGTTGTGTCTTACAGTTAACTTACTGTTAAATCAGCCAAATTGAGTATATTTGTACCGTAATTGCAAAAGATTTTGCCTAAAATTAGCTGTAACGTTATGCCTTAGTTTAATTTATTCTACAGATTATGGCAGCGCCCGAAAGAATCGTTCGCAGATGACGAGCCAATGTGGTACTGCAATAGTCCAGTGGGAGAGAAAAAACTCAAGACCTTCATGAGCAACATGAGTGTATCGTGCAGACTCAGTGAAATCTTCACCAACCATTCAATAAGAGCAACAGGCGCGACCATTTTATCAAAGTCCAGTTTCGGGGCAGCGCAAATCATGTCGGTAACTGGCCATAAATCGGTGCAGTCGTTGTCGGTCTATCAACAAGTAGATACCGACGAGAAAGTCTTAATGGGAAACTCCATTTCGGCGTCTCTACAGCCAAATCATACCTCCTCCCCCAGTGCGACCAGCTCTCCTCCCTCCCCCAGTGCGACCAGTGCTAGCTCTCCCTCCTGCCCCGTGTACAGAAATGGCAGAGTTTGTTCCAACCGATCTTAATGACATTAATATTGACGAACTTTTTGATGATTTTGGAGCAGACTCTGACTATTCAGTTACAAATAACTCTATGAAGGTTCAACGCACCAATCAGGGCAATCACCCACAAATGTTCCACAGGTGCAGTGTTACTATTATACAAAATCTCACAATTAACAAATGAGAACATGTTAACGATCTGTGTGATATCTTGTTCCAAGGACAAAAAAAAAAAAGTTACATGTTATGTTTTTGTTGTATAATTTATTTTATTTTCATTTATGAAAGTTGATTAAATTTGTTAAATATTCATGTTGTTTTGTTATGCATTACATCATTTTCATTTTAAGCAAAAAGGGTCCTCCATGCGAGAAATTCGTTATATAGTCAGTTACGGACCCTCTACAGAACCATAGGGGGTCAGTAAGATTTAGATGTGGTGAGGGCGGAGACCCCTATAAATCTTACCTACCCTCTATGGTTCTGTAGAGGGTCAGTAACTGACTATATAACTAATAATGTTAAGATGATGATAATGATAATGATAACGACAACGCGACGACGACAACCGCCATGACCCTACGATAGTAATCAGAAGGAGGAGGAGGATACAAAACAGTTTTAAAAAGTCTAAACATATGAAAAGGAAATAAATTAGCAGTTGTCAACAGCAACAAATTTATTTTTCAATGTGGAAGATGCAAGTTTGTATAAATGTATCGTGTTTATGAAACAGTAATATCAATACAACGACGTCCACTTACTTGTGATTGCACTCCTGTTATCATTGTCAACACTGCTGTGACTGAGACCAGCATCAGGACGACACCGGTCGACATAGCTTCCACGTAGACGGCCATTGTCTCAGCCAGTGTCTGCTATAACTGGCCGGTCTTATCTATCACTCGAAATGACCTTATGAAACCCCTAGGTTTGTTATCAATGAAACCTGATTTTAATACAGCCTTTCTTTGACAGCCAAATAACAAACTCTTTTATAATAAAACTTGGTCAATCCGATACCTTAGTATTACGACATCTTGTCTGATTCAATATGAAGCTGTGATCCCATGACATGGGTATTCCAGTCTCATCTGATCAATAAATTGTTTGCCACAGGGTGTCAGATTAGGCAGGTTTCGCAGTATTGTTTTTTTCAAATACGTAGGCTAATATTTTAAGGTCTAGGAACACAATGCAAAATATATTTAACTCATAGTGTTGTCAGATTTTCTAAATGCAAAGATATAATGCAGTGCAGCTAATGTCAAATAGTTTGTGTCGAACCCGTTAAAGCGCTATCAAACGGCCTACACCTCATGGCCGACCCGTAATGGAGTTATTGTAATAAATCAATCAATCAATCAACTTTATTGCATTTTACATCCAATTTACAAGGATCGAGCTGCAAACATCAAACAAACATTGATACTGTATAATGGACAGTAAAAACTACATACTTATGCAGGCCGTCTAAACATTTATAGGGTAGAGACACATTCGTATTATAAATCTTAACGTTACAGTAACCACATAAACTGATGAGTATGCCGAGCAGGGGATACGACGTGTTATCAGTGTGCACTTTGATCTTAGGGTCATATATACAGGGCACAGATTATACATACACACACATGCAGGTCGCTACCGGAAGAAATTCCAGGTGTTGGTAAACATCTGTCATCTCCCCGAACATACGGTACATGTAAGTTTAACGTTTTTATTCAATCTACACCTAATTGGTAACGCGTACACCTACATGTTCATAACACGCGTGTATTACACATGCGAATTAGGGGAACGTTTATCATAACAAGGGAAACAACTCGTGTGCACTGTAATTGTACATTCAGTATTGATTTAAAATTAAAACCAAATAATGTACTTCATCATGGCCACCATATTCCTGATATATGAGAACAATATGTAGAAGTGTTATACCGTGGAAATATATGGATAGGAGCAGTGTTGTCTGGTTAGAAGTTTGGGGATTGCCAATAATACACATCTCCACCCCACCGCCAGGTGATGAATGATTCTGTTTTCCTTTCACCGAAGTGGGGAGGATCAATATCCTCCCATCCCTGAAACATCATGGGAAAAAATGAGCTGTGTGCTAATCACCCCTCTATAAAATGGCGTTAACTATTGTAAAAGTGACGATACTTTAGTATTTTCATGGTGATATCGGTAGTTCCTCAGCCTAGGGTATTACACGGGAAAGAAAAACAGTTTTTGTATTATTTATTTGCATATATATATAAGTTCAGAACTGAATTGCCAACTTTCGGCGCCACCACAGATAAACGTTCAGTGTAAAGCTGTAAGACTTTCCCAATAAATGCAATGTTTGACAGCATATGTTTTTAAATTAATTAGATAATGGCGGTAATAGAAGGAAGTGTGACGTCACTTGGTATACAGATCGTTTACGTCATAGTGGGCGTGTTCTGTGTGGTGAAGGCCTTGACCCTATTGGGGAGTTATAGAAAAATGAAAAAGCGTTACGACGAAATCCCAGGATTCGAAAAGAAAGATTATCACTGGTTGACGGGAAATATACATAAAGTGAGTATGAATATATGTTAAAGATTAGGCCCAATATACCACAGATTTGTATGACTGTGAATATATAAGTGAGGACCGGACTGGGTAAGTCGCGAATGACCAGGCGGATTCGTTGATACAGTAGTACGTCAGTCAGGGGTTCGGTTAGAAAATGAATTTAGTTAACGGATTTGTGCTAAATAATTAAACATGATTTTTACATTAATCCATACAAATTCTATTTTTTTCAATATGACTATCTTTCATTAATTCAATTCTGTTTTGATTTACATCTCACACCAGATTCAAACTTGAAAAAACTGCGTTAGCCAAAATTAAAAAAAAACTTTGAAATTGTCGTCATGTAATAACGCCTGATTGAAGAGCATGTGCAATTATATTCATATTGAAAGTGGGTAAAATTGAATTGGAAAGGGATTTAAATAGCACATGCTATTATTGGACGGGCGTGGAAAATATTATAATAACCGGGTAATGATCACAGATAACGAGGCCCATTAACACACTGAAATCATGCAATGCCACTCGATATCAAAAATAGAAAACAAATGTCGGGGAAATCTTTCTAGCTTGCACAGAGATAACAATCATTATTCTTACAGTTTCCAAAGGAGACAGAAAAAAGGCTGGAACTACACAGAAGTCTTATGATAAACAACCCCCGTGTGTGTAGGATGTGGCTGGGGCCTTTTGTGGCCAACATCTTCGTTCATCACCCAGATTCAATCAAACGTATTCTAAAGTCATCAGGTAAGCTATATTTTGGTGATCTATTAAGTGACTTAGTGTTTCACTAAAATTATAATTGATGTGATATGTGAGTATATAATATAGTGTGTTATTTCTAAAATCGAAATGTGTTAACAATACTACACAGTTTGTGCAAATAACATACACAAAAGAAACTTTGAATATTTAATATCAATTACGCAAGTAACCTATGCTACACTGTAGTTTGACACAAAGTAAGACATTGTTTAAGACAGTGCAGCTGCCCACAATTGTTCATAAATGAGCATGATCAAGAATTAAAATTATGGGCGCCAGTGAATAGAATGACCTTCTTTAAGAAAGTGCTTTGCTGCTTCTCCCTCATTGCTACATAACATATACTCTTAATCCTCTTCGTTCTCCACATCGTGGAGGGCATTTGCGTCCATGTGACTACATTACCAATCCGACATGCTTCACATATGGATGCATATTATTTATCGTTACCTTGCATGGGCATCTTATACATCTTTGTAAAAATTTGTTCGTTTTTTTGTTGTTATTATCATGAAATCAGTATTCGAATGGCTTCAAAATTATTTTGATTCTTAAACACTAAGAGTTTAGTTACTGAACCAGATGTTATAGATACAGTAGGAGACGGACGTGTGTAGATACAGAAGGACAAGGTTTCTGAGTTATTTCAAACTTATTTCTACGTCCAAGAGCCCAAGGCTCGTGGCCTAGGTGGATCGTACGAATACCTGCTGCCGTGGCTGGGGGAAGGATTACTGGTCAGCAACGGTGACAGATGGGCGCGGTCACGTCGGCTTCTCACCCCAGCTTTCCATTTTGACATCCTTCGTCCATACGTCGACATTTACAATGAGGCATCAGACCTTCTGTTGGTTCGTATAGTCTAAGCATATACTAGTATAACTCTCATTGTATTATGATATGTGTATCTACTGAAATCGTAAATCCTAATGCTTTCACTCTTATTTTGGTATTTCGCACCCATGTTTGTTTTAGATTGTTAAATGTATTGGAATTATTTTATCGCACGGATTTCTCTATACGTTGTAAAAATACTCCACATGTGTGATTCATCATCTTTCAGATATTTTATTTTTATCATTGTTAAGATAAAGTTGAAAGTAATGAGAAACTAATTTGTTTTATAGGACAAAATGGCGTCGGATGTGAAGAAAGGCCGGAGTTTCGAGCTCTTTGGTAACATCAGCATGTGTACTCTGGACATTATACTTAGATGTGCTTTCTCTTACGAGAATGACTGCCAGGTTAAGGGGTAAGACTGACAACTGTATTATTGATTGATTGCTGCGAACAGTTTGTTCAAGTAGTTGATGTCTTATGAAGTTTTTTTAACCTGTTTTAGATGTTTGTGGAGTAAGCCTCTGTGGTGTGGAGATAGTTCGTGTTCGTCCCTGTCTCTTTGCCAAGTTAAACATTATAACAATGTAAACACATTCACAATGAAATAATATAAAAATAACTGAAAACATATCTTATAGTCAGGTTTTATTAAAATAGTAATAACATCCTAGCCAACAAGAGGGATTAGTATTAGTTTTAAAAACTTGTTTCATACATGTACTTGTTGTAAAATAAATAAAATTTCTATATATATTATATTATCAAAATATACTTTTCAACTTAAGTATATCCAATTAATCCTAAAAGGACGAACTTGGTGGAGTGAATGTTTAAGTTTCTGCATCGATTGACCAATGTTTTTAAATTGTTGAATAAATGCTTTCATTGCTTCATTTTCTAAACGCTCAAACCAACTTCAAAAAGCGAAACACTTAACATGGTCACGGTGCAAAACGTGATTCCTTGGCCAAGTCCAATCGGAGTTTAAGAAATCATTCATCAACTAAACTAGGAGTTGGTCTTACAGTACAGAACTTTGGAAATGATTATGGATATGCTATGACTGTAGGTGTCCGTGATACCACGAACTTCAACCTACGAGGACAATTCAAATTGTTCACTCGAGCTTGACTAGACACAACCAATGGTGTCGTTGCAGAAAAGAGCTGCATTAAGCTATTCATTATTTCCAAACTAAGGCTTGCAATTCACTGTTAACGAGAAAACTATTTAATGTTGTTATTTATTTTCTTATTTGTTTCAATTTTAACGATCTCGCAATAGCTAAGAGTATATCGTGGCACGATATCTACGGACACACACTGTTGGAGCCACACCTTACAAATACATGGTGTCAATAAACTGAAATATAATTACCTGTATAGGACAGCATGACGACCCATACGATGAACTTTTCTGATAGTGATATCCATACGATGGCTTGTACTTACTGTTTCCTTTCCTTACAAAGATTTAAATATATATTTGTGTTTTCTCATAGGGAAACGCACCCGTACGTTGTGGCTGTCAATGAACTGTCCGAAACACTTCTGCATCGAACAAGGTGAGAATCTTACTATCCACGTATTTAAATCTGAAAAATCGATCGAGGTATTACATGAATGTAAGTTTAAATGTATATTAATAATAACATAAATTGTTTCCATTTTCAATCTGAACCAACTGTACAGATTTTGACAAAAAAAATGTTGAAAGATCTATTCTACATTGTTGTCACAAGTAAGCATGGGTAACTTGTAAGCTATCTTTAGTTAATGGTAATTGGTACTTGGTATGCACAAGAAAACAGGCATTTGTAATGTTCAAGTAATTCAAGTTACTGTTTTAATATATAAAATAAATCTGGAATCTAATTCTAATTCAAATAATAAGCATTTTGGTTAAGGTAGCGTACGTCCTTAAAGACATTTCGATCATAACCCTTGTTATATTTCACCTCTGTCTACGTTCTATTTCTCTTGTACTGTGCTTGAACTAACGAAGCTTAATATTTTCCCCCTTAACCTTGCTTCACAGAATTTGACTCTCGAATGAAGTTATATTAAATTATCTCGACGTTTGATCGTGCTATGTAATACTATTTCGGTCGTACACCGTTACAGGATACCGTTACTGCATCCAGACTTCATATTTTATCTGACGTCAGAAGGCCGACGCTTCCGGCGGAACTGCAATTTCGTTCACTCTGTGACTGAAGAAATCATCGCCAAACGGAAACAAACATTGGTGAGACACTGACGATTAATGTACATCACTGATTTGACACAATTTTTTATGTTGACATGACTCATGTCTATGACATTCAACATTGATAAGTCATTGATAATGATTGAAATTAATTACGGTTGGAATCAAACATGGATGATACACTGATACTTCAAACAGCCCATGTCATGACAGTTATAATTGAAAACAAAATGTGTTTAAACGTTGGTGATTGAACGAACTTTGTTGTATAATTGATGATTGAAAAAGACACTTGTGACACTGATTATTGAAAACAAACCCTGTTCTTACACTGATGATTGAAAACAATCTTTGTTGTAACGGTTTTGATTGAAAACAGATTTCGTTCTGACACTGATAGTTAAAACCAATGAGTGAGGCTTAGTGATTCACTGACGATTAATATCAATTGTTTTGTTCACTTAACATATAGAGTACACTGTCTTAACAGTTTACGAGCAAGCATAACACATTGTTCACGTAAACCTTACCGTTCAATTAAGTCAACATTTCATTGTTTACTGTACACGCTTTAATATATATTTAGAATATTTTTGTCCAATTACATTTTCAGATATTCTATTAATGTCTCAGCTCCTTATAACATAAAATATGCTTTCAGTATAACTATGAAAGATAAAACACTTACATATCAGAGTGTCGTTCATACAGATGTACATTTTGTTGTTAGAGAGACATTGTACCATTCCCATAGTTAAAGTGGAATCTATCTATAGATATACTACAGCCTTCTCTGTTCAAATAATACATTTTGAGATATGGTTTTGTAAAAGTCTAAGAAATACCCTGTACTGCTTGTAGTCAACTGATTAAAATATATCTCTTACAAATGACCTTTCGATACGAGGTTTCAATACAAGTAGGTTAACATCACCTGAATTTAGTTAAGGCACTTCCACGTATTTTTGTATATTTTGAATAATATGTGAACCGTTGTTAACACTGTATATGCGCAGTTCCTGAACATTGTTTAGAATGTATCTACTGCAGTTCCCGTCACGTTTCCTGTTTTCAGTAAATTGTTTCCGGCCTCAGGTAGAGTAACCCTATTGTTGATATCCGCACAGCTGATAGTAAGTTATTTACTGGATTGTTAACGATCCGTCAACAGAGAAGAGGGCCAATCTAAGTAAATTAAACATGTTAGAGAAAATGACATCAAACTCCGGAAAGGTAAACAACAAATGTCACCTTGAAAAGTGAAAAGTGGTTATTGTTATACCTCGATAAAACGAACTATGCCGGATATTTTTCTCAGATATAATACTAATGCGCATGTCTATTTGTACACATTTTTTAACCATTTAATTATGGCGCTGCTGAGTCTTTTTTTTCTCCCACACTTCACATGTACATTCCCCTTCTTGGTAGGGAAAAGATAAACCTGTCTTGATATACCTCGATCAAGACAGCTGACACGCGCTATTACATCACAGACAACGCACTTCTTTCAACATGCCTGTGACCCTGTGCACTTTTAGCAAAACCGATTACATCATCACTTTTTACACACATGTATACTTCACATGTAAACAAAACGTGGCAAGCTCAGCATTCCGACAGTTCCAAATAGGCGAATGTGTTGCCGTAGGAAAAAATGGTGAAAAGGTAAGAATTGTTGATGAATTTAATTGATGATGGTTCGGTGCATTGGGGTCAAAAATACAACTTCGCAGTGAAGGTATTTTACGTTAAGAAAATGTGGGAGAAAAATAATCAGTATCTGCTGTGTGATGTAAACAGAGATATCTCAAACCTCGGGATGAGATATTTTTTAGGTTTAGCACTCGGCAAAGCCTCGTGATAAACCTAAAAAAATATCTCACCCTCTGGTTGAGATATCTCTGTCTACATCACACACGAGTGATATATTCTATTAGTCCACCATATTAAATAAGGCTGGCCACTAGCAATGTTGGAGAATGGCTGACGTCTGTCCTATCTCCTTGCAACAGTCACATTAATGGTATAGTGGCCTATACACAGAGCGTACATGGCAGCTGTTCTGTATTGCTGATGTGCACGAGTATGTTCTAATTCTGTATTTCTTCTGAAATTGAATTTATTTTCTATTAAAAGCAGCATAACACTTGCCAAATGAACTGCAATATAAAACAGTGGATACTCTTATTGTCTTTTTTATATCAATGCAGAAGGAAAAGAAGTTTCAGCCGAAGCCTCGCTATCTCGACTTTCTTGATATTTTACTGAGTGCAAGGGATGAAACTGGACAAGGACTTTCTGACGCCGAGATACGGGATGAAGCAGACACCTTTCTGTTTGAGGGTAAATATTACTATTATATAATTTCACAAATGGCCGTTAAGTAATACAATGACACTCGAACGAAGACTTCAATAAATACCATATACTCAGGAAAATGTCAGAAAGATATAGTAACATAACAAAATAGACGTCTATCTTAGAGTTAAAAAACAGAACAAGGAAGCAAAAGTCGATTCGATAAGACAACAAAGGGGAAAGCAAAACGACAAGAATGAAAGGATGATCCCACGAAATTGGATGAACATCCAGGTGTTCGGAACATAATATACGCCGGATCGTCTGTCACCTACGACTTTTCTCAGGGAAGTTTGAAGATTGAGGTCTAGGAAGCCTCTTTCTCAGTTTTATTTATTTGTCTGATACGTATAACAGGCATTGGATGTGGCAAATTAAACTTTGATGTAAGCTCTATTCCAACGAAAAGTGGTATGCTGCATTATGGTAAAAAAGAACACAACTATTCAAACCAATTTGAACTAGAATTTATTTAATTATTGTTTGGCGTAAGTGGACACGGCTTCATTATCAATTTTGGTTACAAACCATATGAGACAATTGCTCCGACTAGTTTTGGGCTACCGCAAATGGTACCCTAAATCCACATTAGGCCTATACATGGAGCCAATTTCTCCCTATATATTCAATATACAATGTTCATTTAAACCAATAAACTCAAATTAATAATTGAATTATCCAAATGTACAATTTAACTTTTTATATTCCTTCTGGTTACTGTAAAGTCAATTGTCAATACAACTTTACTGAAATGACGTTTTACACCTGACCCCGAAAACGAAGGTCGGGTGCATATTAATTACCTGAATTATCACTCCCAAAGTTTTTTGCCGCGCAACACCAACACTTCATACCATCACTGAACCTTTTCATAGATGAAGCCGTGCCGTAGTCGATGTAGCTAGCATCCGAAACTTGACTTCAAAACCCCGAAAACGATGGTGATGAGCCGATGTGTAGAAACTACAGGTTGTTCAAGTTGACCATAGAATCGAGTGCTGTAATCTTCCCATGATCCAGGCTTCCAAAACGCTATTCTGAATAAAAGAGAAAAGAAAACCAGCAGTATCCCCCTTTCTTTTGGGAACGGGTGAGAGGGTAAATTTTCTTGCAATCGATTCCTACCATGAATTTATAACAAATTATCGGAGCAAACTCACCACTCAACCTTCTTCTTCCCTTGATAGTTTGAAAATGAGTGTTTGAAATTGAGGTTGAAACAGGGGACAGCACTCTATTTCAAATTTTATTTCGATTTGTCACGTACACCAAAAGTAATCAGCTACATGCAAGGGGAGACAACTCCTTTAGCTTTCCAGATCTTTTTTACCATAACACCGTCCATTGAATAAGCAATAGCCGGGAATATATTGATTAGTAAAATAAGATATAATTTTCCCTGATTATGTCTATAACTAGCACTGTAGTAATGAATCCAATTTGTTGGTTGTCATTTATGAAATTTTACGATTATAACCTTTACCGTTGGAAATAGCAATGTAAGGTTTAAGTGTTTAATAGATTTGGGGCGCGGGGAACATACGTTCAGTGTACATCTGTCATATTGCCGCCATACGTGTGTTAAATGCATACATGTCTTTCTGCCGCAAGTGTTCGGGAGTTTCAATAACTGTTACCCGTGTAGCAATTGTACATTAACTCCTCACGTGTAATATTGGAGCATGTCCCCACTCGTGCAGTGACAGTACATTACCCAAATATTGAATAAGCGTGCACGAAACCAAGTGTGGTGATAGTACATGTACTTGTAAATAACCCTGCACGTTAAGTTCTAGCTTTACATATAAAGTCAATGATTTACAGGACACGATACTACAGCTAGTGGAATCACGTGGACATTGTTCGCCCTTGCTGGTCATCCTCATTTTCAGGCCAAGGTCAAGGGAGAGATTGATGACGTCAGCAAAGGGAGAAAGTGTAAGGACATTCAATGGTGAGTCGACACATACATTGTATTACATTGGTTATCAGAATTTTGTAAATATCGCTTTCCTGCAGGGGAAAGTTCAACTTGTAATTCTTGAGTAGGAAAATCGATAATGTCAGTTGTTCAAGAAAGTCTATGTGTTATCATCTTGTTATAACCCGAGTCTTAAGGCAAGAAAAACGAAATCTTGATAGCCGCCATTTATATGGCATACATGTACATGTAAAATGACAGAACAGATTGGTCTAGTTTTCTAGCAATGATTTTAATAGTAAGAGTTGTATATATTTCGAATTATAAAATGTTCCCGTATTTTCAACTGCGACTACGAAATTAAGGGAATGTCTCTCACTACTTGGAAATAGTTCCGTTTGTTTAGAAGGGACGGTTGTGGAAGCTTTAAAATGACATTAGAGCTATGAAATGTTGCTTGATATTTTACATATATTTTGTATATATCTTAAAGGGAAGACCTTCCAAAGCTTCAGTACCTAACACAGTGTATCAAAGAAGGTATGAGACTTCACAGCCCTGTTCCCTTTATACAAAGACGACTCAAAAAGGAAATTGAAATGCCAGACTGTACTCTCCCAGGTGGCGCTCTCGTCACTTTACATCTGTATAACCTGCATCACAACCCTCATGTTTGGACCGATCCGGATACATACGACCCGGAACGGTTTAATCCGGATACGGTCCGGGAGTTAGACACGTACAGTTTTATTCCCTTTTCAGCTGGATCGAGGTATGTACTACATGTAGGTTTACTGATCTATTTTATTGTAAGCATACCGGTCTAAAACGTTTGATGTACATGTTTTATTTATGTAAAGAAAGTAGTGTGTTTCCGCTTGGGCCAAACGAGCGACTCCCAGTCCGCCGTTCTTCCTACTGAGATTTTCCCCCTAGAACGAAGCATGACGGCTATCGTATATGCAAATTAAAAAGCTGCCGTAAAAATCCCGTCTGTTTAATATCTTCGCCCTTTGAATACCTTTTCAACTCAGGTTCTAGCTCCCTGCCACCTCTTGGAGGGCCATGGACACCATTTGTAGCAGGCACAAAATAAGTGTGCTTCCACCGGTGATCCAACCATCGACCCCTAGCTTTCTAGTACGCAGCTCTATCGATTAAGCCAAAGAAAAATTTAATTTAGTGAATAGCTGTCAGACGACCGTCATTTATAATAGGTAGATGAACACTGTACATATATGTATTTACACATATGATATATGCACGTGGTTGTTATAAAGGTGGTTATTAGATTCAAACGATCTTGATAGTAAGTTGACGTTTACAATTCCAAATAAATGACGTCAAAATTACATATAAACATGCAAACAAAATACAACCCTGAACTATCGACAGTAAAGGTAGAAGTCTATAATTATTGTTTATGTATGTTTTAGAAATTGTATTGGACAACATTTTGCAATGAACGAGGAAAAGGTTGTCATCGCAAGAATCCTACAGAGGTAAATGTTTTTATTATTAGCGTAAGTTGATTAAATAGAGTGTAATGATAGTCTGTATGAAACAAAAGTACAATGTCAGAAGCAAAACACACATTTAAACAACGCAACATAGTTACCACAAGGCCGAACAGTACAGCATACATATACATACAGTAAACAAAACGTCAAACAGTAGAACTTATATAACCAGTGTACGCGATGTTAAACAGTAGAATAGGTATATACAGTTAAAAACAAGGCTAGACAGTAGAACATATATCACCAGTGTACGCGATGTTAAACAGTAGAATAGGAAAATACAGTAAAAACAAGGCTAGACAGTAGAACATATCACCAGTGCACGCGATGTTAAACAGTAGAATAGGTAAATACAGTAAAAACAAGGCTAGACAGTAGAACATATCACCAGTGCACGCGATGTTAAACAGTAGAATAGGTATATACAGTTAAAAACAAGGCTAGACAGTAGAACACATATCACCAGTGTACGCGATGTTAAACAGTAGAATAGGTAAATACAGTAAAAACAATGCTAGACAGTAGAACATATATCACCAGTGTACGCAACGTTAAACAGTAGAATAGGTAAATACAGTAAAAACAAGACTAGACAGTAGAACATATATCACCAGTGTACGCGATGTTAAACAGTAGAATAGGTAAATACAGTAAAAACAAGACTAGACAATAGAACATATCTTAGCAGTGTACGAAATGTTAAACAGTAGAATAGGTAAATACAGTAAAAACAAGACTAGACAGTAGAACATATATCACCAGTGTACGCAATGTTAAACAGTAAAATAGGTAAATACAGTAAAAACAAGACTAGACAATACAACATATCTTAGCAGTGTACGAAATGTTAAACAGTAGAATAGGTAAATACAGTAAAAACAAGACTAGACAATAGAACATATATTAGCAGTGTACGCGATGTTAAACAGTAGAATAGGTAAAAACAGTAAAACAAGGCTATACAGTAGAACATATATCACCAGTGTACGCGATGTTAAACAGTAGAAAAGGTAAAAACAGTAAAAACAAGACTAGACAGTAGAACATACATCACCAGTGTACGCGATGTTAAACAGTAGAATAGGTATATACAGTAAAAACAAGGCTAGACAGTAGAACATATATCACCAGTGTATGCGATGTTAAACAGTAGAATAGGTAAAAACAGTAAAACAAGGCTATACAGTAGAACAGATATCACCAGTGTACGCGATGTTAACCAATAGAATAGGTAAATACAGTAAAACCAAGACTAGACAGTAGAACATATATCACCAGTATACGCGATGTTAAACAGAAGAATAGGTAAATACTGTAAAAACAAGGTCAGGCAGTAGAACATATATCACCAGTGTACGCAAAGTTAAACAGTAGAATAGGTAAATACAGTGAAAACAAGGGTAGACAGTAGAACATATATCACCAGTATACGCGATGTTAAACAGAAGAATAGGAAAATACAGTAAAAACAAGGTCAGACAGTAGAACGTATATCACCAGTGTACGCGATGTTAACCAATAGAATAGGTAAATACAGTAAAAACAATACTATACAGTAGAACATATATCACCAGTGTACGCGATGTTCAACAGTAGAAAAGGTAAAAACAGTAAAAACAAGACTATACAGTAGAACATATATCACCAGTGTATGCGATGTTAAACAGTAGAATAGGTATATACAGTTAAAAACAAGGCTAGACAGTAGAACATATCACCAGTGCACGCGATGTTAAACAGTAGAATAGGAATATACAGTAAAAACAAGGCTAGACAGTAGAACATATCTCCAGTGCACGCGATGTTAAACAGTAGAATAGGAATATACAGTAAAAACAAGGCTAGACAGTAGAACACATATCACCAGTGTACGCGATGTTAACCAATAGAATAGGTAAATACAGTAAAAACAAGGTCAGACAGTAGAACGTATATCACCAGTGTACGCGATGTTAAACAGGAGAATAGGTATATACAGTAAAAACAAGGCTAGACGGTAGAACATATATCACCAGTGTACGCAATGTTAAACAGTAGAATAGGTAAATACAGTAAGAACAAGGCCAGACAGTAGAACATATGTCACCAGTGTACGCGATGTTAAACAGGAGAATAGGTATATACAGTAAAAACAAGGCCAGATAGTAGAACATATATCACCAGTGTACGCGATGTTCAACAGTAGAAAAGGTAAAAACAGTAAAAACAAGACTAGACAGTAGAACATAGGTAAATACAGTAAAAACAAGGTCGGACAGTAGAACATATATCACCAGTGGACGCGATGATAAACAGTAGAATAGGTAAATACAGTGAAAACAAGACTAGACAATAGAACATACATTAGCAGTGTACGCGATGTTAAACAGTAGGAAAGGTAAAAACAGTAAAAACAAGACTAGACAGTAGAACATAGGTAAATACAGTAAAAACAAGGCCAGACAGTAGAACATATATCACCAGTGTACGCGATGTTAAACAGAAGAATAGGTAAATACAGTAAAAACAAGGTCAGACAGTAGAACATATATCACCAGTGTACGCGATGTTAAACAGTAGAATAGGTATATACAGTAAAAACAAGGCCAGACAGTAGAACATATATCGCCAGTGTACGCGATGTTAAACAGAAGAATAGGTAAATACAGTAAAAACAAGGCCAGACATTAGAACATATATCACCAGTGTACGCGATGTTAAACAGAAGAATAGGAAAATACAGTAAAAACAAGGTCAGACAGTAGAACATATATCACCAGTGTACGCGATGTTAAACAGTAGAATAGGTAACAACAGTAAAATCAAGGCCAGACAGTAGAACATATATCACCAGTGTACGCAAAGTTAAACAGTAGAATAGGTAAATACAGTAAAAACAAGGCCAGACAGTAGAACATATATCACCAGTGTACGCGATGTTAAACAGTAGAAGAGGTAAATACAGTAAAAACAAGGGTAGACAGTAGAACATATATTAGCAGTGTACGCGATGTTAAACAGTAGAATAGGTAACAACAGTAAAAACAAGGCCAGACAGTAGAACATATATCACCAGTGTACGCAAAGTTAAACAGTAGAATAGGTAAATACAGTAAAAACAAGGCTAGACAGTAGAACTTATATCATCAGTGTACACGATGTTAAACAGTAGAATAGGTATATACAGTAAAAACAAGACTAGACAGTAGAACATATATTAGCAGTGTACGCAATGTTAAACAGTAGAATAGGTAAAAATATATTAAAAACAAGGCCAGACAGTAGAACATATACAAGGATCACTGGTGTACGCGATGTTAAACAGTAGGATAGATAAATACAGTAAAAACAAGACTAGACAGTAGAATATATATCACCGGTGTACGCGATGTTAAACAGTAGAATAGGTTAATACAGTAAAAACATATTATTGTTAGGAAAACTAATTTACATGAATATTAATATGCACACTAATATAAATGAACGAATTTTATTCTTTTATTTAATATAATACTATAATACTATAATACTATATATCATAACCTAAACTAGAAACTCATATAAGTTCTATGGTTATTATCAATAGTGCTTTTTCTTTGTATCTTTTCTCAATATTTATTTACAGATACACACTAGCGCTCGACCCAAAACACACAGTACAGAAGAAATTTAGTGCTGTACTGAGATCTGAACACGGAATTCACGTCACCATCACGCCAAGGGAGGACACAGCTACAGACAATCAATAATTACGTAGTGACGTCATATATCAACTAACAACTTGGGGTGCTATTAATATTTTTTGATCAAACTGGACTCTAATAATGACAGTTAAACAAACGGATCGAAAATGCATAACGTACTATTTTACTCTTAAGGAAGCGATATCACACTACATGTAACAGCGACATCGATGATCAGTAATACAAATATTTCAGAGTATGGCTTCATCCGTAAACGTACAAAATGTAACACCCAATTACGCTGTATACGGGCCTTATACAAACGATTGTTACGTTTATGTCGTGTACAAATTGGCCCTTCATAACGAAACGTAACTTTTAATCGGGCCGCTTTAAAGCGTCTTTGGGTAATAAAGGTAATGGCTCGAGCGTGTTCTCGCGGTTTCATTTGCAGAACATACGCGATAACGCGAGTGTAGCAGCCGTATCCGATTGTCATCCCGAGCGGTCGATAAACAATGTGTGGCACTTTGCGGACTCTCGGACGTCGATGCAGTTTTTCTCAGATGATTTAATGCAACCACATTTTTGTGCCATTTGGCGCTGCGACACTCCCGCATGGAACATGGTGTAATTGACCAGTCAATGGTGTAACTGACCAGTTAATGGTGTAATTGACCAGTCAATGGTGTAATTGATCAGACAATGGTATAATTGACAAGTCAATAGTGTCATTGACCAGTCAGTAGTGTCTTTGACCAGTCAATGGTGTAATTGACCAGTCAATGGTGTAATTGACAAGTCAATGGTATTATTGACAAGTCAAAAGTGTTATTGACCAGTCAAAGGTGTAATTCTCCAGACAATGGTGTAATTGACCAGTCAATGGGGTAATTGACCTGTCAATGGTGTAATGGACCAGTCAATGGTTAATTGACCAGTCAATGGGGTAATTGACCAGACAATGGGGTAATTGACAAGTCAATGGTGTTATTGACAAGGCAAAAGTGTTATTGACCAGTCAAAGGTGTAATTCTCCAGACAATGGTGTAATTGACCAGTTAATGGTGTAATTGACCAGTCAATGGTGTAATTGACAAGTCAATGGTGTAATTGACAAGTCAATGGTGTTATTGACAAGTCAAAAGTGTTATTGACCAGTCAAAGGTGTAATTCACCAGACAATGGTGTAATTGACCAGTAAATGGTGTCGTTGACAAGTCAATGGTGTCGTTGACAAGTCAATGGTGTCATTACCCAGTAAATGGTGTCATTGACAAGTCAATAGTGTCATTGACCAGTCAATAGTGTCATTGACCAGTCAATAGTGTCATTGTCCAGTCAATGGTGTAATTGACAGTCAATGGTGTAATGGACAGGTCAATGGTGTAATTGACCAGACAATGGTGTAATTGACCAGTTAATGGTGTAATTGACCAGTCAAAGGTGTCATTGACAAGTCAATAGTGGCATTTACCAGTCAATTGTGTCATTGACAAGTCAATGGTGTAATTGACCAGTCAATGGTGTAATTGACCAGTCAATGGTGTAATTAACCAGTCAATGGTGTAATTGACCAGTCAATGGTTAATTGACCAGTCAATGGTTAATTGACCAGTCAATGGTGTAATTGACCAGACAATGGTGTAATTGACAAGTCATTGGTGTAATTGACCAGACAATGGTGTAATTGACCAGTCAATGGTGTAATTGACCAGTCAATGGTGTAATTGACCAGTCAATGGTGTAATTGACCAGTCAATGGTGTAATTGACCAGTCAATGGTGTAATTGACCAGTCAATGGTGTAATTGACCAGTCAATGGTGTAATTGACCAGTCAATGGTGTAATTTGCCAGTCGATGATGTAATTGACCAGTCGATGATGTAATTGACCAGTCAACGATGTAATTGACCAGTCAATGCTGTAATTTACCAGTCAATGATGTAATTGACCAGTCAATAGTGTAAGTCTTAAAGTATTAAATTTGCGAAAATGTATGAAGAAATCGCAGGCCAATACATTCATGATCATGCTTGAATGATTTTATTGAGGATGTGGCCGAGTTTTTATGATATATTGTTTTTCCATATTTTACCTTTATGGAAGTTCCGCATAGTGAATTTGTGATTATTGATTATTGATTATTGCATATTTAAACGAGTTAAATGCTTCATATTTTTTAATTAAGTCTCGGTTGTAGTAAAAATATTCTGATATCATAGGTATACATGCAAACGTTGACTTCAAACATAGATTGATTAAGTCTTATAGCTTATTAACATCACATTTGCCAGCTTATTGGTAATATGAGTGTGGCATAAATGGTAACTTATTGATTTTTTAAAATAAGTAATCAACTATAAAATGTGTTATAAAGACAAACTTCCACAATGTTTAGGTTTATTTGTTCTTCTTAAATCTCATGTTTTAGAAATCAAACTTCATATTTCACTATCATACAATCAAGAGTTTTCGCCAATATTGTGACATCTCTGCAATCTTGACTATATCTTTCGGATCCATTTCTACATCACAATATACTTAAATACCACAAGATGACATCACAATACAATATATTACATGAGCGCCTACTCAAAAATACAACACGGGTATCATCATTTAATATATATAAGTCATGTGATCAAAATAAATGAAAATGCCATCTCTCTTAATTGAATTTACATTAAGTTGGAGACTTCATATATCGTATAAATGGTTTTCGGTAACCGTACTTCTGAATTGCATCACTTGAGTGTGCCTGTTCAGTATTGGACCCTCACACCCAAACAAATATTGACAAGTTGGAAATAGCCCAGCGAAGGGCAGCGCGCTATGTGCTCAATAAGCACAGGTACAAACATCGTACTTCCAGTGTGTCAGAAATGTTGGACAACCTAAAGCTGCGCCCTCTAGAAGATAGACGTAGAGATGCTCGGCTGACCAGGCTTCATAATATTGTTTACCAGAAAGTCACTATAATAAAATCAGACAGATTTAATCTCTACAGTCAGAAAATCCCGAACAAACCACGAGTTTTCGTATCAAATTCCCCACTCAAAAACCCAGACCAGAAAGGCATCATTCTTACCCTCGAACTATACCCGAGTGGAATAAACTCCCACCTGACATTATTTCGAGCCCCACAACGGAATTATTCAAATCAGCCCTCTACCGTCACTTTTCAAACGCAAATTAGACCATCTCGTATCTTTAAAAAAAACAATCTCTTTCCATGTTACACTCCTCGTCTAACATTTTATCTTCCAATTGTTGAAGTTGGTCAGTACCATTTAGAAGTAGAAGAATTGGATGTTGCACGTTAACAAATGGCTGAAAGTGACCTAAACAGCGTCCCATTATTCGGTTTCCACCGAAGATCGCGATAAGCGTTTTGATGAATGTAAAACGTTTAATTATTTTCAATACAGCGCGATAAGTTTGCACGCATTTTTAAAACCTCCCTTCTTTCGCTTGAAATCGCTATTTTTTTTTCAAATAAGACTTATTTATTAAGCCTTTGCATCCAATAGGTGGTTTTTCATTACTATTGGTGAAACAGACTAAATTAAATGCAGAAGGACTAACTTCCCCTTTGTGTAGGACTAACTTCCCCTTTGTGTAGGACTGACTTCCCCTTTGTGTAGGACTGACTTCCCCTTTTTGTAGGACTAACTTCCCCTTTGTGTAGGACTAACTTCCCCTTTGTGTAGGACTGACTTCCCCTTTGTGTAGGACTAACTTCCCCTTTTTGTAGGACTGACTTCCCCTTGAGCAGATATTGCTCACTGATACATGTACGTATATCGGACGTAAGATACTATATCTTATTTCCGTTGCGCGAATGAGCAGAATGTGAAAGATGTTTAAAACTTGCCTCATTTTCACCGCATAACGCTGGTTATGATGTAATTCGATTAGAATAAACAAGCTCCAGTTCCACGGACGTTCCTAAGGAAATAATTACTGGTATTAAAGTTTAATTTCTTTTAGAGTTGTCCCTGAGCTCAAAATATGTTTTTCTATAGAAAAACTGGGTTAAATATTTTTCTAAACTAATGAAATCCTTGTGAACTAGGGTATGCGATTTAACTGACATCTGTTTGTCGAAATGTTGTCAAGTTACTAAGGATATAATGATTTTATACAGAATATAGTATAGTTTTTTTTTAAAGTTCTTGTATTGATACAGTCGTTTTAAATATGATTGATATTTATAATTCATGATCTGTGATTTATAATATTTTTATAAACCATCGACAGCAGAAGTAGAAGACTCTACGAGAATACCTGGGGATATTTTCGGTGAACTCTTGTAAATCACGTTTTATGGATTCTACATTTAAGTTCGAATTACGGCGTTTTTAACTTCGAAAATTACAATTAACATTTAGAAAGTTGAATCTTAATCATTTGTTCAATTATCATATGCTGTTTTTGAGATTAGTTGTCTTTAGGGATGGCGCCTTCCTCATTATGCAGCCATCTTTGAATGCATCAATTTTGTAGATTCTTGTATTTAAAAATCAAACCACTACTTAAATCTTATTAGTTTGTTCGGTAGACGTTCCGATGAATGTTCAGTGGAAACTAAATCCTCCTTTTCAATTGATTAGTATTTTTGTGCGTGTTACATGTAACAGTCAGTAGAGCGGCCCTATTTGATTAAATTAAAATGTCGGCTTACGGCTCTTGCTAACATTTAGAATCATTATACAAAGTAAACGTCGCTCTGATGTTTGTACATGTAGGGTCGCAACTACTCTTTGTTTAAATTTTTCCTTCGAGTAATATGTTTTGCATGTTTTGAGACATTTTACTGGCTGCTTAGAATCAATTATAATGTCACAGTTTTCATTGTCGTTACCTTTGTGGTTAGAGGTTTTCCTTTTTATTTTAGAGTATAGAAGTTTAAATTTATATTATAAGGTGCATTTAAAATGTGAACAAACCTTGCACACGTATTCCTGTTTGAGTAGAAGGATGCATCTAAACTAAATCGTCAAAAAGTTATAATTATAACAGAAATAAATGGCCGTATAAAAATACTAACACTGGAGGTTAGACAACACGACATCGTTCATCGCTAAAAGAGTTTAACCATTGTGACCAATAATTGTAAGTAATCCTTGCACTACCTTCGGTCCTTCAATGTATAACATCTTTATCACATGTGTGTTACTTACTTTCATCATATACAGTATGTACGTGAACAACGATATCAAAAAAATGAACAAGACTTTATCAACTGCTGATAGCCTAAACAGTCATATACCGAACCAATTAATGGTATAAATTGATTATGAAATAAAACGCATTATCACTTATTTTTAACGCTACATTCCAAATCATAATTGTTAAATCAGTGATGTATACAATGTAAGGTACCGTGATTAAGTGTTGCAAAATAAAAAAAGTCAAAACCTACAAACGAAATAAAATATTTTTTATTATGACTTCATGACATGCAAATAACAATAGAAGATGAGTGTTGGAACATACGTTCTTTCGCCGCTGGTGATGTATTTGCCCGGGAGTTCGATGTTTGTTCAAACATGTATGATACACGTAATTGATGTAGTGTCCTGTGTTTTTTTTTTCTGTAAAAGAAAATGATATGAAGTGTATACCTAGGGGACACACTTGTGTAAATACGGCGACTTATCTGTGTGACGATGTGTTCATACACGTTAGCATTTACAGTGTTCGTCAATCTAATTCGGTTTTTATTTATTTATTGTGTAAGCCTTGTCGTTTTTAAGATGCATGACATATATAACATAGTAATGGTCGTTCAGTAATGTTGTTTGTGTAGTGACACTGATAAGTAAACAGGCATACCTAAACACATACACATTTTACATACCAACATGTTTTAATATTACAACGATTAGAGGACACTGTTTAGAAGTAAATATTAATGAACTTTTCTAGTTTATCCACATTTTTTCTTTTACATTTTACTATCAACTTCTTATTCAGTCAATGAAGCATGTTGAAAAAAGAATACGTAAGTTATTTTATCTTTTATTTTTTGTTTTAACACTTGTTACACGACAGTCGTTTATTTTGTCAGTGAAGCGTGATGTATAGAGTTTATTTTTCTTGTTGTTTAAGCACTCGTTATTAGGTCAGTGAAGCATGATGAAGGTAGGTTTTAAAATCCGTTCTCTGATGCTGGCTGTTAAATAAGTAAAGAGCAATTTCCAATATACAGATTATTATACTTTGTTGTTTTAAGGTTCCAAAATAGATAATCACATGGTCTTTGTTGTTAGGATGCTGCCTAGTCTAATGGCTACAATTAATACATTTCTTTTTTATCACTTTGTTTTCTTTTCGTTGTTGATCATTTTCACTTGTAGTACGAAGTATGAAAGCCTTTATTTGAACATTAAGGAAACCGATGCAAAGAACAAAACGATTTTAGGATACACAATGTTTGTAATAAATACAAGTATCCGTCATTTATGTGAATATTCTCCTAAAATACTCATTATGATTTCACATAATTATATAAATTATGATATAAATTATTGTAAGATGTTTTGCTATAGTGTTTATAGTAATTTATACAGAAAGTACATGTTTAGGTATAATCTTATATTAAATAATGTTGGCAGCTCTCACCTGCTCTGGCACTGCTGTTTTGGTAACCTTAATGTATCATCATACTCGTTGTAAAAAAAAAAAAAAAATTTTTTTTATTGGAACTGGATTATGTGGAGCATGTAGTATAAGTGTTGCATGAATTTGAATGAAGTAAAATTGTTGACGAAGATTCTACACTCTAACAAATTACTGACCTTTACTAGCCACTGGCTCTGTGTTGGGTGCCAAATTACCTTTTTATTGAATTGTTGCGATGATTGGCTTAGCCGTCGAATCCACAGTTGTCGTCTCCTCCCCATCCTCCACATCCCCATGGTCCCCAAGGTGCCCAGCCTCCGTACGACATTGGGTAATTGTTCCCCCAGCTGTTGTAACCTCCGGAACTGCCCCATCCCGACATGCCACCATTTCCATACCATCCGCCCATGCCTGGCATCCCGTGTGAATGCAGGCCACTCATCACGCCATTGAATCGACCCGGGAAGTAACCGTTGCCATATCCCCAGCCGTCATCGTTCCAGCCACCGTTCCAGGGAAAGTCAGCTGTAAATGAGAAATACAGAAACAAATCAGATGGCATATCGCCCTAGTTATACATCACTAATTATATATGTCAATTTAATCATTATTGTAATACTATATTGTAATTAATCCGTGAAAGTGTTTTGTTTTTGTTTACTAAAGAGTTTAACTAAATACTGGAACCTCGTTAACTGAATAAAGTAACTGCGTTTTATCATATACAGTGTTGTGTCCAGTTGTCTCAGTTTTAGATAATTCGTAAGGAGTATCGATTTTCATTATTCTAACCACCTTTACAAAAGAAAGTATACTCGTAGTGTTACAGTTAAGAATTTGGTTCAGGAAAATTACCAAGTTTTTCTATACTCCTTTTATACACCATCACTTCGAATTAAGTCATAAAATAATCCTGAAGGATAAGCATAATTTGGTCGAAACATTATTTGTGTCAATCTATACTCTATAAGTTATAAGTTTCTATCATATCTTATATTTGTAAAATACAATTTTGGCACATGACCCGAATATAAGCATATTGACTAGCTATCAATTCGGCTTAATCAGTCTTTTAAATATTACATACAGTAGAGCCTCACCTGACACAACAGTCAAACAGATGGCCATTAAGGCACAGCAAAGCGTAACCTTTCCCATGGTGGCAATGGAGGATCTCTGAGCCTGTCTGCAGGTCCGCGACAGCAATATATATATATAAGCCTTATGGTCCGTAACCTTTTCATGTATTCATAATTTACCTGAGCAGATTTAATTACCTTAATAATTATGAAATATCATTATCAACAAATTACTTAAAACCACATTTGACATTTCGCGTCTGATTTATGACTGTACCACTTTGTCTTCAAATTAGTGATGGATATTTTATGGACAAGATGACGTTATTTATAAACGGAAATATGAGCATGTTTGATTAAAAAACTGCTTTACAAATGATTTTATGCTGACCTTTACACACGAATCAGGTTTATAAATATTTCAGCAGGACACTAGATCAGCTATAAATGTCTGTGGAGTATAGATGTTATATATTTATATGGTTTGTGCTTCACACAATTTACATGTTTATGTATATAAGTAACCACTTAACAGGAAACTAGTTTGTTAAATAAGTAATAAAACAAGCATAAGTAAATCATTAAGAATGTACATATGTACCACATTATCATACAATAAACAAAGTATTGTTAAATCATTAAGTGTAATAATTGAAATATTATCATACAATAAACTAAGTATTGTTAAATCATTAAGTGTAATAATTCAAATAGTATCATACAATAAACTAAGTATTGTTAAATCATTTAGTGTGATAATTCTAATATTATCATACAATAAACTAAGTATTGTTAAATCATATAGTGTAATAATTCAAATATTATCCACTCATCCAAACAACAATTAGATCTTGAACTAAACCTTTCAAATGTAAACTGTAAAACCGAAATAAAGAATGTATACACATCAACACGAAATACCATAGTCGAAACTTGAATGTAAACACACAGATGACAACAGGTGCCAAGCAGACATCAAAACACTTTGTATTTTATTTTTCCTTTTCGCTTTAATATGCTTAAGTGTACGTGTACCAATAATAGCTTATGCTTTATATTTGATATCGTTCGAACAATTATAAATTAATAATTGATGCTTCCCGGCCAGCACGCTGATATCGAGCCGATGTCGGTTGAAGGGTGGACTATCGGCTAAGTATGGCGTTATTAGGCCACCGTAGAGCTGTCATCACTATTTATATATATGTTATTTAATATCTTTATTTATTACACTTATGACAAAATGATATCGGCCCAACAGCGGACCGATGTCACTAAAACCATATAACTCGGTCACTGGCCTTATGCATTTTCCGTACATCGGGCCGATATCACTTCGATGAAAAATCAAAAAGAAATTATTTATGGACACACAGTATCCATCTGTCTTTATACAACCGAATTCAATAAGTGTCCATGCTAAGATAACTAATCAATTTATGTCGAAGTTTCAACAGATAAACGTTTTTTTTTATATACAAATATACAAACATAAATGTTTATTCACTGCAGACCGACTAACCGGAAATGGCGCTAGATTTGTTACGGGTTACCGGCATTTTCAAAACTGACAGAGAACAGACAGCAGGCATAACATATATGGACATTGTGTTTGGATTATTTCATGGACAGACAAAGCCTTGTGAAGGGTGATGAGAGTAAGCTGTTTTATTTCATAAGATCATGTCTTATCTAAACTAATCTGAACATCTGGCCAGTGATTCTAACATGTTTACAAGTTGATTGCGTGCTGAGTGTTTATAAAATACAAAATAAGTGTGTTCCTATATAGTTATATCATTTTAAAACTAATACTTTGCACCCCATGGTGTAAAACTGCATGTTGAGTTCTTACATGATTTGATATTTATATCAAGAGTGGTGTGTTCTTACAGGGAGTGGTATTGGCTTTGGTTTGGTAACCCAATATTCATAGTCATATGTAATGGAGTGTGCCCTGAGGAGGCTACATGCTTACAGAGGCACTATAATATCTGGGGGTTGTGATAATGTGTAACAGGCTTATAATGTATTGGAAGTATCTTGTTATATCTTACACAGATAAAATCATACAACGAAACAGTAATTGCCATTGATACCACACTTGGTTATGGGGAGATTAATACTTACTGCTGGTTACAGTGCACTCGCGTGGCAATGTTTTCGTCAATGGTTTGGACAATAAATAAACTGTTGATAAATAATAAGGATAATGTCTACCAAATTTTTATTTGATGTCTGCTTACACATGTATACAGAATGAGTGTTAACAGCTATATCTATTATCAGTTACACATGTATACAGAATGAGTGATAACTGCTATATCTATTATCAGTAACACATGTATACACAACGAGTGTACACAGCTTTATCTATTATCAGTTACACATGTATAC